GGTGAGTCGAACGACTTGTCGAGTTCAGCATCGTACTGACATCGCTTGCAGCAACTCTCGCTCTCTTTCACCCACCTTGACTTCGTATCGGGCTCGGTGTACCATTATATCTTATGCTCCTGCACGTGCAGCCCGGTTCACCCATGTACTGAGTCTACCACGATTACAATCGCATCTCGTTATTTTGTCATTGATATCGCTAGAAAGTCGGGGCACTCGTTAAGGTTCGTGATCCTATCAAATGTACAGTATCTCAAAGCAGCTGCTGCTCCTCGTCATCGCTATGCACTTCGAGTATACGAGTCTGTCGCACAGACGTCCAGATATCTCCCGACGCACTCTGCGTCTTGGAGCGAATCTTGGGCTCAACGACGTTGGCAGAATTCTGACTCGGCTCAGACGAAGCAAGTGCAGAGCCTGAGCGGCGCTCGTGACCTTGAGTGCTGGATCCAGCTTCGCCGGGGATATCGACTTTACGGTCTTGACGAACACTCGTCTTCCGCGTATGAGACGACGACTTCACAGACGACTGCGTCGCTGGCACAGCTGGAGGCATGTCAGGTTTGGTAAGTATAACGATGCAAATAGCCTAAATATACGTACTTTCTACAGGCCGCACCGGCCGGCTAATTCCAGAACTGCCTGTGTCGGATGTTGCAGACGACACTATAACGGGCTCTATCGCAGGTATTCAGCGCCGTTGTCGAATCGAGAAAATTGCCATCTTTACCTTCGGAGATCTTGGTCGGCGCCGTAGTAGAACCAGAGTCCTGAGTGGTGTTCGAGGACTTAGGGATGGGCTTGAACGTCCGTGGCTTGCGAGCAACGGAATTCTCAGGCGCAGGAGAACCCGCCGTTTCAAAGGAAGGCGGCTTGCGGGCACCGGAAGCTTCGCTCACATCGCTGTTCGGCCGGTTGAAATCGAATTTGATCCCTATAAAGTTATTGAACCGCCTGAGCATACGGTCGCGCAGTCGCAGTTTATGACTTACCTTCGTTAGTGCGGCCGACGAGTGTCGTAGGTTGGGCGAACGAGAGCGCGACGCCGTTCTGTATACCACCGGGGAGAGAGACCTGCCCGACGGACGCCGTAGGTTGGGCGAACGAGATCCCGATGCCGCTCTGTATACCACCGGGAAGAGAGGCCTGCTTCGTCTCCCGGCTCTCCAATGCCTCGAGATCCACACGCATGTGAGCCAGTTCTTTGCGGATTGATTTCAGCTCGACCTGAACCCCACGAAGAGAGTCCGTTACGAGATGATGACCATGCCGCAGGGTGGCATCCAGGGCCTCTAGTCGTTTCAGAATGTCGTCGGACATGGGGAAGATGAGATGAGCGACTCGTCGTGTGGGGTTGGCGGCGCCTAAGTACCTATCCGAGACTGAGAACATCCATGCCCGTTCTGTAACGAAGTCAGAAGGGACACTGGACGGCGTATGCCGACTGCTGCAATAGACGGCCAGCGCCGCGTTTCACGCGCAAGCGTCCCCACTGCACTCGCCGCTGGACGCTTGTTTCCTAGGCGCTTAGCTGGTCGCTGCTAGGACTTCGCTGCTCCGTTATTGGCGCTTCGCTACCCGGTCGTTGGCGCTTCGCTACCCGGCCGCTGCCGTTCGCTGCCTCGCCGCTGCCGCCGCGTTGCTCTGGCGCTGGCGCTGCGCTGCGGGCATCAGCGTGCGCTGGCGCTTCCGCTGCCGGTAAAGACACGTTAGAAACTTCAAGTGACGTCCGCGTGGGAGCGCGAGCACCCGAGAACAAAAACATGAAATGCCGAACACGGAGAATTCCGGCCCGGCTATCATTGCGAGAAAACCTTTCTGTCGGACGTTTGCGGTGGCCATAGTGAGCGTACACGAAAAAAACCAGCCGGTGATTCCCGCCTCCATGACACGTATCGTTTGAAGCAAAAATGACAAGTAGTTACAGGGCTCGGACATAAAATATAGGGCTAATATAAGCCCTTGAATTATCCATCGCGCGCGAAAAAAACTTTTCGGTTGGACGCCCCGCCAGTGCACGATAAGTATAATTCAACTTCAACGTAGCACGGTGGAAGCACGGCCAGACAAGCACTTTGACTGCCGTCCGTGTGCGCTCTCAGGTACAGCATTTCTCGTGTGCATAATCTCATTCTGGTATACTCTCTGATAATGCTCAGAGGGCAGGAGTAATCTCATCCGGATTTAACTTATCTATAATCCGTGCGACTACTGGCGAATGCCCCCAGTGTGTGTTGCTGGAAACCAGGCTGCGAGTTGAATCGATAGCCGATCTCGACGCGTCCATGACAAGGTTGGTGAGAGAGACGATCCAATGCGCCAAAGATAGCATGTACATGATCATCGTAGCAATTGGGATGAATACCTTCAAACCATTGCGCCATAGGGACGGCGATTGCCTGTTGGAGTTCAGTGAGAAGATGGTGCTATACCTGAGCGTTATGTGCGCTCACCGTAGAATGATGCGAGCCGTTAGCATGAACAGTACTGAAGAGAACCCTTTTCGAGTCCAGATGAGTCGTATTCAGAAACTCGGCGAAAACAATTCCATGCAGAGAGGCGTACCCATGAGAGCCGTTTCCGTTACAAGGGGTAGAACATCTCTCCACGCAGTGATATTTGGTAGCCCATCTATGCTCGCGATAGTGAATGGGTCGATAGCGAAGGGAACTTGTGTGAGTGGTATGCCCAACGGATTCCTAGAATGCTTCATCTGAAAGGATGTCCAGACTCCAGCACGGCGCTACAGTACATACTGTTGGCTGACGAACGATTTGAACTGCTGCAACGAGAGTGCCCAGCGAGTGCTGAGGAGGGCAAATACGAACCAAATCATCGTGATTGGAAGTATACGTCCTACAGAGTGCGACTTGGCCCTATGGGAAACATGTGAGCGTGTCTACCAGCCATATTTACAAGCCTCGTCACACCATAGCACGTATGATCCGAGAGGTGCACTAGCGCAGGCAATCCCTACAGATGACACAGTTGAGTGACAATTGATCTGTTGAATGAAACTGCATACCAAGCATGAAGCTATCCAGAAGAAGCGAAGGTGCGACAGAGGATGCCGTCAAGTCGTAGAGCCCCTTCAAAATCTCGCCCGTTCTCACCTCCGTCGTATTCTCACCGAGCAGCGACATAGATGAGAGGAAAACACGGAGCGCCAATTCATATATAGATCCCTTTTCAGTATCCCTGACTGTTGATCGTTGCGAGGCAAAGATCCGGGACATGAGTAGAGCCTCAATTACCTTCGTGGCAGGACATGGATAGGGCTTCTCTTAATGAACGGCCGCATCCTGCATATGAAGGGAATGATCAGGAGCGTACTCGACGGATCTATCAGATGTGCTCTTTCATGCAGACGACTGACAGATGTTGACAAATCCTCGCCTATTGCTGTGGGTGAACCAGGCCTGGAAAGGTACGCCGGAGACTTTGACGTGTTTGTCTGGGTCTACGAGGTGAGATAGCAAGATGATCAAGTTGGGATACGTGTCGCTCATCCGTTGACCTGAGGATCGATGAGAATTGTCCCGCGAATCCGCACAGCACGGATGATGATGGTTGTCTTTTCCAACCGTCGCGCGCGGTGCAACCAGTCTAGACCAGCCTGCGAAGAAAGCGCAGTTACGCCGTCTTCCAGCCGGTGCGTCGATGATGGTGCAAAGTCAATATCTTTCATTATCGCTACAGCGCTCCATCGACACTCCGGCCAGTCTCTCATGGGTCTCTCATGGGAAGTGGTACAGTACGGACGAAGCTGTGCGGCGTCCACCGAGCAGCGAGTTGACCGGGGATGCCGGGGATGCCTCACCGCACGTTGTCGCCACGTGCACTGCTACAACGCCGACTCGTCATTCCGAGGGTCTTGGTCTTGCACTGCACGAAGTGACTCTTACGACCAACATAGGCCCCGTCGTGCATCATGACCCTCTCATACTCAGATCGTGCCACTACGAAGTGTATTATAGTGACCGAGACTGGCGTGGAACACCAATTGTAGAGACCATGGTCTTGTATGAAAGCGCCGGGAGAGCTCGAAAGAGACTCAAAGACGCGCAAAATTCTAGGTATACATGTGTGCCTCATATAAAGAGGACGAAAATTCCAGCGAGAATAAGTCCTATCAAGTCAAAAGGTGCGGTGGCGGTGGAGGCGGCACTGCGGGAGGTGGTCGATGCAGCCGTAGCTGCTCTGGAGAGGGTTGCAATTAGAGGAGAAGATTACCTACCATGTAGACGGGTCAACTCACTCAGAAGTTCCAAGAGAAGGAACCGGCGAAGTAATAGAAAGCGGAGTTGTATCGGGAGTCGGAGATGCTGCAGATGTCGAGGAGTGCATGGCCGATGAAGTGGCGCCGGACGTGGATATGGTGACAGTAGAAGATGTGCCCACGGTTGAGGAAAAGGAACTGGCCCCCAAAAAGCTTGTGGGAATCTTGCTGTCATTGCTCACTGACTGTTCACCATGTACGGGATTCATAGACGAGCTGGTCCTTGAAGTGGTTGTGACAGGGGGTGAAGTTATGGCACTCGAGGTAATGGTATTCGGGGTGAAGAAAAGGCTTGTAGACACCAAACCTATGGTAGCCTCAGCTGACGAACTTCTGGGGTCGTTGGACGCAGTGTTCATAGTTGCCGTAGGACCGGATGTTGTGGTTCCAGAGAAGGTCTTGAGAGCGTTGATCTAGTCAGCGGGTGGCAAACCCCATAGCTTCTAGATGATGGACTCACACTGACTTGGGCGACGGTAGAGATGCTAAGAGAGTCGACAATGAGATGGGTAGCAAACATGGTCTCGTATCGGGCTAGATGCGGGTTTCCGTGGCAGGGCCCGTGGTGTGAACTGTCTTATATACGAGCGAAGCTTGGACGGAGAACATCAGCGGGTCAATCCTACACTATATATAGCTGCAGGATGGTAGCAGGAGACCCATATCAATCAGGACCCTTCACCCTTTCGTGTTGGCGGTAGTAAGCGCTGGGGATACCTCGTGGCTCCCTGCGACCGATCGCATTGCTTGGTATGCCGGGTCTCAGCCTTTCCTGATAGAACATTAGACGCATGATGTAGGGATATGATCAATAAATGAATCTCACATCCTTCGCCGCTTTAAACTGATTGCATGGCGACTCTGACCCTTTCCGAGAGTCTTGATCATGAGATGACTCAGCTAAAGCCCATCGCTAACCTGTCTCTGTTAGGTCCATAATTATTATTGCAAGTAAGAGCTGTACAATTGAGGCTGGTCGAGAGAGAGATGCTAAACAGACAATACCCAAACTATAATGTGCTCTCGTTCCCAGGGCGAAGAGCTGAGATAACAAGATGATGATGGCAACAGCAATGTCCATATGCTGGCGATTCAGTCAGTCGAAAATCCGTGAGTCCGCCACATTCTACCGCTTGCGCTTATAACCTGCCCAAGATAAGCATCAGTGACCATATAAACGCTCGAGAGCATCCCGGACTTACCGCCGGCATCCCTCGGCCCTGGCGCGCGCCTCTTCCTTCCATACTCCGGATCACTCTCTTCCTCGTCTGTCCTGTATTCCTTGCTCCCTTCTCTCTCCGGCGTTCCATCTCCGCCATCGTCTTCCTTGTACACGATATTGCTCTTCGTGCGTTTCTGCACTGACTTATTCGCGCTCGGAAGAGCGGGAGCTTCGTAGCCCTTGAGAGGTGCGCCGGGACGAGCAACGCATTGCGGGCAGAACCATTCGCCGTCGGGAATCGCCTTGAGGGGAGGACGAAGGCACCCAAGATGGTATGGGGTATCGCACTGATCGCAGGATCTCATGTCAAAGACGAAGAAGATCAAAAGAGGAAGGGCACGGACCTTATCGCACGCCAACGGAGAATCGCTCTCGCCCCGATCCAAGGAACACACGACGCATTCTTCAGGCGTCTGAATGTCGATAGGGTGCCGTGGGAGATCGGAGTACTTGTCGTTCGGTGTCACGAGGAAGTACGCGGTGTTCTGACCCGCCGCGACGCTGAGATGAACGCGCGTCAGGGGCTTTGGACGCGCGGATGATGTGATGTGCGTATCCGCGGGAGGACTCACTCGAAGACGTCGATCCCGGTCAAGGGCACATTCTGCGCGGGCTTGGTCTGGGATTTTCCCTCGTTGGGGCCGAGACCAAGCTCGCCGTTGGACGCGCCTTGACCCCAGCCTATGGTCAGGGTGCAGCCATCGTCGCTGTCCGGGGAGAGGGCGAAGTGCGTAACTCCACCGCAAGCCGCAGTAAATATTCTGCAACCCCTATGAAAGGGTCAGTACCGTGATTTGGGATAATAGAATGGCGTTCGTACATGATGTCTTGAATGACCTTGAAAGTCGAGAACGGCTGTCCGCCAGAGCCTGCGAATTTTCAGGATCGGATATGCCCCAGATAGGAAGCTGCCCTACCATCACCCGTGGTCTTGAACTTCCCTGCCATGAAGTACATTCCTTGCCTGTCGATCACGACAGAGTTTGACGGGCCTGCAATTACTTTCGAACCCATGGTCCGCTCGTTCGGTCCAGTAAATTGAGGGACCGCTTGAGGTGTGAGCACGTCCTTCTGATGACCGAGTCCCAGTCTGCAGTAGCCGTTGTAGCCCCATACATACACGACACTACGCTCGTTGCATGAGTCGACGAAACAACTTTTGATATATAACTTACCCAGCGTCATCGAGGGCAATGCTGTGCTGTTGCCCGGAAGCGACTTGCACGATGGTCTTTCCTTCGAAGCCCTTAACAAGCACTGCAAGCAAGATGAGCGAGATACGTTCCAAAGAGGGTCACGATAACCTACATGGTTCTGGCTCGATGTCAAACGCTGTACGGTTGCCCGTAGCGATATGTTCGCCTGTTCGCCCGACGCCCAACTGTCCCTTCTCGCCGCTACCGACCGAGTAGACTACATAAGGATTGTCAGATCCAGTCTCAGCCATGCCCCACGCGACATACCTCGACCACCAGCCGTTAAGAAAAGCGAGAAGGTGATACCGGCCGAAGCTGCGACGACATGCTCGAGCTCGTCAGTGCCAGGTAGGGTAGGACCACTGACAAGGTTGAACTGGGGTATCTCGGTTGCGACGGGTTGTCCACACTGTAGTTCGATTCAGTAATCTGAGCTCATGTCAGATGGGGGAATGGGCTTACTTGGCCGAGTGTGTTCGCTCCAGCCGACCATGCGCGCCCATTACTTCCGACCAATATGGTATGGTTCCTTCCGCATGCTGCATTCACGAAGCGTGTCCCCGGTGGTGCGCCGAGTTCCTCTGCACGAACTCTGCGCGGCGCGTTCTCGGAGACATACTCTACCGTGGGTAGACCCAGGCAGCCAGACGTATTTCTGCCGAAAAGCCAGGCTGCACCATCGGCATCCAAGCACACTGCATGGCAGGCATTGCAGGAGGTGTGAATACCCGTGACCTTGACGTTGCCGAGGGAGCGCAGGATATGCGGTTCGAGCAAGTCCGGATGGCTGTAGCGCGCGTGAGCACACTCTGCCTCTTCCCCTCACGGATAAGTGAGCGGATTTACCTATCATCATCCGCTTTGGCACCTTTGCGCCCAAGTCGTGGCCTATATGATAACGATTAGTTGGGTTATTCGGCTTGTCGCGGTCGAACACACCAGTCGGTCCCGCCGGCGATCAACACTGCGCCAAACAGCTCAGAATCACTTCCATAGGCGTTTGTGGGTGCCAATCAACGTACCACGGCCCCATTTCGGTCCCTGCTCCTGGCCTGCTCCGTTGTTGGCTCCAGACGACATGGCGGTAAGATTGATGTGGGTCGTGGGCGCCTAACTTGAACAAGGCCGCGTCGGCGGGCGAGCTCCGGCGCGTCCCACAACCTCGCCGCCGCAGAGCGCGCGACGAGCGAGGACCGGACGCGTCGCATGCAGCACACCGCCGTCCCTTGTGGCGTGTGGCGAATTCGAACATGATGGTCGAGAGCGAAAACGTCATGGTGTGGATTGCGTTGGGGTGCTTCCGCGATGCGTAAATCCCGCCACGCAGCGTGTAGTAGTGGGTACATATGTACATATCGCCCCTAATCGGGCCACATCTACGCAATTCAAGATCGACGGGAAGGTACAGTCCGTATTTACACCTAGATCCTAATCTGGCTTCGGTTCTCGGTTCCTGTGCCGCCGGCAATTGACGATTCCACTCGCAGCCGCCCATTCTGGTTGTCTGCGCAGGGAGGCGCGGAGAAAAGAAGACTCATATCCGCTTTCGTCCAAGCCCGCTTACCAGAGTGCGATTCCGAGCGATCGAAATCAGACTCGTTTGGTCGCCGGAGATGCATTCACCTTGCCCTTCTTACCCGTTTCTACTGGAAGCACCTCCATAGAGCGTCCCGGTCATGTTGCGCCAATTGCGTGCATCATGGTTGAGTCAAATGCATGGGGACGCTTGGCTGCAAGGTTTAACTTGTTGAATGAGCCAACGGCGGCCCGGCCTAGAGATGTGATCATGAGCTGAGAAAACTATGATGGATCATGGTCATCCTGCCACTCACGATACGCATGGCCTAGGGTTCTCAGGCGCGTGAAGCTTCTGCACCCTCCTTTCAGGAAAGAGGTGATAGGCATGTGGATGAGAGGTGATAGGCATGTGGATGATGAGGCAGCGAATGTTCAGCCGGGCTGACCGCCTGGGATTACCGCGGCATGAAGGTATGCGGGACATCTAGAAGGTGAGGACAATTAGGATTAGTACTTGGCACGAATGCGGGCTTTAGTGGACTGCCGTGCGAGCGCCGATCGTAGCGGGAAGCTGTAGGAGAGGACTGCATCATCACATTCGTATCCTCAAGGTGACGACAGCGGGTCACTGAAACCCGACGTTCGTTAGAGCCGGGGAGGTTCATAATACATCCGCACTATGACATCCATCTCTCGCTGGTGCGACATTTCCTACATCAGGTAGCTCAGGGCAGCATTGCTAGCCCATATGGAAGAAAGCTGCGCAACGTTTGCTGAAATGGCTAACTTCAAGTGCAGGCGACTTCATAAGAACCATTGTCTACGTGGTGACGGCGATGGTTAAGGCGATGAATGTCACCTCGAAGGAGTAGTCGTAGGCTCTGCAACAGCTCTGGCCAGTATGGCAGAACATCCACGCCACGCCTACCTCCGCGATCGTGGAGCGCAAGAATAGGCGAAACCAAGATTGGGCATCCTTGGAAGACCATGGAAGCGCAACAGATTATCGACGTTGACTAGCATTCGGCGAGTAAGTCATCGGGAGGCCCAACGGCTGCTACAACCTGCTCAACCCCCGTGCCCATGCAGAGGTCTCGCGGCAGATACCGCATGGCGGTTGAATCTTCTCTTGTAGAGCCTATCCGATGAGCCACAGAGCCTAAATCAAAGGATGATACGTGCATGGATCTCGGCGATATAAACTACCACCTTGATAACGGTCATGCCGACCGTTCAGTTCGTCCAGTGAATAGGGTTTTGAGCGATTTCACTACGGTAGCATCTCACCCACGATCGCTGATCAGGGCGGCCGCTCCGCACACAATTGGACGGTCCAGATGAAAGGAAGGCGCAAGGCATCCCCAATCCGATGTCTAACCTTTGAAAGTCCGCAAGACCCTCAAAGTGACTGGCTAGCCGTACGGCGAGCCCAAAAGATCAGGTGTATTACCTGTAGCTTTTGAGTAGAGGACAAAGTCGTCTTGATGTTCGGACTAGCTGAACATAGGTCTCCCAGGTCATCAAAGATAGACTTCATAAGGAGCAGAGGACGAGGGTGGATCGTAGCACTGGAAAGATGGTGGTTGGAAAGAAAGGCGGAGTGTGCGCAGCTAGCCATTGGTAATTGCCGCGCGCCGTTCCCCCACGGGCCACTTTCCGCGCGGCTGAACACGATCACACATCCACGTAGAGTGGCGAGTGCAACCTATCAGAGCCTTTAATAATACAATTCGAACTTATGGGGCCTCGGGTCTCTCATAGACCAACTCAGCTATGTTGCAAGCCTTCAGCATGAGAAGGACGCGCCGATGCCTTGATCAAAACTTGAACACTATGTGACCTGAATGAATGCGATATTTATGATTCCGGGTATAAAGTGTACAGGGTAACATATAGTATGAAGCGTAAATAGTCCAAAAAGCAGGTATGACCGAGATGAAACCCAGGGAGATCGTGTATGAGTTCGTAACGTTCATGCGAAGGCGATAACCGAATCAACCCCGATTGATGCAGAAGAGAAGTCTTCATCGTACAAGTGAGCACGACACCGAGCCGTACACGACGCTCTGCACCTCGGCCATGAATTCACCCTGTTCGCATCCAACAGGCAGTCTCAGGTCCCTGAACCTAACTTCATGGACCGGTAGACCGCGCATCGCCCTGCTCTTGAGCGTCGACACCAGATCCGCCCGGATCAACCGAGCCCTGCCACTTGCCCACTCCGTCCATTGCCGCCCACCAGCGATCTCGGCGCGGTGGGAAGTTAAGGTCTGTAACGCGGGAAGCAGTACAGCGCCATGCTCTACGCGTAATAGCTCGTAGAGCGCAGGCGGCGCGTGCGTGAAGCACACGGAATGCGCTACGGGGAATAGCTGTAATGCTGCGCGCCATGCAAGGGTGTCGTCTTCGCGCCAAAAGGAGCCGTCATCGACGAAGGAGAGATGCACGGTATTCGCTTGGGCAAGGCCGAATGCGGATACGATGGCTTGTGAGAACACCGCGGCTGAGCCGCGGAAGTGCTGATACTGCAGGGTGAGCGCACGATGATGCTCTCTGCACGCTGCGCCACCAGCGTCGCAATGGAGGCATGGCAGCGGGCTCTCGCCATCGTCGTAGAAGGCCGTAGCCGCGATGACGCCAGGGAGAGGCACCGCGAACTTGACGCCGGTCGGTGGACCTGTCAGATGGGGCGCAAAGGCTCGGGCATCCAGATCGATCCGTGCTTCTGGACACCAGTCTAGGCAGACGTGTACGCGCGCCGATCGTGGAACCATGATGTTGGACCATAGAGCGAGGCAGCGGTCTCGCGAGCCGTACAATGATAGTGATACCATCGAAGGAAGGTACACACGGCAGTACGACTCAATGTCGGTGAGGTAAGGGAGCGCGGGGATGAAGCCGTCGAGGTGCAGCGTTTCGAGGCACTGGCAAGAGCGCAGCATTGCGAGGAACTGCTCTGCTGTGGGCAGCATCTCGTCGTCCGGAGGCGGCCCATTTTCGATGATTCGGAGGGTGCGAAGTGTTGCGGCGTTGAATGGGACGAAGGCGTTGATCAAGGTCAAACTGCGTAGACGTGGGGCAATGACGGGTCGTCGGGAGTATGCTTCGGGTCGAAGCCCGGGTAGCGGGGAGAAGCCATCCGACCACAACTCGACGTAGACCTCCTCCAGGAACGGAAGTTCCTCGCAGAGAAGAGATGGCAGGATGGCTTCGAACGCGTTGGCGTCGTTTGTCGCGATGCGACGGGCGAGGTCCAAATGTCGCACAGAGAAGTTGATCGTGTCCTCCGAAGGCCGTAGCGATGACCTGAGCACGACGGATAGGGGTGTACTGCCGGCACGGCGCAATATCTCTTGATGAGCGCGCGGTAGGTAACAAACGGCATCGGCCCATAAGTCGTGTAATCTCAGCAATACACCGCGGAGGCGCGAACAGACGTGGCCGAGTTTGATCCATCCGAGGTCCTTAGGAGACACGCTAGGCCAGGGTGACGAGTCACCGCGCGCGACTTCGTCAACAATCTGGGCAAGAATTTCCGTCGGAAGGCTGAGAAGCGGGGAAGCATAGGCGTTACGCCGTGTTATGAACTCGGCGACGAGGGAGTGCAGATGCGCAGACTCGGACAGAAGACGGTCCGCTATGGAAATGCGTTCCGCTTTACAAGCCGAAGACATGAAGAGGGAGTCGAATTCTTGCAGACGTTGCCTGCCAGCAGCCGTCCAGAGTTCCCTAGAGGGACAAAGGGTGAGGACGTTAGCGATCACCACTAACATGGGAACACGGCGAAATTAGGCGTACCTTTCCGAGGCATTCGGGATGGAGAGTGAGAGATTCATTGTGGCACTGGAGTTTGCTCGCTGCGCTAGGAGTGGCAGGTTGTAGGCTTTGAGGCGAAGAGCTTGAACGGAGGCAGGAATGAGAAACCTGCCAGGTCAAGGAGAAGGTGACGGTAGACAAGAAGTCGCGGACAACAACCATAAGTATACGTCGCTAACGAGCGCCAGCCCTGAACACGCTAGGCTGCATCCTTGTGTATCCACCTCGGGCTTACGAGTCCTGTCAGCGCGGTCTCCGAGACGTTTTGCCGTATCTTGCCGTCAAACTCGAGGCATGATGAACATCAGCGGAGTCTTGAGAACAGCATTTGTGCGTACAGGCCGCAATGACGCCTTTGCGGGAAGTACACGGCGCAGCAACATGAGCGTTCGAGACCACCTGAGGTCCGGCGTCAACCCGCACAAACAAAACGCAAACAAGCACCCATCAACGTGTCGGCGTTGACGTCGTGGTAATCGTGGCACGTGTGTCCCGACTTGGCGGCTCCGGCCCTCCGCTCGCGTCGAGCTCGATGAGTCGACGGCGTCGCTAATTTGCTCCCAACCATCATCTACGCTCGCAGTGTTTACTCTCTACTGTGACTTTAAGGCTTGGACTGTCTCTGGGATACTGTCAGTGGAAACTTTACTGCTTTGACAGTCTATTCAGCGTGTTCTGGCTGATTGGGACGCTTATCGCATCTCCTGTGCTTGCCTAAACGCGAGCACAATATCGACCGCACGTTCTCTAGCAAAGGAGGCTCGGGGCTCCTTGCTGGTTGTGCAGTCGATTCCACTAGTGCATGACCTCCCTTCACACATACTTCGCCCTCCGCAACCAGCAGGCTTTCCAGCGCCTGCTCGAGGGCTCATCCCGACCTACTGCGGGTCAAGCTGGAACAAGCAGCAGCGGCGGTCGCTCATGGAACCGCCCGAGTCCGCTTGCGGCAGCGGCGCACGCCAATGTAGATGTGAACGCCCGCGACGCGTTGGGTCGCACAGTACTGCATCTCGCCTGCGCCGCGACCGATGCAGCAGCGCTTCAATACGTTCGACTTCTACTCGCAGCGCCGACGATCAACGTCAACTTGCTGGACGCTGAGAGTCATTGGTCTGCGCTTCATCGTGCGCTCTACAACGGCAATCTAGGTGCCGCGTGCGTCGCCGTATCGTTCTCGGACATTAGTTCGGCGAATTGACCAGGCCGACGCGCAGGATCTTGTTGCTGCAGCGCGCAGACACCGACGTTGGGATCACGGACTCGGAAGGACACACGGCCTTTGATCTCTACAACAGCACAGTCCCGCTTGCCACGCCGGCAGAGCGCCTTGGAACGGATCGTGTCGAACTGCTCACTTGGGGAGCGAACAGGAATGCGGCGCTCGGCCATCCAGATGGGGACGATCGTGCGTTCCCTGAAGTCGTACCTCTTCGGCGTAGCGATCAAGCTGGAGGACGTGACTCTTTCAAGAAGAGTGTGGCGTTCAGGCTCAAGCCAGCGTCCGCCGTAAACGTTAGGATGTCAAGGTTGCATACAGGTACGTAGATGTTGACATGTTACACTCGATTTGGTGGTTGGCTATCCCAGCTTCGGGGAGAAGCACACGACGCATGGGATAATCTTTCCGCTTTCTATCCGTCAAGTCGCACATTGAGCCAACGCAACACCATATCCGGATATCCGCGTCATCGCCCTCAGACCTATTCTTCCAGCATCGTTCCGCTATATTCTCATGCTGAAAATCGCTTAGTAACAGTGACGGACGAACCGCAGAACAATGTTCGCGTATGTGGATTTGCAAGCACTGGCCGGTGCGTCGAGATCATCTCGACATCCTGACATCATGCTGAAAGACTGTAGGCTCGGCCCTGGCGGTGGCCAGCATACACAGTACCAGCTGGCGCCCATGCAGAACTTCGAGCATACTATCGTCTCAGTCGCGCTCGGTCAAGATCACACCCTAGCCCTGACGTCCTCGGGCACGGTACTAAGCTGGGGACTCAACCGCTTCGCTCAGCTTGGTTATGTCGTCGAGGCCGGAGCGAAGGGAGACGATCAAGTGCAGGCAACGCCCAAGCCGATTCTCGGACCCCTGAAGAAGGAACGGGTTGTCGGCGTCGCCGCTTGCAAGACTGCGAGCGCATGTTGGACCGATGCCGTACTCTATACCTGGGGCAAGAACGGCGGGCAACTCGGCTACGATAAGGCGGCTCAGCCGATGCAAGTCGTTCCAAGGATCGTCTCGAAGGTCACGAAGCCAGTTGTTAATGTGGCGATGACAGACTCGGCGATGGCTTGTTTGCTGAACACATCAGACGTCGTGCTGCTCTTCAACGACGGCCATATGCGTGTGAAGTGCGTACAATCATTCATTATACATGCAGCGCCGTAATTGATCTGCCTCGTTCAGCTTCCCCGTCGAGACGATGACTACGTCCGACTTCCTTGCTTACAAACCGCCGCACGCGGTCTACAGCACCAAGATTGAGAAGATCTTGTGCAGCGACAATCTGTTCGCGGCCATCTCCACCAGTGGGGACATGTTCACTTTCCTACCTCCATCGGCGGCCGATACCCAGAAGGATGCGCGGACACCTGTACGACCTCAGCGTGTTGCCGCGCTGAAGAAGCAATGGGGCCCTGTCCGTGATGCAGCCCTAGGTGCGGATGGGACTATCATCGTCTGCACTGCCGCGGGATACATCTACGTTCGCGCGCGGGGTAGCAAGGACACTACAGGGCGTTCTGGGGGCAGCAAGGCCTTCCGCTTCGTACGGGTTCCGCACATTCATCGTGCCGTGGCTGTTCGTGCCAATGAGACTGGAGCGTATGCAGCCTTACGCGTGACGGACAAGCCCGAGCAGGTCGATATCGTCGGTAACACGCTCGCACAGGACTTCGCTGAGCTCGCGCCCTACCTTCACTTCGAGCGGGTACAGGAGGTAGACGTGCGAGTTGAACCTGGACAACCGCGTCCGCTGCCGCCGTACGCCGCACTCGCTCCGATTTCACGCACGGACGACGAAGAGGGCGAGGACGACATGGCCACCTCGATCAGCGAGGACATCGTTGCGTTAGCTCGCCTATGGGATGTTCTCACCCAAGACAAGCTTTCTCGCAAGCGCTATGATGGCGCAGGTCTATTCGAACGACCCGGAGCTCGGGCGCTCGCTCACGGCGCAGATGTCATGATCCGCATGCAGAGCGGCGCGGAGATTCCGGTACATGCATTTGTTCTGGCGTCTCGCAGTTCGGCTCTCAAGAGCGTTCTGGTTGGGTCGAAGATTGCAATTGACGGCATCAACATCAAGTACGCGCCTCCAGCACGTTCGGAGTCTGCGTCTTGTAATCCGGAGAACCTCTCTCGCCTCGTCATCGGCGGGGTCCATCCTTTGGCAGTGATGATTGTCCTTCATTACCTGTACTCCGACATGTTGCTCGCTCTCAACGACCCTCGCATCTCACGCGTTCTGACCCCAATCCTTGCCTCAGCGAAAGTACAAACAGCTTCAATAGTCAAGGACACCGAGCGCCTCTTCAACGCCCTCGCCCTGCCCTTGGTTGCTGAAGCCACACGCTGGATCGCGAAACGCTCGATTGCGCCTGTCCTGCAGAAGGAGATGCGCGCCCTTTACCGGAGCGCCAATCTTTCAGATTCGCTCGAGCGCGACGTCGTGTTATACTTGGCGGACGCCGAAGTCCACGCGCACTCTTTCGTACTTCGAGCGCGAAGCCCGTTCTTTGCGACCATGCTGGACGATGATGTATGGACAAGAGAGAGGTGGGACAAGGACAATCTCTTGCACATCAACTTGCGGCATATCGAGAGCAAGTATATGGACTACGTCTTGCGGTTCATGTGCTGTGGTGAGGAGGCGGAGATGTTTGAGCGTCTTGGTAAGAGACACTGTGATTGGAATCGCGAGAGTCTTCTGACGACATGTAGACTTCATCGAGACGACTGATCAATACATCGACCTTCTATTCGGTGTTATGTACACAGCGGTAAGTGGACCCCGTCTATCGTTCTTCTCATACTTATAGACTGTAGAACGAAATGCTCCTCGACAGATTGCTGCTGGTCTGCGCATCGCTCTTACTCAAATACGTCACGCCGCACAACATCTCTGCTGTCTACACAGACGCGTCCGGCCTGGACTGTACACCTCTCCATGATCGGCTTCATGCGTACATGGCCTACGGGTTGGAGACGCTACTGGACGGCAACCTGCTGGATGAGCTCCACCCGCGTCTGGTCAAGTCACTGTCTACTGCGATACGCTCTGCTCAAGCCGACCATATGCGCCGCGCCCGCGTCGGCACCGAGGTCGAGGTTGACATGCTCATGGACAAGTACAAGGACTGGATAGACAACGAGGACTTCCCTGTCCCGATTGTGCGCACAGCACTCACGCGCAACTCGCCAAAGCTTAGCCCGAAGGCGTCCCGCAATAGGCGAACATCGTTGCCGGGATCACCAGCCGCTAGCCCCTCTATTCGACCTGGCCTTCCATCAATGCCTGTGGGCGGTGATGACGACCTCTTCGCAATGGACGACGTGCCTGCTCTCAACCTTGACTCGTCGTCGGTACCACCAACCCCTGCTCCGGCAACCGCACCAGAGCCCAAGGGTGCAAGCCCGTGGAAGTCGCACGCGACGCCGCAACGGTTCGTGACGTTTCCCTCGTGTTCCCGCTTCTGAGCTTACAGTCGGTGATAGCGTTGATATGAAGTCCATACTAGCCGAGACCGAAGCGAAGACGCGGCCGACCGGCGTCTACCGCCCTCCTTCGAAGGACGTGTCGTCTGCGGCCTTCCCTCCCATTGGCAGCGTCAGCGGCGCTCAGACAGGAGTGCCCGCTGCGCCTCGTCCAGCACCCACGACGCTTCAGACACCCCCACGCGTTCGGCCTTCCACGCAAACCGCTACACCCCCACAACGATCCATCCCGTTGCCCAAGTCATCACCCGCTGCTTCTACTCCCGGGCTTGGTCCCACCATCACTCCAACCAAGCAGACCCGTCCTCCGGGTCCGGTAGTTCGCAACGCCTCGAGCTCCGGAGGTCGCGCATGGACATTGGCGCCCGTGCGGCCCGTTGTACAACCGACACCATCAGCCAGCCAATCGCTCTCTTTTGCTGAAATTCAACGTTTACAACGGGAGCAGGATGTTGCACCAGCACGCGATAAACGGAGCCTGAAGGAGATCCAAGACGAAGAGCGTGAAAGGCAGCAGGAGGCCGACTTCATGCAGTGGTGGGCGGCCGAAGAGGAGCGCGTGCGGCAGGAGCAGGAGGCGGAGGCCCGCGCGATTCAGCGCGCTCTGGATAAAGGGAAGAAGGCAGGTAAGCCGCGTGGGAAGAAGGAGGGCGGTGCGAGGGAGGATGCGCCGCGGGGCACGAGGAAGGGTAGCGCTACGCAACAAGTGGCACAAGCACGAGATACTGGGGCGCCCGGTGCTCCTGAACCAGCCAACACAGCAGCGAGCACGCCTCGTGCTCAACGGTCTCGCCATCGTGGACCTCGTAAGGGGCCTGCTGAGGCCACGAACACAGGGCCCCAAGCTAATTAACTTATTCATTACTATATGTCTATGTTTATGGCACACCTCTCTTACAGCATACATGTCATTGGATCAATGTATATAGGGTCACTGAAGTAGATAGGTCTACATGAGTAGAACACTTTGTAGTGATAGATTTTATGTGGTTTCAAGGCAAGGCCGGGTGCTGCCACGGGCTCTTTCTTCTTGGTACAAGAGCAATTCGCTGTACGCACGATCTAGACCCACCATTCGCCACAAAAGTCATCTGGGCCAGGCTGATAGAACCACTGAAATTAGCCGAGTACCAAAGGCGAACACGGTACTGATCTGCTGCTGAGTGCAAGCAGGATAATGGACGTGATGTCATTCCTCGGCGTTGAGCTTGCGGACCGGTCGGCACAGGCACTTAACGTTTAACGCCGAGCTTGGATCAGCCCGGCTTGTCTTCACCCGTCATGAGTGCATGAGCGCCGATGAAGCCGCGTACTTCCACAGACTTCCACTCCCCATTTCCGGCGTCTACTGAGCGCACGCAAGGTTCATCCCGACAACCATCCTGATGGAAATCTCTCTGAGTGACTATTCCGGGTGATGCAAATTTGAGCGCTGAGCGCTGCGATGGGCGGGTTACTCGGGATCTTCTTGACGTGCCAGCGCATCAACTCAGAAGCAAGTACTTAAGAACTCAAGCGTTTCTCCCACATCGTGCTGCTCTAGGCGCCCATAACTTCCGACATGTCACTCAGCATGTTATTTGCACTTCTATCTATCCTAGCCATTGCCGTTGCTGCGCAGGTCTGGTCGAAGTACAGATCTACTCGGGGATTGCGCAATCTACCAGGTCCTCCGTCCGGTTCTCTCATCGCAGGTGTGGGCACTCGGCGAGAAACAGGGTGGATCGTCACTGAACTTCGCTAGGTAACCTGCCACAGATCTACGGCCCGTTTGCCGGCTCTTTTCGGAGTCAGCTTATATACCAGTATGGAAAGGTCGTTCGCATTGCAGGGCTATTCGGTGTATGTTGCTACGCTTACATGTCCAGGGTACTCAATTGATGGCGACAAATCCAGGGAAGTCAGCTCTTGCTGTCGGATGTACGGGCACTCCGCAATGTATTGGTGGAAAACCCAGATGCCTACGACTCTGAGGATGTTCTGCTGGCGTGAGTTCACCTGGAAAAGGTTTCGGCTCTGCGCTCATACCCTCCCTGTAGATTGGGCAGAGTGACGTTTGGACCGGGCCTTGTTGCCACAACTGGTGAGATATGTACACGCGCCGTAGCGTGGAGCTCACACAACATTGTAACAGGCGATCGTCACAGAGTTCAGCGCAAGATCATCGAGCCAGCCTTCACAGGATCCAATATGCGGAAGTTTTTTCCTTCGTTGCAAGATCTCTACATGAAGGTGCGGATCTATCTGGATGGATGGGGATACAGCACTGAATGCTACGATTTAGCTACCGCAAATGCTCAGCTTGAAGGCTAACAGTCCATCCGGCGGCATTGTCGATGTAGCTGCTCTTCTCGGAAAACTCAGTCTCGAATCCATCGGCATCGTCTGTTTCAATCACAGTTTTCACGCTCTGGAGTATAACACGGACGACTTTGTGCTTGCATTGGAGAGCTACTTGTTCGTGGTCCCCGCGCGCCCCCTGTGGTCGTCACGATTAACTGAGAATATCTTATTCAGCCCGACGTTGTCCAAGGTCCAGCATCTGATTGTGTTTCTACCAATCTTGTTGCGATGGGTACCCTCAGCTGTGCTTCGGAAAGTCGGAGAGCTTCTTCCGTGGCGAACTCTGCGCGAACTCTTTCAGATAGTGGATGTCTTACATCGTCATTCCAGCACCATACATAGGGATTTGAAGAACACTCCCTCTGATCGCGGGCCAAATCTGCCTTCGAATCGCGCAGGCATCAAGAGCCTCGCATCTGTACTGAGTTAGTAACTAGCTGCCTCTACCGTCTGTGTCGTACTTATGTCGGGCAGTGCACACGAACGAGCAAGCTCAAGATGATGATCGTATGCCTGATGAGGAGATCGTCGCGCATATATCCGTCCTTCTGTTCACTGGAACCGATACATCCGCCGCATTGATGTCTCGCATTCTTCAGCTTCTTTCAGAGAACCCGGCTGCCCAAGACCGACTACGAGAGGAGTTAAGCTCTGCAGAGGACCTCGAATATGACACTGTCATGAATCTCCCATATCTGGACGCTATCTTTAAGGAAACACTTCGAATGTATGTGGTCTACAGTCACTAAACGCAGACTATGTTGGGCTTATGGGTTCATCTGCACAGGTTCCCTTCTGTGCCTTTGGTGACTAGACAGCGAGTGGATTGTTCTAGCCTAGCGTGATTAACAACTGACGATCGCCGTAACAGAGCTCGCGTGGACACCGTTATCCCTTTCAGCGAAGCGCTCAGAGGCAGGGATGGTGAGGACTTACACTCTGTTCACGTGCCCAAAGGCACAACTATAATCACGGATATTGCTGCTGTCAACCTCGACGAGACTTTATGGGGCGAAGATGCCAAGATATGGAAACCGGCGCGCTGGATTGAAGGGATCCCGGCGTCTGTCATCAATAGCCGTCTGCCGTCTGCATATTCACATCTGTAAGACCTTGTTCCTCCTGCTGGCTATTGGCTGATCCTCATCTCGCAGGCTAACATTCCTCGCTGGTCGCCGGTACTGCCCGTAAGGTCTCCGTCTCATGGGATCTCGAATACGTGCTGAAGTAACCCTCATCTCAGCGGCATGAACTTTGCACACATCTTGACTAGTAAGTTTGATTCGCATCATCCACCGAGGCTCGTGTTGATGCCTAGAGCAGAGTCGGCAATCGCGTATCTCATCCGCAACTATACCTTCGAGCCATCCGGTGATGAGATCGTCTGGAGATCATCTGTCGTTGCTTTGCCCACTGTGAAAGGCCACGATCAGCCTGCGCTTACTATGAGAGTCACGGTTGTCCAGAGATCATACGTGTTGTAAACATAGGTACACTAGATCAATGCAATTCTCATCGTATTCGCGTCTAAGTCTCTGACGCGCAGACATGAGATAAGCGATGTGGCGTAAGAGTTACTTAGAATACCAATCTAGCGCCGCGACCATCTTCATCTGGCCGTGCGTGTCCGTATTCGGGCAAGACAGGGGTATTTGGCTCGGCCTTGAAACTGTAGCGGACTATAGAATGTGCAGTCAGCCATCGTGTACCGCTAGGTATACCATAGCGAGCACATACTCAGTCTGTGTGTTCCACAATCGAACGGATAGCCAAAGCTCTCCTCATCATGATAGGCCTTTCGCGGCCACGCCATCTCAGGTCGATGGCCGTCTCCCAACCCAAACCGTGCTTTGCGATACCCAGTAGCCAAGAGTGTTCCGTCGGCTTTGAGATGATCCCAACTCGTTGCGGCGAATAATTGCTTTCGCGAACTGTCGAGAAACTGTCCCACGTTAGAGCTTCGACTGCTTTATTGCCCGTGCTCAGCTCATACCGCGAGCGTCCCAGGTGTCCGTGTTCCACGCCAAAGTCCAAGGCTGAAGCCACTTGAGACATAACACGCCGCGATTCGGCGTTACGCGCGGCCCTTGTGTTCGCACTCCAGAGTCGAGGCAGCCTGAAGAGTAGCAGGAGTATCACTGCAGCTTCTGCTCTATTCCCGCTACGCTAGTAGTGGGTCTTGGTGGCACGAACTCAACATCTGAAATGGCTGGCGTTTTAGAGCCCCTGTAAATTGTGCCTGATGTCGTAAGGCCGTCGGGTGCTCCGGTGGCTTCTAAGGTTAGGGTTGAAATGTAGTGAGGTTTGCCACTGCCAGTTGCCACTTCCACGAAGCAGTGGCTCAGTCTTGTCTCTGACCAATTACTACATGGCTAATGCCGTCGACGTGCACCATTGCGCTGTCTTTACCTAAGCACTAAATCTGGGCAACTGTTGGAGGGCTGCCGATGTGCCAACAACGTCGATCTTGACAAGGCGAGCACGCCTGGAGCTTGAAGCCGCGTCCGAATGCACACTTGTGTAACAGCTCACGAGCTCTTCTTTTATGGCAGAAATAGAAATGGGCGCATGATGAGACGGTGGGCTATCGAGGGAGTCGGTCTGAGAGGGAGAGGAGGGGGGAGGAGTATAGAGAGAAGGAAGGTGATCAACTCAGAAGAAGAGATCAGGAAAGATTAGACGAAACGAACGAAAGAATTGAAGAGGCTGAACGGATGTGTGCGGGCCGAGGCTAGGACGCCGAGTGTTATGCACGCGTCGCGAGTAGGGTAACTGTAGCATTGGGCGGTATTCAATAACAGGCCCTCCGCGGCTGCGGGAGCCTAGTGTTTACTCGATGCTGCCGTTGCACCATGAGCTCGACATGCAACCATAGCTCCGCATAACAATCTGACACGACCGATGGAACCAGAAACAAGTTGTATTGATGATATGCGGTGGCTCTTCGGGCTCTCGTTGAGGTCTCCAGGTTGCGTTATGGGGGAATCGCTGTGCGATGAGTGGCATGAAATTCGGGAGTCAACCTGCGAAGGCGCAGCCCGCTGCCCCGACAGAAGAAGAACGAACCATGAAGCAAGCGACGCGTCAGTCGGACTGAAAGGGTGCGAAGGCCTTGCGGAGTCTTAATCGTCGAAATCATTTCACGTGCACTCAGCACGAAGAGAAATGGTTGTATTAGTGGTGGTGGTCGGGGCCTAAGGTGGTTACATGTACTTAGCTGCGACGCGCGAGGAAGATTGTCGCGTCGTCAGGAGACCCGGGCGAACACGCCGCTTCGCCGAATAAACCCGAAACGTAACTAGTAAAGTACCCAGACCGTACACAAGCCTACGATACCTCCGTGTCTGTAGCGCTAGGGGCATTAGGTGATGTATGCACGTACGCAGTAGGAGGGCCCGTCGTTGACGGTTGGGCGGCCTGTCGAACAAGTTGAGTCTGCATTGCTGCAAGACCCGGAATTGCACCATTCGCCTCATCGCGCGTCGCATGCGAACTGCTTCGAGCTTGCAGACCGTAGCGGGTCTTGCCGCGTGCGGCCCTATGGCAGTTATTCGAAGACGTTTCGTGCGTCGGCGCTACGTGTACCCGCGCGCGGTTTTATAGGCGCGACACGGTCACGCGAGTTCGTCCGAACGGCCGCGCACGCGCACGCGGTGTCCGCCTTTTGCTTCCTCCGTTCGCACTGGATTGACCCGAGCGCTTCATATCTGATATGCCGACTAGCAATGAAGAGTCCTTGCGCTAATGCGGATTGAGCGCGTCTCGCCGCGCGACCTCGGGCCTACGTGTATAGCCAGTTATACCAGTCACACACACCATCATGAAGTGATCACATACACTCAGAGAGCACATCCATTCCAAGACAAGAAGTATACAATTACATGGTAGCATCAGCCAGGGATAAAATTGGAGTGTCGCTCTTTACATGCACAGGTAGCACTGGCAGATTGCGCTTACAGATTAAAATCCGCCGAAAAACCCGCCGCCCCCTCGGTCTGGCTGAGCGTCTCCATATTTGGGTAGAACACTGGTATCGGGCTCGACCTTAAAACAATAGCAAACTGGCAGGCTGGATCAGCATAACATGAACTCATCGAAATGACAGGAAAGTACTGACGGAGCCGATGCGATCCGCAATCGAACGGATGCCCGAAACTCTCCTCGTTGTGGTAGGCTTGCTTTGGCCACGCTTTCTCCCAATGCCTTGGAACATCTTCTCCAAAGCGCGCTTGACGGTAGTCGAAGGCTGTGCCATAATGCCCGAGATATTCGCAGCTTGTGGCAGCGAAGAGCTGATTACGCGAGCCATCCCAAGCCAGGGCCTCGACGGTGTTGTTGCCTGTGCTGAGCTCGTACAGAGGGGCACGCGCACTAGCGTCCCAAATCTTGATCTGCTGCGACTTGGATCCTCCGATGATGATAACTAGTCGCTCCATCAGCCCCAAATCATCGAGAGCGCGTGAAAAACAGAATGCACGCACATGGGTGACCTCCAATATGCTCGTACAGAACCGACTGTATGTTGTCGCCACCTTCTAAGTGCTGGATGGCGTAAGTCGGCGCTGCCATGCGTGCGTCATAGAAGCGCACGCCGCCGTCCGAGCTTGCTGTGACGAAGGAGTGCGGATCATCCCTACTGGAGGCAAAGGCGGTCACACCCCTGTTGTGCCCGACGTAGCGCGCCGCGACCCTCCCCGAGTCGATGTCCACGGAAGAAACAAAGTAGGCGTACTCGCAGCTACCGACGAGGCGCTCTCGAGCATTGGACGGATGCTCAGCCATAACACCGAAGTTGGCGATGTCAGCAAATGCCTCAGACTTGACGCTCGTGAACGACACTTGCGAGCCATCCTTACTCGTAGAAGAGACGTCCCAGACGCCAAGTCCTGCACTGCCTGTCCTCAACACCTTTGCACCGTCATCTGCGAGACCGAGTATGCCTTGGTAGCCCTTCGTATCTAGAGCGAACACGACCTTCTTGGAACTTCCATGGCCATATCGATAAGCATTGATAACCCGGTCAGCTCCATTATAGATGAGTTTTCTCGAGCCATCTACGGTGACCTGAGGGCCACCGTCGCTTCGGAGGCCGTACGTCCGTTCACGGTAGTTGAAGTTGGATCCGGATCCATCAGACGTGAGATCACGGATGGAAAGCGAACAGCCACGGTCCTTCCAGATATCCTCGCCAAGTAGTATGAGCGTATCGCCTGCCAGAAGCATGTTTACCGGGCGGCCTATCCCATTGGATCCAATCTCGCAACGAGCCTCAACGAAGGCACGAGCGGACAGAGACGCCGTGGCATCCGGGTCAGGGATCGTTGGCTCGCTGCCAAAGCGGGCAAGCGGTGAGGTGTAAGGGCTTGGTTTGGGCGTATCCTTGTAAGGAGTCGCAGGCTTTCCGGAGAAAATCTCGTTGATACCTGATCAGGAAATGCCATGATGATTCGCAGATGAGCATTACAAAGGGTGTTTGACTGGGTCTACTCACGCTCTTCGCTTAGACCATCCGAAGTGTTGCCGGTTTTCCCAGCCGCCTCATTCGCCATCCTCGCGGCCATCTTCGCGAAGGCCTGGAATAAAGGCATCATCATGCTTGTTGTGCCCGCCCCTAGTATCAGGGATCCGATAAGTAACCACGTCCTGATACGATATCGACACGGCGTACCAACGCTGTTGGCGAAACGCGATGCATTTGAGTGCTCTCTCAGTACGTTGCCGCACACGATGTCCGTATTGCCATCTTCGCTATCTTTGCCGAATGAGAGATCAATGAGAGTGTTCTCTATGGCCGCGGCGCGCTCGACGACAGTATCCAAATCGCTAGGCTGAAGCCGATCGTCTTGAGAAGCAGAGCGCACTACGTCGCAAACTATCCCAAGAGAATGACCCAGTTGCGTGTGTTGCTCATCTGCGCGGTTATCGAAATCCTGATAGTCGGCGTCGCTGCTGATGATGCGCCTTTCGACTGCCAGAAACGCCGTATCGGCCGCGATGTAAGCCTTCTTGGCAGTGTCAAGCTGAGCAAGATAGGACGAGAGCGCGTTAGATGAGTCCGCCACAATCGCCGTTGACATGGCGTGAACGTCGTGGTCGGTGGCAGAGAGCAATCATGATCAAGCTGGACAAAGGACGTACGCGTAGTGGCGCACATGTGACCGCGTTGGTCGGACCGTGCGCTATCTCCCACGCTACTGAAGACTGCATGCATTGTCGATTCGTTGAGATGTTCGTGTTGTTGTATCACGCCAGTATGTTTCGGGGTGTCCTTGACGATCGTCGAACTCGAAGCCGACCGTGCTCCGTGCGGACTGACGAGTCACTAGTCATTCCACATAATCAAGAGTGACAGTGAGCAGCTTATACAAACTGAACCGTACAATAGATAGCTCTGCAACTCGGAATCGCGTCGGATCAAGACCTACTGTATGCGTTTATGGTAAACGATCCGGTTCTGCCGATGCTAGAAACAAGGCCCACCAACTGAACTAGAATCCGTGCTTTGGTCAATAAGCCTCTCCATATTCAGGGAGGACCTCAGGATTCGGTTCGCTCTTGAAGCTGTAGCGGACTAGTGGAGTGTTCAGCTCAAGCTCTACTGTGGATATGAGAACGAAATGCATACTCAATCTATGCGATCCACAATCAAACGGATGACCGAAGCTTTTCTCGTCGTGCCACGCCTCCCGCGGCCATCTCCAATCTCCGCCATCATCGTCTTCATCGCCAAAGTGTGCCCCGCGATAGCCGAAAAACGAGCCGTCATACCCAAGGTATTGACAGTTGGTCGCAGCGTAGAGCTGATTTCGTTCGCCATCCCAGGCCAGAGTCTCCACGGCGTTATTACCCGTACTCAGCTGATACAGAGGTGCGCGGGCGCGGGCATCCCAGATCTTGATTTGTTGCGACTGATTCCCGCCAATGATAATGACTGATACTTTCGTCAGTAGAGCTCAGAGGCTACAGTCACGAAACGATAACGCACAAGGATGGCCGCCGATATGTTCGTACAGGAGAGACTGAATGTTGTCTCCGCCTGCGTGCTGGAGGACGTAGATTGGTGCGGGTGTACGCGAGTCGTAGAATCTGACACCTCCTTCGGCGCTCGCGGTGAAGAAGTTGTGGGGATCGTCTTTTCCAACCGCAAGTGCGCCAACTCCGGTATTCTGCCCGACGTAGTGCATCACGGCTTTGCCTGTCTCGATATCTGCTGACGAAACGCGGCATGAGCGATTGCTCCCGGCCACAAGACGTTGATGTTGGTCTGATGGATGGCGCGACCAGGTATGCACTTCAGAGAACGCAGAGGAAGCTATGCTGTTGAAGTTCGCGATGCCGCTTGGGTCGAGCGAAGAGACATCCCAAACGCCGAGTCCGTTCCTTCCAGAACGGAGGACTTTAGTGCGGTCGGCAGTTAAGTCGAGCACGCCACCGTAGTCTTTGGCCTGCAAGAAGAAGGTGGGCCGGCGCTGGCGATCGGCATCTTCCGAGTACAGTTGCTCCTGTTCGTCGTCTTGGTTGATATATTCCACATCCTCACCGTCACCATCGCCCTCGTCGTCCCAGCGATACACACTGATAGCTTTGTCGCCTCCAACGTATACAAGCCTACGGGCTTCATCCAAAGCTGCTTGAGCGCCACCATGACGTCCCAGACTAAACGCCTTTTCGGTATAGGCTAACGCAGAGCCGCCTTCGGAAGTTAGATCACAGATAGTCAGGACACCGCCTTGCTCCTTCCGGCCACCGGCGCCGAGAATGACGATGTTACCGTTTGCGAGAAGCATAGTTGCTGGGCGATCAATCTCTCTCGATTGAATTTCACACCGAGCTTCGGTGAAGGCAGTTATCACCGGTGACGTGGAGACAGGAATGACAGGATTGAGAGCGAAGCGAGCGAGAGGCGACGTATATGGACTGGGTTTGGGCATGTCCTTGTACGGCGTAAGAGCACAACCAAAGAAGAAGCTTGAGAGTTCTACATTCGCGCAGCACTCAGCGACTAATACTAATCGAGGAGATACCGAGAACTCACCCTGCTTGCTGGAAGGGCGCCCTAGCTCTTTATCACGCCGAAGCGTCAGTCGGAGTATATTTTTTGCGGTATGTGAACCTGGGTAATAGGCATGAGTCACTCGTCGTACTGTCTCTGCATGACCAGAAAACAGTGGCCCACCCATGCTACCGCCTAACTCTCCCAGTCCGTCTTCCTTGATCAGGTTCCCACACGCGATATGACCGCCTTCGTGGCCTACGGCGAAGGACAGTTTGATAATCATGTTCTCGATTTCGGCGGCACGTTCTGCTAGGCGAAGCAGTTCGCCAGGCAAAAGTCTGCCGTTTTCCGAAGCAGAGCGTGCAATGTCACAGATTCCTCCAAGAGACTTCTGCAATTGAGCTTGCTCCTCATCCGCCCTCTGCGATCCGAGGTTGTCGTCGGCCCTGTTACGACTGTCCTTGATATCTGCGTATGCGGTGTTGGCGTCATCGTAAGCTGTTTCTAGAGCATCCAACTGAAATAAATATGTTGATAGTGCGCCGGATGGATCGGACGCGCTCGGAACGGACATGATTGTAGGGGACAACATGCCAGGCGCGTCTGCGAGTGCAGACGCGGTAAGTATGACGTACTTCACATGACCGCGTTTACGCACGCTCGGTCTCTCGTGTTCCCGACCAACGTGAACGCGTCCCAGTTTAGTCCCAGTGAGTTTCGTCTCGTCCCGCCAAGCCCGCTATCGCAAATGCTCTCAGGTCGCAGCTACCATGCTGCAGCCATGCATCACACTCAAGATGAGCTGTGTACGCAGGCCATTTTGCCATCACGATAGCGAAGACACAGCGCGCCAACCAACCTAGCGCAATCAATCCCGGCTGGACGATAAACCAATTCATACGGCAAATATACGTAGAGAAGATGTTATGACCCTACACACACAGCCCTGCATAGATTATCGGCACTTGTACAAGAAGAAACATCGAGAAGGAGAGATGCAGACGGCAAGGGAAAAGAAAGGACAGTGGATCTATAATTTGGACCCAGCCATGCGGAGATGGTGAAGTGGAAAGGTGTCGAAATTTCAATATGGCAGTCAAGGCAGACGGACGAAGGTAAGAGCCGTGGAACAATAGAAACAGATATATATACATCAGCAAAGTCTCGGCAGCTGCCTAACGATGGCCTACTCCGCGCCGGTCGAAAGATCCAAAGTCTGAGGCGGCAGTTCTACACGATTGATGGCAATGGGTTAGAATTGCACCGCATAGGGTAAATCAGTACTTACGGAAGCTCTCACGCAGTCCCAAAAGTGGTGTGATCTTGCCTTGGGAGATGTGAACGAACCCTAGGAGCATGATGTCGTCGAGGCTGATTTGTCCTTCTCCACTTCCGAACACCCATTGACGCACTGTGGCCGACTCGACGTCAATCACCGCGTTCTATGGCGAGTGAGCATCTTGCAAAGAGGGTTGTACAGAGAGTGCACTTGCCGTGATCAGATCCCTGACTGCTAGTAAGATCTGACGCGCTAAGTGGCGGGTGGATGCATTGGGGCTTGCCGTTCCATTACGAAGGCGAATTTGTTTCTGTCGAGCTTCATAACCATGCAGCTACGACAGAGGATCATGAGCGGTAAGAGATGACGGTTCTTTCGTGCACGTACATGTAGGCGAACGTAGACGGTCTGCCTCTTGAAACCAGTGGGTGCGTTGGAGAGATGCGAAAGGCCTTGTTCATCTGTCGAAAGAGGAACGCCTACACCGTTGTCTGGGCCCGTAAAGTACAGCGGAAGCATACACGTCTGCTCTAGCTCTTGTTCGGAGCGCTGCGTATTCTTGTAGGGGATCCACAAGTGAGAAGCAATGACCAAGTCGGGGCGAACCGTATTGACGGCGAGTAGGTAATGTTGGACGAGAAGCACCTCACCCGGCGAGGACTGGATGTTGATCCAGTACGGATCCGCGTAATGCAAGTTCAGCCCCTCCCAGAACGTAACCCAAACGTGTCCTGGATCGTTGAGTCCCGGAATGTGAAGACAAGCATCGTAGAATGTGGCCTCTGGGAGTACTCCATCCGGCATTGCAGCAGCGGCGTGTTCGGTATGCTTCTTGTACGCCTGGCGCAGGAATCGCATAACTCGCTCACGGGCATGATCTACTCCAAAAGTCAGCGCGACAATGGATGCTGCACCGATGAGGTGCGTGACGAGAGGAAGGGTGTTATGGTTGTCTGGCATGGCGGCAATGAGGTCTTTTCGGGGACTCAAGCTGCTCTCATATACAAATCTGAGCTGCAGGTGCCGTTCCAGTTGGCATGCGTATCCAGGCAAACGAGCCGGGAAATCTTCAAAACTATGCGACACTGGCGAGACGATGCCATCCAGTCTCAACGTGTTGATCGTGAGTACGCGTGGTGCTCAGAGTAGGCAGTATACAAGGTTGACGCCACGGATTCCAGCGCAGACTGTCCACCTGGACAGGAAAAGACGTCTGACGTCGCTCATTTAAGTGCTGCAGAGTTGTTTCTCTAGGGCGTAGCTTCGTGCAATCGCGGGTGCTGGGATCGCAGGTCGAGCCCGACGGTCGTGTAGTAACCTGACTGGTAAACGAGCTTGCTCGCGTATACATGTTCTGTGTATGCTTCAGCGACGGGGTACAAAGCAGCGGCTGGAAGCTGGTAGAACGCGATCGCATACGGCATCACTGTGGACCAGGAACGGAGGTTGCAGGACCCCGATGACAACTGTGGGAGCAGGTTAAGCACCTTTGCGGTGCTATACGATGTCCCATAGACGCACACATGCGCTGTGCGCGCATTCGTAGCGAGGACACGAGGCAAGACGCCTGCTTTCGATGAACAAGGTCAAAGGACCATTGTCCACATGGACGGACCTAGCCTCGTCCAAGCACGCGGACCATAGTCCAGGTACGCTCGCTCTGCGAGGTAGATGGAAAAGCAGGCTAGAGCACGGAGCCAATATTGGGATGCGGCGAGTTGAAGGCGGAATTGGACACAGCGACGGAAACGGAGCCTTAGGTGGGCGGTAGGCAACTATCCAGATCAGCCTTCGCAACTCGCCGGCGCGAATAGGCGCGAATCTCATCGTCATTCGACTTGACATCTGTACGCGTAGTCATGTGCTGAGAAGAATAGCGTCGTGATTGGATGGCTCTCGAGTAGAGCGCTCTTTGTTTCCAGTATGCCAGCCTGCGGTTCAGGTGCGAGTTCGATATTAAATTTGGTGGCATGAGGTGAACGGCGACTCGTGGGCCGTGGCGTAGATGGAGTCTCGTTTGACTATACCTGTGGCCAGGGCCCTCGGTTCAAAAGCTCACCTGATGCCAGCTACATGAGAGAGAGAAGTGAGCGAGTTGTCGGCAATTCGTTGGGAACGAAACGACGGCGATCAAAGATGGCCAAAACAGGCAGGAGATTCACAACCCAGGACGCGTCGACGTCCAAACGCGTGGCCCGAACCGCGACGCGCGTCTTGACTTCGACCATCGCCTCCTCCTCAACCTTGTTTTCTCGATTGTAACCCCAAACTCTCGCCCATAATGGTGAGTATATGGTATTATGTATGCATACCGTCTATTGATTCAGAAATCGTGTAGTCAATCATGGAATACAACGGAGGGTCGGTCATTGCGATGGCCGGCAAGGATTGCGTCGCGATCGCATCCGACTTGCGCCTCGGAAACCAGGCACTCACCGTTGCAACGAACTTTGAGAAGATATACCCTGTCACGGAGAGGATATATCTCGGACTACCTGGGCTGGCGTCGGATGTGTTGACATTGTAAGTGCGCCACTTCCAACACAAACCTCCAAACTCCTGCGGTTCACCGAACCGACACTTCACCGGCCTCGTTGATAAAAAGAATCATTGTCTGACACCTGTTCAGACGCGAGCGCTTTCGGTATCGCGTGAACATGTATACGATCAAGGAGTCTCGCGCGATCGAGCCTAGCACTTTCGCACACCTCGTCTCCAGTACACTATACGAGCGCCGATTTGGACCATACTTCATTGAGCCTATCATCGCCGGACTCGAGAAGAGCCCAGCAACAGGCGAACTCACGCCATACATTGCCGGTGCAGACTTGATCGGATGCTTGAACTTCGCCAAGGACTTCGTACGTTTAGCCACCCTCTGCTTATTATACAAGGCATGTTAACGGACATCATGTTAGGTCGTTGCGGGTACTGCTTCAGATAAGCTATTCGGTGTTGCAGAAGGATTGTGGGAGCCGGATCTCGGGCCGGAGGACCTTTTCGAGACGATCAGTCAAACGCTTTTGAACGCCGTTGACCGCGACGCGTACTCCGGGTGGGGAGCCATTGTACACATTATGTACGCTCTTACTCTCCATACATTGAACGAGCCCCTGATAGCACTGCACAGCACGAAGGACAAGGTCATTACACGGACCCTCAAGGGTCGCATGGACTAAAGCAGGAGGTATTTATCGGCCAGCATGTATTTTATCGTCTCAGTCCTCTTTCTATGACGTGAATCCATTCATGAACCCCAGTCAGTAGAGACTCTATATCTTTGATTGACTTCTGCAAGTACGAATCGAAGGTCTAAATGACTACTCCGCTCAGCACGGAAACCCTATCCTGCCGCCCCGGACCTAACGGGCTTCTAGAGTACTCAGATAGCGGCGGAACGCAGGTCCTAGACAGGCCTTTCGCAGGCTCCACCGGTGTTGTTGTCTTCGTACGTCCATCGGTACTCATGGACGTGTCCCTCATCATGGTACTGAACGGATCTCCACTGTTCTAGCGCGTCTGGGACTCGTTTACGCATGGTCTTGCGTGTGTACCGCTGCACTTCACGGTAAATGAACGCCCATAGACCCTAAACCACCGCTCGCTGATCAGTTCGTCGCCAGTACGCGGCATATTCAGGAGCCCAATCGTGTCCGAATGTTCATCTTCGCACTTCTGTGCCTCGACATACGGAGCAAATCAATTCATGGCGCTTCTCGCGTGAGTCGAGGGTCCGAAGGATGGACAGTCGATGTAGTGATTTGGCATTGTAGGCGCCGCGCACACAAGAACACGAAGGGCTCCTCGTGCAGATGTCTGACTGCCTCGCGACCAACAAGGGACCATCTAGTCACATCACCGGCATGCCATAGCTACTTTCTCGCGACTCTTTTCAGGCATGTGGAGATACCGAAGTCGGCATTCGCTACGCGTTTCATGGGCCGTATACTGGGTACGAGATCTCAAGCACCGACGGACGTAGACCTATCATCTCACAGAGGCCTTTCATACGCACCTCTGAGGTTTGTCGCTGCGCCGCTCGTATCTTGTACTGGCTCTCTCGATGTACCGCGCAAAGGCCGACTTGCTGCGGACGAAACACAGTCGGTGGGCCCAACCCAGGATATCTTCACAATGAACACTGATACGCGTTTGACAGACGGCCGAAAAAATATCCATGACTCCGCTTGACTCTGGTATACTCTACGGCTAACAAAATGCACTCTGACAAGTTTCGCGGAGACAAAACCTCGGGTGTGAACCGGCTATCACGGCCCGAGTAGCCGGAGTCAGGGCCTGGCAGCTTCCGGCTCTCGCAACTCTACGCGCACCGCCATGGGTAACCTCCCGTACAATGCCCTTGTTTGTCACTAACCAGCCCGAAGGTGGCATACTCAAGCGTAATCTGAAACAACTGTCGACAGGACCTGTCACCATGTACGAATCGCCACGAGAGCTGTGCATAAATCATTTGGGACGATCCCCGGACCCGCCACGTCCTACGCTCGTCCAGGAAGTCGACGTGAAGTCAACTCTCGGCTCGTATAGAGCTAGTATGCATAGTCCGGCGATATGCTCTCTGTGAGTATAGGTTACGGCGATCCGATCTCAAGCCTGTGTCCGGTCGTTTGATTCCCGCCAATCACCTTCCCCGATCGGCTTCGGAAGAAGACAGACGTCCTCGCCTCGTGCTCGCACCTTTCCTTGCTCTTCCTGCAGGTGAGGTTATATGATATCTTTCACACACCCATCGACCTCTGATCACCCCTATCCAGCCTACCGACGCTGTGCAGCGCTTCTCAGTTGAGAGATACGTGTAGAGTCGCGCGGCTTCAGTCTGGCACAACCAAGCCAATGATCAAGAACCGCGGCGTTTTGACTGGGAAAGCGCTTGTAGCGCCATCGAGACTGAAACTCCCCGAGAGAAAAGCTATGCTGTATGGTATCGTACCTTAACTTGTGTCGCGCGATACTTGCAGGCTTTCAATAGGGGGATTGGCGGATCCTTCGGCGGGTCGAAGACTAGGCCCCAGGAAGGACCCGTCCTTGTCGGCTTCGAAAAGATTTATCTTCGCATGCGACGCCTCTTTCCTATACAGCCCGTTGTAGACTGCCATATGCTCGTAACCTCCGTCCGGCGGAGCATGTAACCTCAAGCTCGTATTGAATAGCTGAGGGCGCCCTCTGCCGCTATGTCTGCTCGAGCGGACGACTCGCGTGTTGCACTTATTTCTTCATAAGGACGAGCACAGGCGAGCGATGGAGTCGGCCCGCTATCAGCCAACAGCATTCACTCATGTTACGTTTTACCTTTTTGAAAGACAACAAGCTCTATTTCGTCCAAAGAGTGCACGAATGTGGTGATTGATTCGTGGTCCCGGACCAACTACTCCACATGATGTCCGCCGGCCTTATATTAAAAGTTGCCATCGGCTTCTCTTGACTACGAATTCCCTGCGCCCCGTTGGTGGGAGGTATGGCCGGCCAATCGCTCCTTACCGCTCATTCTTTACAGCCTGCCACCAGGACTTTTATGTTCAACCTCCTTGCCAACTCGGTCACCGCTCTCTCATTTGGCCTGCAACCCGCTCTCGAACGCGCGCTTCGATTCATGCAACCAGCGTGGAATCATACCGTACAGTTCGAGGCCTTTGTCGCATCGTCTACCTTCCGCGTGGGTCAGCTGCCAGGTGTCCCCAGCAACTCCATCGCATTCTTCGCCTACCCAGAGCTCCACATCGACCCAACCGATACATTCCTAATAGCCACGGGGCCACATGGATGGTTCAATCTGTACTGTAGCATCGATATAATCGCGGAGAACCCCGCGCTCATCATCCCCTCCCGTTTATTCGTCCCGCACGAGGGGTCTCGCAGAATGGAGGCTTTTCTACAACGTACCGACATGCTCCCTATATTCTTCTCCCGAACGGGTGGGGGTGTAGGGGTGCGCATCGACTCCAACGTCGACTTCGATATGCTTCTCGACGTCCCCACTCGCATTACGGCACACTCCCTAAAGGTCATCCTTCATGTCAGCATCACATTCATCTTGCAGTCTGGAGACAGGACTGACATCACTACCAGCTGCTCAATTACACGCCGAACGAGAAGCAGATTCAATTGCGCACCGCCGCGGGAAGCCCGAACGTCTCTTCCCGCCGCCTCGCGCGTCTCGTTGCCGCCAAGGTCTCCCACTTCGTGAGGGTACGTGCACTGTTGCTCTTTCGGCAAGGATGCCTGCGCGTGCTATCTGACATCGCTGTTCAGGAAGCTGAGAGAGAGAACCCTACTATCACGCAATGGGCGGACCCGCGTTGGAGGATGGGTTCTGGACCTGGCTACATCGGCAGCGGGGATATTGTACTCCTTGGGATTGTATTCGTGTCCCAAGGAAAGATCACGCCGCTACTTCGGGTGCGAGGCGACTTTGGTAAGCGAGATCTTTCGCGGCGTTTTCCTAGGCTCATATACCTAGTCTTCCTATTCTAGACTCAACATAGACCCGCTTCCCTACCGGACCGCAAGATCCGTTTAATACTACTCGCCCGTTCTCGATGAGGAACCTATATCTCATCTCGAGATGCCCGTCTAGCTATAGTTCATCGTTCTCCACACCCATTCCTAAACCTACTCCAGATTGTTATTCCCCTCGCGGTGTCGGTCTTTCGCCACCTGCCTTGGTCAAGACCCTAATACTTACATCACCGCTGAATCTCTATGCTCCAAACCAACCGGGGCGTATGAATCTTATTATCGCTTTTGTTCATCCAGACAGATTGGCATGGGTTTGACAGCCTATCGCGAGGCAGTTGTGGTATGTACAATGCCGTACTGTCATGATTGGTCACGTATGCTACCCATGCTTGGAAGACCTTATACTCTTACTGAGCTAGAATAGCGTCAGGCATGTACAATCATGTTCATATACTAAATACAGCCGTCCATTCAAATTGGCCGTCTGTGTATCGCAAATTCGCAGTGCGACACGACTGGTACCTCTTCTGGCTTATCAGTGAAGTGAGTAAGTGAGTCTCGCGCTGCTTCTTGCATATGGGGCTGTGCGTTGTATGAAGAGTTGTGCCTGGAAGTACACACGTCGCCAGTCCTTGACGCTGGGATGTCGCTGGGATCGCTGGAAGCTGATTGGACGCGTTTATCACCTGATCGCGTCATCGGCCGTTCCCGGGCGCGCTCGGTTCAGACTGGTTCAGAATGCGCCAACGGATGTGCATTCAGCGTGCTTTTGTACGGCCATAGTCGCTAATACTCGAGATAGCCCCATACATAACTCACTTCGATCTTGGCTCTCGGGCTTGATGACTCTCATGAAGGCGCCAATCGTCTGTAGGAATCAGACATCCGACGATTACGCGGAACGTAGTCAACTCGCCCGAGGCCCCAGAACCCTCGTTTGAGCTATTTGGGAACCCGGCTGCTCAGGCCCTCAGGGCCTTTCTCCCAGCAGTGAGAACGGCGGTAGGTAAGCATCTGTCGCTCCTGTGGGCGCTGCTCACTCGGCATGGCCACAAAGGACACAAACACCTCAAGTTACTCCGGGCGTCTTTCACTACTAAGTACAGCTTCTTCGAACGATATGCAGGCTGTTTCAATTGCATGCACATATCTCAGTACAGTCTGAGGAGGCGGGGCCCGTACTCGCTTGTGAAGAACGATCAAAGAGAGTGACGTTGAGAGCGCTGGACCGTTCCCGCTGCCGTTGTCCTCTGACGTCGTCGTTTGTTCGGGCCTGGTGATGCTCGGACACTCTATACCTCGTACGGAATAAGGATTCGACTACCTCAGGTACAGCGAGCTATATTTGCGCATGACGCAAGCCAAGTGTACGCATCCCCGTATTGCCGTGTCGACGACGGCCTGGTGACCGGTGAAATGCTGTACTGAATGGAGAAGGACGTCTGATGTACCGACTTCACCGTGCATGCTACCCAGCGTGGTTGCGGCTACACTCCACTCTTCTCGCCCATGACGCCAGACAGTCTACCGCGTCGCTACGAGCCACCTAGTGCTGACGTTGCACTGCTCGTACTGTATATAAAGCCTGGCGATATGAGCGTTCGCTATCCAACAAACAACTCCTCTACCCACTCTACCCACTTCACTCGCAACCTTCACGACTATCATGGACTCTTTCAACAACCAGGGCGAGCAGGGCTTCAACTCGGGCTCCCAGAACCAAGTTCAGAGCACCGGCCAGGAGGACTACGTCGACAAGGGTATGTGACATTGTTATACGCCCTCCTACCGTTCTGACCTCCTTTACCAGGTCTCGACGCCTTCGAGAAGAAGGAGGGTCTCCCGGAGAACCGCGGTATCAACGAGAAGATCACGGATACTGCTCGCAACATGTTTGAGAAGGACACGGGGTACGCACTCTCCCTCTACTCTGCCGGTGACTTCTTTTTGACTTCCTTGCAGCGTCGACGTCCCGGACAAGTTCTCGAACTAAACATATCATACGGACCAACTACTGTACATCTATCATTGTTACTGCATAAATGCACATACTATATCCTACCAGTGTTCCTCCCAGGGCGTGAGCGGCACGAAGTAACATCAAGTCCAACGTCTATCGTCTTCCGCATGCTCCTGAAACGCGAAGACCAGCGCGTTCAGTCGGCCGCGCTAAGCAATTCTTAGTTCAATATGAGACAATGACATCCGGTCTACTTAGTTTATACGCTGACGATGCCGCCAATCGAGCTCAACATCATCTTGTCGATTGTATCGCCCAGATGGTCCTCTAACCATTTGTCCAGCATCTCAAACAGCACCATTGGCGGCCCGCCGAGTTCCTTGACCTTGCGCTTCCCCGGCCACATCGCGTTCTCTTGCAAGCCAACAAAGTTGACCGGGATCGGCGCGGGTGTTGTATTCGGTGGGAAAGCGATGACAAGGTCAACGGACCAACTATCGACGCCGTGGAAAGACGCCTCCTTGATATGGTGACGCGCGTATTCTTCCGGCGGGGGAGAATCAAGCGACCACGAAAGTACCTGCGCGTCAAACGCAACAACTGTACTTGCATCAGCCTCGTGTGTATGAAAAGATGGAAACAAGATCCACGTACCAGTCCAAATGATACCGGGATGGTCTATCTGGAGCGTGAACGAACGCGTGCCGGCGGCTGTGTCGACGCGGTCGTTGACAGCGTGAACGCGGAACTCCTGTTCACCTCCAGCACGGAAGGGCGAGCTGTAACCAGTAATATGAGGCAGAGAGATCTGATAGGGAGACATAAACTGGAGCGAGATGGTCAGCACAGCTGGATACAGGTCGCACGGCATCATGACTTACGGCCGAAAACGGATAGAGTACGTCCCAATCCCCGTTATAGTCGTTCATCTCTTCAAGCACGGCAACGCCATCAGCAGCGCCAAATGTGTTGCCAATGTCAAGTGCAAGCTCGTCGAAGCCCGGCGCGCCGTCGGCCGCACCGATGTGGAGAGAACGTTCGCCGGAAGTGATGTTGTCACTCGAGAGGATGAAGAGGCGACGCTGGTGTAGCTCATCGAATGGACTGCGCTGGGCGAACACAATGGAGGTGGCGTATAGAATGACATGCAGGCCGATGATAGTGTAGAGTATGAAGTTCCCGCTGTAGCGATGCGCGAATGGCAGTACGAGAGGGGCCGCATAGGCCAGTGTTACAGCCGTGATGGTAGCGATGATGTGCTCGGCGGGCGCGTCAGCGCCAATCCGACCAGTCTGGCATCTTTGTCAGTCGGATGCATGTGATGAGCGAGTACGACAGCACTCACGAGAGGTACGAACACGTCAAAGACTGTCAGGATGACCTCGGTGCCCGATACGAGGGGTACTATTTGCCCGAGTACGTATGTGATCAGAGATACGGTGCTGGCGCTCGTGTTGATGAGCTTGTCAAGGAGCAGGGCGCCAAACAATGGCAGTGCTGTCATGAATAGAGTTGCCGCGGATCCAATGCCAGCTAATTGGAGGGCAAGGGCGCCGAAGGACATCAAGATCAAGAGCGAAGTGAACATTGTGCGCTCGTAGACGCCGTCCAAGAGTGCCTGCGAAGCCAAAGCACCTTATGGATTGTGAGTTGGCGCTTGGGAACGTAGACGCGGACCACTGACCTGCTAATGCAGATGGCCCGTAGAGCAGCAGAGGGGAAAGTTCCGTCGCAAACCATGACATGTTCTTCCCGAGGTACCGATGCATGACAATGGCGTGTGCGTTCACCGCGATGATGGCACCCAATAGGCCGAGCGTGAGCAAGATGATTCCCTGCCGATGTGCCGCCCAGACGGAGACGCCAGTCGTACCGGGTCTCGCAGAGGGGTCCCGATATGTCACGTAGGTGAACGTTACAGCGCAGACGAACAACGTCGCGTACATCATCTGCGCTGTCCGGGCGGAGTATAGGAAGAAGAGGTGTACGACGCTGAAGAAGACCGTGGTCGGCTTGTGGTAACCGGCTTCCAGTTGTGGCAGAGGCGACTCGTCTGAGGACAAGTACTTGAGGATCGCCAGCGTGTTCTCTGCCATGTGCTGCGCAACTCCGGGTTCAATATACTCGACACGGTCCTACAAAGGCAATCGGTCAGTGCGTGCTTAGCGTCATCTGTCGCCGTGCTCACTTTGTTCGTGTGATACATGTAGCTATCTCCGACCACCGCCATCTAAAAGACATGCGCATGTCAGCAAGCGAAGCCGGTGGTCCCCGATACACGTACATCTAGACCGCTGATATTGAGATACAGTTCGAACTGTCTGAAGTCTGTGCTGGAGGATGGTTTCAGACTCAGGGAGCGCTCTGAATGCGGTGACCAATACCCACTCAGATAGCAGAACTCCGGAGCTGAAGACCTCGTTCGCTACGATAGTTCCGAATGGGCTGATCGTATGTCAGAGATGGAGATCTGACTGAGGAGTTGGGACTTACTGAGGAACCTTTGAGTATGCTCCAATCATCTCCTCCGAGTTAGCTTGGAAAAGAAGTGTAGGGCCAGTCGTGCCGGCTGCTTCAAGATTAAGGAAGGCACGAACGCTAGAGGCTGTTAAGTACATCGAGAGACGTATAACCGAGACAGAGCTTACGTTGAACGCGTCGGATGCTGGGTAGAGTACAGTTGCGATCCATCTTGAAGAGACTCTTCGGCGTGGTTGAACACTGAACAGAAGATATCAACAACCAGTCACGGTAGACAGCGTGACAAAGGCGCTCACAGAAGATGATTGCATGCTTCGGCTCCCAGTCGGGAGTGTGCGTCAATACACGGATACATTCCAACATGACACCGACAGCCAGTGCATCATCCGCGGCACCTGGACTGGGCAATGTGCTGTCCAGATGCGCATTGACAAGGACGGCATCGGCTTTGCCTGCATCGGTGCCGTCGGAGATGCGAACAACGATGTTCGTCAAATCGCGATATCTGCGAGAGGATGAGCCGTTGGCATCTATGGAACCGAAGCGGAACCGTACGTCTTGTACAGTCGCTTCCCCATCATGTCGAAGCTGTGACCGCGTGATGAGTTGAGAGACATAGGGACATGAGTAGAAAATGCGTACCGATGACTGCCGCTGCCCTGTTGCCTCCAGACCTCGCATTCCAACTTGCGTCCTGTCGCTCGCGCCACTCCGTCACACTCAGCCTTCAACTGCAGCGCAACGTCGTGGGTGTACTTGTCGGCCAGTGCGTGCTCAGTGGTCCCAACGGTCCGGAAGCCGATTTCTTCTGACAGGTGTTCCGTATAGCTGAGGATTTGCGCCTCGGACAGTTGAGGCAATTTCGTGTCCGGGTTGACCCTGTGGCGCGTATGTCAGAAGGTGGTCGGCCCGAGATTCGGAATACACCTACAGTGCAGTCAATGGTGTCGGTAGAGCTAAGCAAGATTGAGTTATACTGATGCTCTTCCGGGAGTCTGTTCACGCACCATAGTGAATCTTATACGTGAAGAATGGTACAGCGAGAAAGACAGGTAGGAGTACAAGCAAGGAAGGCAATGGTCCCCATCGGCGAACACGCGACGGCGCCATCGAAGCAGTAGATCAGCAAGAGCTACACGAGATTCGCAAGAGTCCAATAAAGTGGTGGTCGTGGTTACAATGGACGTTGCTGTTGAAAGCCGCGTTCGACTGGAGAAGTTGGCAGGCGCCGTCGGTGACGAGCGAGCGCTCCGCGCGCCGAGAGCGTCATCATGAATTTATAAGGATCGCCTCAGCCTGAACGTAAACCGGGGATGATCGATGATCTGTGCGAAGGTGCGTTGGGAATTTGGATGGTGGCGGTGTCTTGTACAGAAGAGATGGGACGGCCCGTCCAAATGCCCATGTTTGGTATAGATCCACAATAGTCTGGACCTAGGTACGCGGGCGTGAAGTTCGAACGCCCTCGCCTGCGACGTTGACGTTACTTGCCTCTGCCCATCATCATGAGAGTCCTCGAGCCTCTCATCCATGAGCTTGGTCGTGACTGCCAACATATCCCAGCCCTATACATCGATTAAAGTGATGGATTGGCTCCCTATCTCCCGACCTACGGGCCGTCCGGAGGAGAACATGCCCCTCACCAGCCTGCGTCTTCCGCGTTTACTTGCTACGCCAGCCACGAGACTTGTCATAAGACGACGTCGCGTCTCATCCCAGTTTAGAACACTGGCTTCTGGCATTCTTTCTCTCTGATTTGAGCTGGTTGGCTCGCGCACTTGAACGACTAGTATGAGCTCATCCGTGCCCCCAGCATTTCTCCGCCCGGACCGCCTCTCGCAAGGCTAGTCAAGTAGAGCAGGACTGTGCAATTTCCGACCTGGGATAGGCCCGAGCAGCAAAGCTCGGTTCCTTCGCTTGCTTGCTCTTCCGAGCTGGATATCGCAGCACACCGACATTCCCTCTTGCGATTCGCGTCGGGCCGCCTACGTATACAGCTACAGGCCCTCCCGACACTCGTCTCCGGCGATTAAGCACCCATTGCCCGGACTTGATCCAGAACCTCCGGCTGGCGACAGTGCCTTACGGATCGGATGCTCGGATGTGCTCGGATAAACGTCGAGCAACGGTCTCTATGTGCAGCACGCGCCATGCATTCCGCGAGCCTCGGGCCACCTCCTCACAGGCACACCGGTCCCGCGTATAAGAGCGGCCTCACTTTCAACTGGGGAGCTCTTTTAGAAAGTCCTATCCAGTCCGGTCGACATGGCGCGCATCTCTATCTTCGGACTCGTGGCCTTCGCGTCGTGGGCATCGGCGCTCACATACAAAGGCGCCGACATCTCCTCCGTGCCCGAAGTTGAGGCTGCGGGTATCACCTATACCGACAGTGGATCGGCCAAGGCGTTCGAGAAGATCATCGTCGACCATGGAGCGAACACGGCTCGGGTGCGGGTGTGGACTTCGGGGACCTACGACACGGACTTTGCTATCGCGATGGGCAAGCGCGTCAAGGCTGCGGGCATGACTCTTATCGTGGATCTCCACTATAGCGACACCTGTACGTCTGTACTCTATGCTATCGAGAGTGTATGAGGCTTACCGTAGTGTAGGGGCCGACTCTGGCCACCAGGCGATTCCCTCTGGCTGGCCTACGGACCTGGACGGGCTCAACACTGAGATATACACGTACGTCCGCTCGCTCCGAGTCCTATACATCAAATCTGACAAGCATCTAGTTATACTCAGAGCATCGTCTCCCAATTCGACTCTGCAGGCGCCACAATCGACATCCTCCAAGTCCGTGACATCTTCCACCGACCTCCTGATCCTCACTGATCCTCCAGCGCAGGTCGGCAACGAGATCAACGACGGCCTGCTCTGGCCCGTCGGCCGCCTCTCCACCGAAGGCTTCAGCCCCGCCTCCCAACTCATCAACTCCGCCATCTCCGGCGCCAAATCCGTCTCCTCGCCCAAAATCCTCATCCACCTCGCGAACGGCTGGGACTGGTCCGACCTCGAATGGTTCTTCACCGGCATCTTCATCTCCGGCGCATTCGAAGCCTCGTCGCTCGACATCGCCGGCGTCTCGTTCTACCCGTTCTACGGGACGGACGCGACGCTTGCCGCGCTCAAGAGCTCGCTGACGAATTTGGCGAACTTGATCGGGAAGGAGATTATCGTTGCGGAGACGGACTGGCCGGTGACTTGTTCGGGCGTGACGCTGTCAGAGTCGGTCGCTGTGTCGGCGGCGGGACAGGTTACGTGGATCGAGGATATCACGAGCGTGCTGGATAGCTTGCCGAATGAGCGTGGGCAGGGTATTCTGTACTGGGAGCCCGGATGGATCGGGAACGCCGCACTTGGGTCGGGCTGTTCTGTACGTTCACTCTTGCTGCCTGCCATACGTAGCTGACTTTCTACAGGACAACCTTCTAGTCTCCGGTACCGGTGCAACGCGGTCGTCTATCGGGATGTTTGTTGACATGTAGCTGTCCATGAATACTTCATTTTTTCCCGCGCAAGCAAAGCATTCTGTCTCATTTGCTCCGCACCCAAAACCCCCTCGAGTGACTGACAGGTCGTAATACATTTGCCTCCCGCCATCATCCTGAGCCCAACATGGTCCGCTATGCACACTACACCGCAGCTCATCCAACCCTTTCGCCCGCTCAGGTCGCTCACAACGCTCAAGTTCAAGCCGCAGAGAGCCTCCCACGGTACCACTACCTCCGCGCCGCAGTGACTGGGGCCTACGACCTCGAACCCAGCGAAGACGATCCGTCTCTCACGACGCTCAACTTCGCGCGCTACGCAGGTCACGACCTCGTGCCGCTCTACAACCTGAGGCTACAACCCAACGCCGATGGATCCATGCACCCCGAAGATCTTCAGATCTACAACGAGGAGCTGTTCATGAACTGGAAAGCGAGAGAGGGCGGAATACTCTGTACGGTCCGCCTGTACAAGCAGTTCTGGAGCATGGTTCTGAGCTACAACTCGCCCGCGCGGACGACGGGGTCGGCTGCTCGGGATGCTCTCTTCGATGGGTGGAGGGGAGCTGGGTTTCCCGAGGCGATGATTCCTTGTATGGTGCGTACGCTAGCGCTGCTGTTGACTCTTGTCTCACGCAACATCGAGCTCAGTGGTTCGCCAGACCGTGCGGCTGCATGGACCCAGAATGTCAGTACAAGCACGATGAGGAGACGACGCGGAGGGACAAGGACTCTGTCTACGCCTGGCGGCGAGCGCAGTGCAATAAGCTCACTGCCGCGGACGTCGCAACTTTCCGCGACGCCGATCCCATCACACTCTCTCCTGGTGATGACGGGTACATCGTCAGGCAGATCCAGCTCGACATGACCCATCCCGAGCCCAACATCTGTTGGAACCCCGCCTGTCCCCAGGGACTGAACGTCCACCCAGACGCCTCGAGATCTTTGCAGTGGTGCTCTATCTGTAAAGTGGTCAGCTACTGTTCAGTACGTGTCGATCTCGCGACTACTTCGGGAGTTCCAGGTTCACAGATCCCACACAGAAAGGCTGTCAGCGACGGCACTGGCGAGCGCATAAGGGTGATTGTCACCCGTACGAGGAGATCATCGCGAACGATGACCTGTGGTCGATTGTCGGTCGTCGTAAAGGTCTGCAGAAGAACGGGATGTTCCTCGCGGAAGAGAACGGGAATCTCTCGCTGACCGTCACCCCATAAGCGCGGTCCGTACACTCTACAACGATCGAGTAAACCCCGACTGTGATGTATGTACCGTGATATCCTACAAACGAGTCGAGCCATAGCGCGCTCCTGCGCGTCCTGGAGAAGCTTGATCGACAGGATCGTTGAAGTGCAGCGGCTTCAGATAGACGTATAAATATGTGACATTGAGTAGGCAGGACTACCCGCGTATGATTCAGTACAGTAGGTGCAGGACCAACAAGTACGACTACAGGGTTGAGGCCCAATCTGTGGCGGTGGTGGTCGAGAAGCAAGGCCGGCGTTTTGATGCAACGCGCGCGCGCCTCGCGCCGTCACCGTGTGCCTATCAACCGCGTCTCTCCAGCAACCCCCAGCAGCGCCGTCCGCCATGTCTCGATTCGTGCGCGCCTCCAAATATCGGTGCGCATTATACACTAGCATACTGAGTGTAACGCTAACCGGTACAAAGCCATGTCTTTGGGCAGAACGCCAAGAAGGAGCACGGGATCGAGAACGTGAAGGTGTCAGGCAGCGCCTGGGACACGAACCTCATCGCCGCATCGGGCGTACGCATCCTCTCCTCCCCACACTTACAGCCATCTAACACATCATCAGAAATACATCAGCGTAAACTGGAACGCGTCGGGCGGCGGCGCCTTCGCGATCCTCCCCGCGCCGTCGCCCTTCACCGGCGCGCCCCAGATCCCGTACAAGCTGCCCGACGTCATCCCCCTCGCGCGCTCGCACACCGCGCCGGTCCTCGACACGGACTGGTCGCCCCACGCGGACGACGTCGTCGCGTCTGCGGGCGAAGACGGCAAAGTGATGCTCTGGAAGGTCAACGACGCGCAGTTCGAGGGCTGGGGCGCGGACGGCTGGGCGCCGACGGACTTCGACCCCGTGCTGCGCATCGACGCCAGCGCGCGCAAAGTGGGGCAGGTGCTGTGGCACCCGACGGCCAAGAACGCGCTCGCGAGCGCGTCGGGCGATTATACGGTCAAGTTATGGGATATTGGTGCGCCGGAAGCGCCCAAGGCCACGCTACAGGGCCACGGCGACATGGTGCAGAGCCTGGCGTTCAACGCGACGGGCGATCTGCTCGTCACGACGTGCCGCGATCGTAAACTGCGGATATTCGACCCGCGCGCGGGCGGCGAGGCGGTGCGCGTCGCGGACGGGCACGGCGGGATCAAGGCGTCGCGCGTGGTGTGGATGGGCAACTACGATCGGATCGCGACGACGGGCTTTAGCAAGATGAGCGATCGGCAGGTCGGGATATGGGAGACGGGCGGGCTGGGGAATATTAAGACTACTGCGCTCGACCAGACGGCGGGCGTGATTATGCCGTTCTACAGCGACAACAATATCCTCTTCCTTGGTATTCCCATTTCATTATCTGTTTATGCTCTAGTGCTGATGGGAATGCAGCGGGCAAGGGCGACGGGAACGTGCGGTACTACGAATACGAGAACGACAACCTGTTCGCGCTCTCGGAGTACAAGTCCTCGGACCCGCAGCGCGGGATGTGCTTCCTCCCGCGCCGCGCGCTCAACACCAACGAGTGCGAGATCGCGCGCGGCTACAAGATCGCAGGCACGAGCGTCGAGCCCATCGCGTTCATCGTGCCCCGCAAGGCAATCCCCCCTCCTATTCTACCTTCTTCCCCATCATATCTGACATGAATGCTTCTGCAGGCCGACAGCTTCCAATCAGACATCTTCCCGCCGGCGCCCTCGATCGAGCCATCCCTCTCCGCCGCAGAGTTCTTCACTGGCAAGACCGCGCCCCCGCGCCTCGTCAACCTCGAGACCGGCTCCGTGTCCGCCGGCGCGCCCACCAGCATCTCCATCCCTGCCCCCGCCGCTGTCCCCACGCCCACGCGTACCGCTACGGCGCCAGCACCCGCGAGCGCTGCTGCGACGCCGATCAGCAAGCAAGTCAGCGAGCCGCTGCCGACGCCCACGCAGACGCCCGTGACGCCCGCTGCTGTGCCCATCCCCGAGACGCCCGCGCCCGCTCCTTCGCCTCAGTCCGCTGCACCGGTCACTTCTGCTTCGCCGCCCGACGTGCGTACCTACTCTCTCCATTCATTCACGGATGTGGATAGTAACTGATTGTATGTGGGTTTACAGGACAAGCTCGCGGAGGAAAACGCCAAGCTGAGCGCCGAGCTGCGCGACGCGCGCGCGCAGATCCGCAATCTGGAGCTGCAGGTCGAGAGCATGAAGGCGAATGCGCGCAAGGCGGCCGAGGCGCTTTTGGCCGCGCACTGAGTACTGAGCTCTCATCTCTACTTAGCACTCAAATGTGGAGAGATGGAAGGATGTCCGGAATGTACGCGGAAAATCATGGACGGATTGTAACAGTTGCTTGGATTGTGGAATGTATGTACACGGTGGAGGTGGTGGATGTAGAGGTGTACAATGCGATCAGGACGTGCTTCTTACGCGGATATTCGAACCGGGGTGGATTGGTGCAGACAGTGGAGGTGCGCAACGCGACGCGAGCCTCGAGGCGCGCGCGCGTTGCATCAAAACACCGGCCGTGCTTCTCGACCACCACCGCCTCACACCAGACCTGACCTCAACTCCGTAGTCGTTCTCGCTACTCCTGCATAGATGTGCTGTATTGTACAATGCAACAGTAGCCCTGCCTACCCAATCACACGAATATGTTTATGATTCTGAAGTCGCCGCGCTTCAATGATCCTGTCGATCAAGCTTCTCCCGCCCATCGTCGACGCGAATCCACATCTGTTCGTGGCGTATCACGCCCACGTGAGTTAACCACCAGCATCGCGCTATGCCGCTATATGCGTAGTAGAAAAAAAGAAAAGCCAGATTGTCGTGATTCGTTGCGAGCAAGCGAGACGGTCCGAGCGGAAAGGGGTATTATTTTGTAGGATATAGGGTATGGTCCGCCACAGCATACATGATGAAGGCAAAGCATGAAAGCATCGGCATAGGCCGGGTCAACGCTCATACTCAGCATACTCTGAGATCCAAGGCAGTTGCAGTCGTTGAATGATCCTCAATCATCATTGAGCCTTCACATACGCCGCGCTCTCCGCCGAGCCGTACGTCCCCGTCGGCCCCCCGCTCGACGCCCTCGACTCGTGCGGAAGCTCGACGCGCACATGCGGCTCGGTCTTGTCGCCCAGCTCGAGATCGTCCGACTCGGCCTGCGTCGCCGGGCGCGTGCCGAAGCGCATGGACGCGAGGCCCGTCGTGGCGTGGTGCCTGTCGTCGGGGTGGGAGTGGTAGGCGGTTTTGAAGGATGTGCCGCGGAAGACGCGGACGATGATGAGCGTGAAGATTATTGCCTGTGCGATTGTGATCGTGGATTGTGGATTGTGGAGATGGTTAGCGATGTTGAAGGTGGGATAGGAGAGGGGGGAGGGGGACGCACGATGATGTTGGGCATCATGTCCAAGACGGCGAACATCGCGTCTGAGCCGACTTCGCTCGTCGCGATGAGGATCACGAGGCATGCGCAGTATATCGCCGCTGTGCACAATCATCAGTACGCGACGCCGATGGTACGAATGAGGTGAGATGCGCACCAGACTCGATGATGATGTTCACGACCTGCCCCAGCCGGCTCCCACCAAACCGGCGCGGAGCATCAGAATCGACACGTCTACGAGCAGCGTCGAAGCGCCAGATCTGGAACGCGATGAGGGCAGCGCATACGACCTATGCGATCCCAGTCAGCTCGTCATAGTCCACGGGAAGGGGAGGCGCGTACGTTAAGCACGAGCGTCACGACGTAGAAGTATTTCACGCGCGTGACAACGTCTTTTACGATGGGATCTCCGTCGACGCCGGTATGCGCGAGCGTCCACATAGACCATACGCCCATAGCTGACAGTGAGATGCGCGTCAGCTCATTGCATTGATCAACGACATCTACCACGGCACGTACCGATATCCGCACAAAACGCCAGCATGGGCACAATCACCGGCACCCAGTTCGACGCCCATACGATGTACGTCCGGTACACCTATTCCCAGTCAGTTCCATTGTCATAGTACTGCAAGCGTGTGAGGTATACCATGATACCATCCGTGATAATCGTCTGCGACACGAACGCGCCATTCTTCATAAGACCCGGTAAACTCGCTTCGTTCTGGAATACCCGCTGAGCGGCCTCGCGGCCGTCGGGCTGCCAGTGGAAGGCTTGCCAGGCGCGTATGAGCGCCGTCACCAGGTGCTAGACAAACAAGCATCTCCATCAGCTATCTGTCTGAAGCGAGCGAAGACGCGCAGGGGAAGGAGGACGCACGATGGTGGTGACGATGAAGATGAGCAGTGTGGCTATAGGCAGCCAGTACGTCCGCGAGGTCGAGAAGCCGCGCTTGTAGAATGCGTGCACGCATTGCCAGAAGATCATGAGGTACATGCCTTCGGGATCAGTTAGCAGTCGGTAGGAAGGGACATAGACAAGGTAGATTACCATAGGTGAGGCAGCAGAGGTACACGCCGAGCAACTCCGCGTCGACTTCGTTGATAGGCATGGCGGCCTATGTACGCAGCCGGACAGATTGCAGTTCAAGCAGCGGCCAGTCACACAGTCAAACGCTGAAGCCCACAGTAGCCTGGATCCTGAGCCTCAAGTCCAAGCACAGAGGATCAGCGCGAAGAAGCAGAAGGCAGGCCAAGCGTAGTAAAGGTGCGAAGGTCACGGCTCATATAAGGCTCAGAAGCTCGGCGCGGGCACGGGGGCGGCCAGTGGGAAGAAAGCCCAAGCAGGGTGACACCAGACCAAGCAAGTGGTCGCAAATGAGCACTACGCAGTGAGGGAACGAAGAGCAGATCCGCCGTCGATACCGCGGGCACTGGTCTGTCTCCTTGAGCTTAGACCGTATCACCAGCAGTGCCTCGAGCTTGCCCGTGGACGTTCCGAGTGAAGGAGAGTGTTCGAGGAGAAGAAAACGCGGTCGGTACCGGGCCACGGGAAGAACATGGTCGCGTTCCACGCAGACGCCATGAGCGTTTGTAGCGTCGTTGCGGAAAGCAGCCTCGGCGCACGTCATCATTTTTCGCTTTCGGTGATTGAGTTCGGTTCGGTTCCCACCCTCAAAGTAACACTGGGCTCTCTTGTACATCGATTTCTCAGAGAGTATTCGCCTTACAGGTTGGCAGAGCGTATACTGGCCAAGGGAAACATATCTCTGCGACTGCATCTACGCTCTCCACAAGAGTTTCCATACTTCGATACGCCGATCAACGTTAGGGCGAACTGCTGTACGAGAAGATCAACAAAGAAGCCCCACAGCGGTGGTCGCCGCTAAATTGAACTGTGGCACGGGCCAGTCGACAGACGCACGTTCGTGCATACCGGCATGCCCAGCATGCGTCGCACCCGATAAACAATCAGTCCAACATCCCTTGCATGATGCTCATCTAGCACAGAGTACATGTTCACAACTTTCAATCGTGGCTACTTGGATGTTGGAGAACATACGAACGCGCGAAGTTGATATGTTGACCCGCAACTCAAGCTTGTTAGCCTTCCCGCTCAGCTCATGATCAAAGCGCAAAAGACGCCCGCGTCTTCGGTGGCTGAGACACGCACGGCGGGAACGTCTGATCGCAAAACACCGCCGGAATTGAATTGACGGGTCCGAAGTCGTGTGCCACACGACCAACATCCCAAAAGCAGCTGCACGCTCACTCCCACTCCTTCAACGCCTCCTCCGCGCGCGCCGCCTCCTCCCTAATCAGCACTCCAACTTCCTCATTGCGCGGCTTGAGCGCGCACGGGAAGACCGCAGGTCGCCTCGTAACGTTGCTCGTCGCGTTGTTAGGGTCCGGCAGGAGCGCCTGTCCTTTCTCGTCGCGAGCCGGCGAGAAATCGAATGCCCAAAGCATCCTGCGCGACACATGAGCGTCATGAGCATGCGGACCGTTGAAACCTGACAGCGAGAAGAAAGATGCTGGGAAGAATGACGGACGTACCGCGAGATGACGATGAACAGGGCCTGCTCTGCTATAGCGCGGCCAGGGCAGATACGACGCCCGAATCCGAACGGAAGGTCGAAGTCTGCCAGGCGCGGGTGCTTTCCGCGTTCACCGAGGAAACGCTCTGGCTCGAATAGCTCGGGCGAATCGAAGAGGTCAGGGTCATGCGAGATGGCGCTGTGATAGAAGGTAGAGAAGGCGATTGAGTTTGGCCGTGCGTGCGGTGTAAGGCACGAAGGCGTACTTGATGTTTCCCCAGACTGTGGCCCCTTTGGGTATGCGGAAGCCCTCGTATTCATCTTCTGCTGTTGTAGCGTGTGCTAGACCGGTCGGTGCGACGACTTGCCAGCTGAAACGGAATCAGAAGAGGAGTAGAGATGGATGGAGGAGACACGTACCGCATGCTCTCCTTGATGAAGGCCTTGACGTATGGCAAGGAGGGTTCGTCGTCAAACGTTGGGTAGCGTGAACGGCCCACGACGCCGTCGAGTTCAGCTTGAGCCTTCGCGACAGCAGCAGGATGTAATATTGCGGCCACTGGATTTGTGTGAGCGCCGAAAGGACAGCATCGTACAGGTAGAGGACATACGGGTAAAGAGTTCGAGAGAGCCAAATGTCTATGCCGATGAGAGGTAAGCGGACTATCGAATAGCAAGTGCGGCACCAGCTCACTGTTGTTGTGCCCGCGGCAAATGGCATAGCCGTATAGTATGCCATTTCAGTCTCAGTCAACTCAGGACTGGGCCCATGCTCCCACAAATGCATAGAGATGCATGGCTTGGCTGTGCCTGCGTCCATCTTCTTCTTGACTTCGCGGAAGAGGCGCGTGTAGAGCGCGGTATTCTGTGCCCCTCTTTCTTCCATCGCTTTACGAAACCACTGCAACGGCCGCTGAAAGTGACGCTTGAGCGAATAGGCGAAACACCCCGGCGCGTACTAAACTCACCGGAAGCCACAGAAGCCATGGGTACTGCAAGATATGAGTATGCTAGAGTGGGCTGAGATGATCATACGCTCACGGATTCGATAAAATACTTTCCGGGCACCCTGAAACAGCATCAGTACCAGACCGCGCGATTTCATAGGAGACAGCATACATGGTAGCGGCGAACGCACTACCTGCAACTCGGTTTTCCTTCAGCAAGGGATCATTCAAAGTCGCGATGCGATTCCCGTAGGCGACCGAGAACGTGAGGGATGTTGCAAAGCGCTCGAAATGCTTCTTGTACATCTGAGGGCCATACATGATATCGCGCATGAGTAAAGCCGACTCGTGAGTTTGGAATGGTCGGTAATTGCGCTTCGCGTAGGCAGCGTTCATGCACATTGCACAGAACTATCGCCCAGTATCAGTACAGCGCGCTGATTATGCAAGACGCCACCACGTACTTTGCGCCACCTTCGCCATTGCTCTCCGTACTGCATGCCCAGACCCCAGTACCCCTTCGACATGATCTCCTGCCCCATGATATTCCTTGGTCGGCTTGAATACATGTCGCCACGTTTTTCTAACAGATCCCACGCTGCTTTTCCTGAGTTGAGCACTGTAAAGTGCCTAAGCCATCGTATGCCATATTCGAGGCTCTGAAACATACCTATGACCGGTGTACGACCGAGTTTGAAGGAAAACACAGGCCCTGGGCGCTCGAGTTAGCGCAGAACACGCGAACCAGTCTCTGAACTGCGTACCATACTCTTTTGCAAGTTCCATGAATCGTTTGTACGGCTCTGCGGGCATGTCAAATGGACCTTTTCCTAGGCGCGTCGGGCCAGGTGGGATACTCGATTTCTTCACATCCTTGTCTGGCCCCAAAACGAATATTTTGAAAGAGGGTATGGCGATGATCGCTGCCGCAAGTAGCAGCACAACGTCCGACGCGCTCAGCATGGTGATGACAGCCGGAGCAGACGTTCAGAACGCAACGCGGTGTGTTCTTTACCACAGTATCCGGGACGCCGTAGATGCGAACGACGTCGTTCCAGTCTAGAAGCGAGAAGCAACTTCGTGTTTCTGGTGATGCCAATCCGGAGCGCTCAGAACTGATGGGTTCACGATAATAGCATCACGGTTTGGTAGACGATTGGCTAGAGACGGCAGTGTACGTGGAGGGAGTGCCCCGACATGGCCGTCCTAACTGACCTCGAAACGCCGGCAGTCGTATCGTGGATCTACACGCGTCTACAGCTATCCCACGCCTTCATCTGCGCATTCCGTCAAGCGGAAAGCGTTCGATGCACTCGGCTATCTTCCTTGCCTGCACCCGTATAGCATCTTACATGACCATCACACGTTCACACAGCGTGAATAAATGGCAAAGGGGTCTAAGTGTAGATAAAGTATAACAATACGAACGACTAGTGACAAATGACAGAACGACGAGTGTAAGCCGAGCAACGACGACAGCAAGCACGGACAGTAGAGTACAGCGAGCAAGACGAAGCGACAAACACAGTGAAACGACAAGGAGACCAAAGAGAAGGGGGCATAGGTAAGCATAATGGGGCATAGAGGGCATAGGTGGGCATAGGGTGGGGTATCGAAAGCAACGCGAAAGCACGTCTGTCAACTAGTCGTCGATATGGAGAAGGAAGCAAGAACGGAATGAGTGAACCAAGAGAAATGAAAGTCGAAGAGGTATACGTATAAGACTCTAAGCAGACGGTTGGCCGAGTATCGTGGTGAGGTACCCAGTGATAAGACGGATGAAGCGCTTGCACTTCTTCTGGTCCTTAGCCTTGACGATAGGCAACATCATCAAGTCCATCTTGTCGGAGTGCCAGCGAAGGAGCTCCTTGTGGAGGACCTTCCTAGCGACACCCTGGCCCTCAGGGCGCTGATTGTGGAGAAGGAAAGCGCGGATAGCCCTCTCCGGCTTGCCATCGTTGAGGTCGAGGAGCTCCGTCGCCGTGATACCGGTGGGCTCGAACATGGGCCAGGGGAGGTGACAGAGGTCGAACTTGATGCCAGCGTCGACGAGCTCCTGGGTCTGAGTCTTAATGAGCTGCATCTTCCACTCGTACATCTTGAAGGCGCGGATGACATCGTCGGGCTCGGCCTTGATGGCCTTACTCTCCTGCTCAAGACGGGCGCGGAAGCTATCCTTCGCCTTGCGGGCGCGCTCCTCTTCAGTGCGACGCTGGGCTTCTGCAGCACGACGCTGGGCCTCTGCAGCGCGAAGAGCCTCCGCCTCGCGCTCAGCCTGTTGGCGGGCAAATTCCGCCGCCTCGCGCTCAGCCTGCTGGCGGGCAAGTTCTGCCGCCTCGGCAACCTTCCGCGCCTCCTCGGCAATGCGTGCCTCCTCCGCGAGACGGGCAGCCTCCGCGAGACGGGCAGCCTCCGCCTGACGTGCAGCCTCCGCCCGACGTGCAGCCTCGGCGCGGGCGGCCTCGGCGGCAGCGTGGTCAGCAGCAATGCGCTTCTCAATCTCTTCCGTCATGCGCTGGGCGTGTCCAGCGGCGATGCGGTCCGACACCTCCTTGTCGCGTGCGGCCTGCTCGACGGCAGCAGGGTCAAGGACGGTAAACTCGACGCGGATCGAACCCTCGCGCCTAGCCCTGCGCTCGCGGCGCTCGCGGCAGACGAAGCTGGAGTCCTCCATGATGACAGAAGGGCACGGCCTGGCAGGAGCGTAGGTCTGGCGCTGAGGCTGAGGCTGCGGCTGAGAGAAAGAAGCACCGTCGACATCCATCATAGAGGGCTCGCGGCGGAAGGAAGTGTCGATGTCCATGGCAGACCCATTCGCGGCGGTGTAGCGGTTGCGACGGAGAGGGCGAGGGCCACGGATGTTGGGGCCGTACGGGTTGGCGTTGTTGTTGTTGCGGCGAATCTCGCGTGCGACGTCGGCGGTGAAGCGAGGGCGGGTAGGCTGCTGCGCGATGCGGAGCTGTTCTTCGCGGAGCTCGGAGAGGCGCCTGAAGTACGCTGCATCATTGAAGTTGTGGTTGCGCTTGAGTTCAGCGATCTCCTCGTCGACGCGAGACGCCTCGCTGAGAGGGGCGGGAGCCGGGTCGGGGACGGTAGTGTAGTCGGGGGTGTCGCTGCGTTCCCGGGCCAGCCACGGATATACGTATGATGCGACGGAGTATGCGCCAGACAGGTGCATAAAAAAGCTCTTCATGTCACGGGCGAGGCGGGTGGTCTTGGACGACGTAGCCTTCATCGTATGCTCTGAGAGGCAGGTGGTCAGTGTTGAGAGGACTAGGTGGTTCAGGAGAATGTACAGACCTTGACAGTGGTGAGTGACTTGATTCGGGTGGTGAGATGGGGTCGGTGGTGGTGGTGGTGGTCTATCCAGGTATTGCGTCAATACCGAGGAAGAGGCGCTATGAGGTTTAGGGACGAACCTGGAGGAGGGTGGTTGCTTGAGGCAAAGACCTGGTTGAGGTTGCAGAGCGTGGGTGGGCGGGCGAGGGTCAAAGTTCGTGGTGTTGCAGAGCAAGCTTGGACATGCACGTTAAGAGGCAAGCGCGCCGCGGGTCACGGGATGAGGACAATGATGTGTTGAGCGATTTCAACTAAACCACCATCGATATTCGCTTCGTCAGCCGCGCTGATTCTGGGGCGCGGCGCATGAACCACCTTCTGTGAAGAAGCACACCCAACCACGACGGGGCCCAGAGGGCGCTGTGCGTTGAGCAGGGCATCCAGCACGAGTGAGACTTACGTTCCTCTACATCCTCACGCACGGCGCACTCGCGCCAGGCCGCGGAGGATAGACATCGCATCCAAGTCTCGCCGCTATCGTACCCATCAGCAGTTACAAGGAGGTACAATGGGCGAGCACGCGAACCTATTCCCATGCAGGCACGCCATCCTGCGCATATTCTTCGGTACCCCATTCTTATTGCAGGCATACCCTGCATCGTCCCTGCGAGTAAACAATGGAGATCACATCGCTTCCTTCTGTATCAGCCTGCTGAATGCAAAGCAGTTCAGGTATCATCGACTTCCGCTAGCCCAATACCGGGCTGACCGATCTCGTCTCTGCTCTGGGAGGTAGTGCGAGCATCCTCGTCGCCTCATCGCATCGTGCGTATTCGTCATGCTCCTGACTACGTACGGCTTCTGTGAGTCCTGCTTCCGGGATAGATGAGCTTGGCGTATGGCCTCTGACTCATAGCCTGGGCCCAAGCTCGTGGTCGAACACCGCGCATCCACCGTCTCGCGAAAGAGACTGCTTTCATCGCGGGGCGTCCGGTCAAGCGAACACTAGCATGTTAGGCCAGTGCGGGGGATCGTCGAATCTTGTCATCAGGCGCGGCATCCACTAGGTGTGTTATTCCAGTGAAGCCGATCTTTGGCTGACGTCCTGTGAGTACCGCCTTCAATCTTGATGCGCCGAAATTCCTCTCTTCGTTGACCGTTCACGCGAATGCGATTGAGGAGGCAGAGACAGGATTGCCGCTAGGATATGGCTGGCACGCAGGGCGTCATGCGGTCGTTGATCGATGATCTACGCTCGTCGTTGCCATTGTTAGAGCGGTAGAGGCGTCGTGCATTGTAGCGCAAGCTCTGGATGAAGTGGCTGGACATTCCTTTTGCTGAGCACAGAAGCATATAGCGGGTGTTCTACCAGTGTTATGAGTGGGCGTAGCTACCCATCGGACCTGGAAGTGGAGGTGAGTGAATTGCCGCTCACAAAACCGACGTCGACTGGGTCACGCTTTCTGCGCACTCACCGACTCGCTACAAGGTTCTCTGCCACATGTACAGACGTTGTGATGGTATGAGGTCCCACAGTCGAAAAAGGCATTCGCAGTGCGTTCGAAGGGCGTTGAGAGCTTGAGGCCGAAGTATGGGATGCGGGCTTCTTGCTGGCTGGTGACTTGCGTCTTGCCGCGCTGTACCATTGTTTCCTCCCAGATTACACACTCCATGTCACAGGTCGTACGGCAACAACAGACATGCTCTCCCTCTTCAGGTCTATACAGAACGATTTGATAAAGCGGTATGCGAATATGAGAGTCATTGTTCAAGTTGAAGTCGTCGTCACAGGCTTCGCGCGGTCTCACCCGAACAAAGCGCCCGATGATTTTGGACCCACGTGCATCAACAACTGCATCATTCAGCGCTTAATATTTGTCTCTCCCCGTCACAACTCGTAGTATCAACTCAACGTTTTCTACCAAGATAACTATGAGATGCGTAAGGTAAAGACTGCGGTGAGACGAGCATAGGAGGTACGAAGAGCAAAACCAGTAGCCGACAGCAGAGGTGTCATATGCGACGAGTGGGGTACTTAGACTACTTATCAGAGCGTACGCGTGGGGAAATCGAGACTGTGATGCCCCCTCTGTCGTCTTTCACCGTATTACCATTCCACTGCAGGCCTTTGCGGAAACCTACGCGAGACCATAGTTCGTCGTCGTGGATGATTTGATCATACGGATGACAATCCTGCTTGTGCTCCTTCCAATGCTTCTTCTGGCACTCTGCCTACATCCGAAAGTCAGCGCTAACGGTGAGGCTCGACCCAAAGAGCTCACAGAACAATACGTGACAACCTTGCAACGCGAGCAGCGCTTCAGTTGCTCGGCAAGTTCGGGATGATCGTCGACTTGACAGCAGCCCGTATTCCAGCAGATAAGTGGGTCTGGGTTCTTGATGTAGTACTGTATCTCCTCGACGATGAAGCCATCATCGCCAGGAGAGTATTCAGCGGGAACGACGTCGCGAAATATCTCAATATCCTCCGGAGTGAGCTGACCGCACCGCGCGCGCCTCCAGGCATACACGAGGTCTTTATCACGCTTCGTCGCCGCCGCATCGTGCTGAAACGGGCAGCGGGGATCCATGCAACCCGACTCCCTGGCGAAGTACTGCGCGCATCAACTCGTGAACCGACGCCAATGTAGCATAGCACCTGACTCACCATGCACTGAAGCATACGTTTGGGAAAGCCCGCCGCTTTCCACTCGTCTAGGAGCTTGTCCCAGGCCGGGATGCCCGTCGTCTTCGCCGGCGAGTTGTAGTTGAGCATCATGTTGAAGAAGGGTCGTAGCTCCATATACGCATAAAGTATCCCCGCCTCTCTGACCTTCCAATTGCCAAACAACTCCTCCTTGTACAACTTCAAGTCGCCGGGATGTATCGTGCCATCGGCGTTCGGGTGAAGCTTCATGCCACGGAGCGGCTTGAGCTTGTGCAACTTGTAACGGTCAAAGACAAGCCCATGCCTCACAAAAGGCAACGGGTTGGGGTTATTGGGATCGCCAGGCTGAAGTTGCTCGATGTCATATGCCCCCGTCACGGCTGCGCGGAGGTAATGATAACGCTCCAGATTGCCTTCTGCCTGTCGTCGGCCCTGCGCGATAGCCTTGGCGCGGTCAAAGTTGGGAGGATAAGTTTTGTAGTGCACGTATCGGACCATGGCGTGGTAAGGTGCTGGCTAGATGGCAGTCAGAAACAAGCTGGGGTCGTGCCTATGTCGTGTCTTGTTGCCGAAGATCGTGATCATAAAGGGCGTGGTCACCGGCCCGCAGATCATCTACATGATGTAAGGTATGACCATCTATAGTTTGACCCTACTACAACATGTGCGCGCTTATGTGGCGGCTTCATTGCTATCCTGGTTCGGGCTACTGAATCAACAGGACAATGTCCAAGATCCCGACGTGTGAGCGTACCGCCTCTGTCCCCTTATGACAGCCTTAGCCTTCCTGATCAAACGTGCGCTTCTACAGCTATTGCCGTCGCAGCGGGTCGAAGAGATCGGATATCGCACGCTTTGCCGGTGTTGCTACAAGAGTAGCACAAGTCTCCGCCGGACAGATGCCGCATGTACTTACTCAGAGACGCTGCTTGATCTGAAGGGCACCTCCACATAAGCATAAGAGTAAATACTCTCGACATCTGGACGTACTCGTGCACGTAGTAGCTGGGTCATATAGAAGCTGTCAAGCGTGCTGAGTGCAAGTGTCCTCGATGGCAGTCGCGGCCCATTAACTCCGGCGTGTTTCGGAGATTGTTGATGACAATGCATCTTGATAATACAGTGTCAGTACGCCTATTCTTACACAAAGTGTTCTTTTCTGCACAGACCTACTGCGCAAGATACTCTTGAGTCAAGGTAGATTGCGAAAACAAGCGTTGAATGCGGTAGGTGAACCGGCTGGCCGACCCCTACCCGAGGAGTCTCGAAGGTGTAATCGAAGGACGCGGTGAGGATACTCCGAGTATATAAGACCCTTGTCACCGTGGTCCATTTTATACAGCAGATACTTCCACGGTAGGGCATCGATGACCGAAAAAGTCGACCAAAAGACCTTCAGCGCGCGGGGCTTTGGAGAGAACCTGCCGGTGGAGGTGCGCCACGAGTACGTTTACCAGTCTCTGCATCCACAGGGGCCGGCGAAGCTCACCAGGGGATCTTGCAGAGTGTACCCAACTATCGACCCAACTCCGGTCTACGCGTCCCAGTCATTGAAAGGGAAGGCTCTGTTCATCACTGGCGCCTCGCGCGGCATCGGCCGTACTACTGCCATCGCGTTCGCCAAAGCTGGCGCATCCGTGGCCATCTCCGCTCGATCTTCTTCTGCGCTCGATGAGACGAAGGCCTTAATCTTGAGAGACGTGCCGGAGGCAAAGGTGGAAAAGTATGTGGTTGATGTGACGAAGGCTGAGGAAGTCGAAGATGCGGTTGAGAGAGCTGCAATCGCTTTCGGGAGGTTGGATGTGGCGATCGCGAATGCGGGCTATATCAACCCTTTTGACACGCGTGAGTATTCGTCCTGTAGGAGAACATAGGAGGCTCAGACTCACAATATCTGATAGCGATGCAAGAGCGCAAGTCGTCCGACTGGTGGCGCACGTTCGAGATCAACTTATTGGGCGTGTTCAACACCGTTCGTCCGGCGCTCAAGCACCTGCAAAAGGTCGATGGGTACGTTGTGGCAATCACATCGGTCGGCGCGCAGTTCCGATCGCCGAATGGCAGCGACTATCAGGTTCGTGGCCTTGCGGCTGGGCGTACGAGCAAATGCTGATGGACCGCCCGGGTAGACGTCGAAGCATGCACTCAACCGGTTGGTTGAGCTGATCGCGCTTGAGAACGCGCCAGTCAAAGCCTTTTCCTTGCACCCAGGAGCAGTAGCCACGGAGATAGCGACAACAAGCGGTATTGAAGCGCAGGGTGTTCAGTTCATCGACCCTCCTGAGCTTCCAGCGGCGACTATGCTCTACCTTTGTACCGGTAAAGCCGACTGGCTCAACGGGCGGTATGTCAGCGTGAACTGGGACCTGGGGCAGGTCGAGGCAGAGTGGAAGGAGAAGATTCTTGAGAAGGATTTACTGGTCAATAAGCTAGACGTTGTAGGATCCGTTTGAGTCGTACCGGGGTGCCAATCAATCTTATTCTCCAATCCGCGCAACTGTGGTACGACGCCGAGTCGCCTTGGATGAGCACGATCTTTCGCGAGCTCTCTGCAGCAGAAGGTTGGGGGCCAGCGGCAAAGAAATGTAGTCTAGGTTGTGACAAGTGATGTGAGAAGCAGGGAACTTGCACTGGCACCGGCGAGATACTGCTTGTGAGATTTTGTTCCTCGACGGCTGATGGTAGGCCCATTTGCTCAGTGCTCTCGTGCACAATGAATCCTGCGGCTGCTTATCGTCACGCGGAGAGAACACGCCAGTGTGACCTGAGATAGCGTATAAGGATCGAAAATATAGTTCTTGAGTCCTCCCGTGGTCGCGTACACCATGATAGTCGCGGCTAAGCGCGAGCGTGCTGCGAGTCGCAGTCGAACCTCGCGAGCGGCGAGCGCGGGCCGCTTCCTGATGTTCTCACGCATCTCCGACGCGGTCATGCGACTTTACTGGCTTCCCTCGGCTCTCTGCATGAGGCTGTCCGTTACGACTTACTTTCATCGAGCACGTCACGCTTGTCAATACATATAAGATAAGGGTATGTACAGTAATCATGTCTGTATCCACGAGGGACGTCACTCTTCACGTGCATAAATGCTTCCATAAATATACTGCCTGTTTCTTGTCCTCGACCCCGTCACCGCTCTTGCTGGCGCGACAATGGGACGCAAACCCGTCTAGATATTCTTAGCACTCTATGCCTGTCGTATGGAATAGCGTAGCGGGCCCATGGCTGCCACGTTCTCGCGCGCTTGAGTTGCTTTAGCTGCAGCGGGTTTCCCGTTATGTCACTAGCCTCAAGTCTGAACGACCCACTTGTCCGGAGTCCAAGTACCGCTCATCTCTGTTTGACGGCGGTCCCACCCACAATATTGATCCGTGTTGCCCAGCTCGGATGTAGGAAAGAGAGGCATCTCGGAATAACCTCGCGTAAAACATCATGACATATCGCATGAAAGTCGTTCGTTTGATTAATTGTAGGCCGATTGACGCGTACGCGCAGTACCAATGGGGTATGTCGGGGCTGTCGGGCAGGCTTATGGGCATGAGATCCTGGGCGATGCAGTTGGCCTGCAAGCATCCGCGACACAGTTAGTATGGGAAAAACCGTCGGTGGTTAGTCATACCGCGGTGTTCTCAAACAAAGTTCAACTCCACGACTATCGCGATGCAGCGTCGCGGACGGTGTAGCGAGACGGAAATGCCTTCGAGAGCTGTGAGAGTTTTGAGTAACTGGAGGTGTATATAAGGCTCTAATGGTTGCCCCTTGGGGATACCTCACCTGGCAACAACACGATGTCCGACCAACAGAACCTCGTCAAACGCGGGTATGGCGAGAACCTCCCGGTGGAGGAGCGCCACGAGTGAGCATATCCCCGTATGCTACTTCACCGCTTCGGGATTGATCTCACGTTTTGCCTTGTGTTGCAGAGTCTATCCTTCCATTGATCCCACAGCCGCCTACACGTCGCAGCCCCTCAAAGGCAAGGCCGTCTTCATAACCGGCGCCTCGCGCGGTATCGGTCGCACAACCGCCGTTACGTTCGCGAAAGCAGGCGCGTCCGTGGCAGTCACTGCGCGTTCGTCTGCGGCGCTCGACGAGACAAAGGCGTTGGTGCTGAAGGCAGTGCCGGAGGCGAAAGTTGAGAAGTTTGTCGTCGACATTGCGAAGGCGGCGGACGTCGAGGCGGCGGTCGAGAAAGCGGCGGGGATATTTGGGAGGCTGGATATTGTCATTGCGAATGCGGGCTATATCAATCCGTTCGATACGCGTTAGTCCTCATTACTATGGAGCACATTCTCGCAACTCATGACCTTCGACAGCGATGCGGGAACGCAAGTCGGCCGACTGGTGGCGCACGTTCGAAATTAATTTGCTCGGCACGTACAATACCGTCCAACCGGCGTTGAAGCACCTGGTGAAAGCCGACGGCTACGTTGTGGCAGTCACCTCCATCGGCGCGCAGCTCCGTTCGCCGAACGGCAGCGACTACCAGGTTCGTCCATGTGTATCTAAGGGCACAAGCACGAGCTCACGAAGCGCCTGATAGATGTCGAAGCACGCACTGAACCGGTTGGTTGAGCTGATCGCGCTTGAGAATCCTCCCGTCAAAGCCTTCTCCATGCACCCGGGTGGGGTAGCTACAGAGATGGCCGAAACGAGCGGCCTCGCGGCACAGGGGGTACAGTTCGTTGATCCTCCCGAGCTCGCAGCGGCGACCATGCTCTATCTTTGCACCGGAAAGGCCAACTATCTCAATGGCCGGTATGTAAGCGTGAATTGGGATCTGGGCCAGGTTGAAGCCGAGTGGAAGGAGAAGATCTTAGAAAAGGATCTATTGATCAATAAGCTGGACGTCGTAGCATAGTTTGTTAGGGCCATACCTAGTATCATAAGGTCCCGTCCTCGATGATGTACAAACGGTCTGTCCAAATTTTCGATGAGCATGTCTATAGAGCCTCTTGCGAATCATTTACAACTGAAGGGCAAGTGCCAGAGCTAGCGGTCTAGAGGTACCGTCTGGATTGCAAAAATAGGGCATAGGTTTCGGGCAACTCCAGAAACCTCGTTCCACTCGTTCTACATCGCCACAGACGACAGTGATCTTCGACGACTGAATCGAACCTCCCACGTGCACTGGGTCCTGACGACAGCGAGGGCCAAACTTGAAGTCTTGTCCGGTGAACAAGCAAATAGGTGCAGTATAGTCAGGTCTGAGCTTGCAGATACATTATTGATCAAGAGTATACGTTGAGTCCGTCCTCAGTGCGCGGAACATGACGGTCGCAGCCAGGTGGCAAACGGCTCAGCTTCGCGCAAGTATTCTCGCGCGTCTCAACGCGGTCACCTGACTTTTTATTTTCTCCTACAGCTCATGCCCCTCAGCGCCTCGCGAGCACTTCAGGTCATTCACGACACACATCCGCCTTTTTTCTACAGTTTTATGTACGCCAGCGCGGAATTGCTCTCCAGGTCTGCGGCTACGTACATGTACTCGCACAGTGGTGTGAAACGCTGAGCGCGGCCCGGATTCAGTGAGTAATACTTTGGCTATCGTGTGTTACAATCGTAAGCAGCTGATAGGCTTCGGGCCCCGTAGACACCGGCCGCGTCAGTATAGCTTGCTGACCTGCGCGAAGCCGATCCACTTGTCAGAAGGCAGATGGCCGCCCATCTCTGTTCAACAATAGTCCCATCCACAACGCTGATCCGGGAAACCCACTGCGGGTGTAGGTATCTGGAGAGCTTTGAGGAAGAGCGCCCGACGAAGGACAGGAGCTGTAGTCTAAGAGCCCGTTCAGAACCAAGCCGATTCTGAGCGGATTCGAATCTGGCTGGCGACAGTGCACGGGCGGGCTTTCTCAACGCGCAATTCTTGGCACGTTGGTGGTAAGATACCCATAGAACAACTACAATTGCTGCAAGATCCCCCCTCAGATACGGTACTATAAATGTATCGACGACGACAGCCGGAGAGGCTCACAACTGTTTCCGACGGGTTGCGGTGATTCCGCGGGATTTGACGCCATAACTTGAGTGATGCGCTGGAGTCAAGCAGCGGCGTCGGTAAAGAGCGAGAGATGCTGAAGCCTCGAGAATGTCGGGCACCTCGGGCAGCGTTCTGGCATATAATGATCCTGTGGAGGTACCGCATCTGTTACAGCACAAGCTCTCACTGCACGGCTAGTATGGTTCAAGATATCGACTTTGGTACGCGCGGATGGGGAGAGACGCTGCCTGTGCAAGAGCGCCATGAGTGGGTCCCTTCCTGTTTGCACCCCTGAACGACCGTTGCGAACTCAGCTTTTTTAGAGTCTACCCAGCCATTGATCCCACCGCCGCCTATTCTTCTCAAGTACTCAAAGGCAAAGCTACCTTCATCACGGGCGCCTCGCGTGGCATCGGCCGTGCTACCGCTTTGACCTTCGCCAAAGCTGGTGCATCCGTCGCTCTCTCCGCTCGCTCGTCTACAGCTCTGGATGAGACTGAGGCTCTAATCCTCAAGAGCGTGCCGCATGCCAAGGTGGAAAAGTTCGTCGTAGACGTCACGAAGGCCGAAGAGGTCGAGAGCGCCGTTGATGCGGCGGCTAAGGCATTTGGGAGGCTGGATTTTGTCGTGGCTAATGCGGGTTATACCAACCCCTTCGACACGCGTGAGTGTCCCGGCTCTGTGTCAAGCCATCATATGTGCTGAAGATGGAGGATCGGGTAGCACTGGAGGAGCGCACATCTGCAGACTGGTGGCGCACCTTTGAGATCAACGTCCTAGGCGTATTCAACACCGTCAGGCCTGCGCTGAAGTACTTGAAGAAGGCCAACGGGTATTTTGTAGCGATCACATCGATCGGCGCACAGTTCCGCACTCAGTACGCGAGCGATTATCAGGTACGAGTCCCCACACGTACATCCTGGTAAAGATGACTAAAGACATTCCGTAGACGTCGAAGCATGCACTCAACCGGCTCGTCGAGTTCATCGCATTTGAGAATGCCCCGGTCAAAGTCTTCTCTCTGCACCCGGGCGCAGTAGCCACTGAGATCGCCAAGACGAGCGGACTAGAGGAGAAAGGAATCCAGTTCACCGATCCACCCGAGCTGGCCGCTTCGACGATGCTGTACCTCTGCTCCGGCAAGGTTGACTGGCTCAGCGGTCGTTATGTCAGTGTCAACTGGGATCTGGGCCAGGTTGAGGCCGAGTGGAAGGAGAAGATCTTGGAGAAGGATCTGCTGATCAACAAGCTAGATGTCGTAGCGTAGTCTGTTCGGGTCGTACCGGAGATGCCATTGGCTCCCGGCCTCAATTGTATACAACTGTGTTGCGTCTCTCTTCCGCGAGTCTGTCCAGGTGTGTCCGGGGTGCCTCCTGCGAACCACCTGCAGCAAAAGGGTGAGAGCCGGCGGACCAGAGACGCCGTCTGAAGCATGAAGATAGGATAAGGATGTGACGTAGGGAGAATGAACCATTCCATCATTCCCTCTACTTTGCAGCTGTTGAAGAATCGATAGGCCAGCCCGCGCGAACGGTTTGTGTGGAGCCTCGCTCTTGGCCAACCTGTTTTGGCAGGTGCGTAATGTCACGTGTTGCGCGCAGACTGGTCCAGCGGGCGACTGCCTACGCGTATGCCGCATACGCCTGCCGTTCTCGCTCTCAAGAGAGCCCGCCCCAGAGGCATAGTCCCCTTTCGAGGTGCTGTAGCGGCCAGGGGGATATGTGCACGACGAAGGGGCCGAAATTGGTGGACCAGCCACCGTTCGGGCTTGGTTCGGGCAGTCACAACCCGCCCGAAACGGCGTCCACGCGCACAGCCTCTCGCCCAAATCAGGAAGGCCGAGAGCCGGTTCCACATAGACTCTGCGTGGACCGTGGCCTATCGTTTCTTCAACAGCTGTGACACATATGGCATTCATTTTCGATGACCCGATCAAATCTCCTGCGCGCTCGGTCCCGACGTTTCTATCAGCTACACGCGGGCCACCGTTCACCGTTCACCGTTCAAACCTTGTCCAACTTGAAGGTCTGTCTGGGAAACGAGCAGATATGGGCCGTATAATCAAGGTCTGAGCTTGCATATGAGTGCAAGAGTGTACGTGTTGAGTTCGTCTCCAGTGCGCAGAACATCACGGTCGCAGTCAAGTGGCGAGCTAGTCGCGCTCACTCTTGCACGTCTGACGCGATCACATGACCTTTAAGTTTTCTTCCACAACTCATGCCGCGCAGCGTCTCACGAGCGCTTCACGCCATCAAGGACACGCACAAGCATCAGTCACATAATCGTATAAACATTGGCGCCGAGTTATGCTCTAGAGACGCGGCTTCGTACGTGTAATCGCACAGTGATGTGAAACTTTGGGCTCGGCCCGGATGCAGTGAGTAATACTCTGGCTATGGCGTGTCACGTCGTAAGCAGCAACTGTAAACCGGGTCCCGTATACATCAGCCTCGTACCGTGCTGACTCGCTCACAGAAGACCCACTTGTGAAAGGTAGATGGCCGCCCATCTCTGTTCTACAATGGTCCCATCCACAACACTGATCCGCGATACCCACGGCGGACGTAGCTGAGCGACTTTGGAGAGCTTTGGAGTTTATCATAGTGATGCGATCCAGAGGAGAGCGCCCAAAGAATGACAGGAGCTGTAGCGCAAGTGATGCGCTGGAGTCAGCTAGCAGTGCCGCAAAAGAACAAGAGATGGTCAGGCTTTGATAATGTCGGGCACCTCGGGCATGATTTCAGCATATAACAATTCTGGAGATGCAGATACATTGCGTATCCTGCATTACAAGCTCGCACTGCACGGCAACCATGGTTCAAGATCTCGACTTCGGTACGCGCGGATGGGGAGAGACGCTGCCTGTTCAAGAGCGCCATGAGTAGGTCCCTTCCTGCATGCATGCATCCCTGAACGACCATTGTGAGCTCACCCTCTGTAGAGTTTACCAAGCAATCGACCCCACCGACGCTTATTCCTCTCAGGCTTTCAAAGGCAAAGCTGTCTTCATCACGGGCGGCTCGCGTGGCATTGGCCGTGCCACCGCACTGACCTTCGCGAAGGCTGGTGCATCCGTGGCCATCTTCGCTCGCTCATCTACCGGTCTGGATGAGATTAAGGCTCTCATACTCAAGGAGATGCCGCAGACTAAGGTAGAGAAGTTCGTCGCCGACGTCACGAGAGCCACAGAGGTCGAGAGCGCTGTTGATGCGGCGGCCAAGGCATTCGGGAGGCTAGATAATGTCGTGGCTAATGCGGGGTACACCAACCGCATTGACACGCGTGAGTACCCTCTCTATGATGTCAGCCTAGACATGATGCTGAAGAGTGATGGCTGGACAGTACTGGAAGAGCGCACGTCTGCAGAATGGTGGCGCACCTTCGAGGTCAACGTCCTGGGGGTGTACAATACCGTAAGACCGGCGTTGAAGCACTTGAAGAAGGCCGATGGGTACTTTCTGGCGACCACATCAGTCGGCGCACAGCTCCGCACTCCGTACGCGAGCGACTATCAGGTATGTGTGTTCGTCTATCACCAGATATAATGACTTTGACGCAGTGAGATAGACGTCGAAGCATGCGCTCAACCGACTCGTCGAGTTCATCGCATTCGAGAATGCCCCTGTCAAAGTCTTCTCCTTACACCCGGGCGCCGTAGCCACCAAGATCGCTAAGACGACCGGCCTAGAGGAGAGAGGGTTCAAGTTCATCGACCCGCCTGAGTTGGCCGCGTCGACGATGCTGTACCTCTGCTCCGGCAAGGTTGACTGGCTCAGCGGTCGTTATGTCAGTGTGAACTGGGATCTGGGCCAGGTTGAGTCTGAGTGGAAGGAAAGGATCTTGGAGAAGGACTTACTCGTGAACAAGCTTGACGTAGTGGGCTCAGCGTAGGGCGCACATCGCGTGTATGTACTCAGTGTTGCAGATATACAGAAGCGCATGAGAGGGTTGACCCTTGAGTGCCACTTCGCTGCTGGCCAAAGCAGTCAGTCCCCATAAGCGTTCAGCGCGCAATTGAGCACCTATACATTCACGAGCAAACACTTCAGTATACGCATATCGTACATTCCAGTGGATCAAGATGTTACAATCAAGAAATATGACCATCCAAGAGCCCACTACAACCGACCTACACATCCTCCCCACCCTTCCCCTTCGTCCAAAAGCTCGGAACCTGCTGCGTCAACTCCTCCATATACCAAAGCTCCTTCGCGCCCTTCGTCTTAACCTTCTTCCCATCGACAACCTCAACCCTCTTAATCTCCGTCCACGTCGCGCCCAACCCCATCCCCACCGCATTCTGCAACAGCGGGACGGAGTCGGGGTGCACGAGCACGGTGATGGTGTCGCGCAGAGGGGCGTGGCCGGTGACGCCGGGCGCGGGAGCGGGGTTGAGGTCGACTTTGCCGTGGCTTGAAGGTAAGATGGTCGGCTCGCCGAACGACTCGGTGTTGGGCCAAGGCTCGAGCACGACGCGCGCGAACTTCGTGATCAGCTCTTCTTCGACGCTCTCCGCGCTCGGCCCGCTCGAAGTCTTACAGATCTTCCTCTCGGCCGGCCACTGAACGCCCTTGATACGGCGCGTAGAGCGCTCGACGACGCCTGGCCTATGCGTAAGTGGAAGAGCAGTGGCGCCGAGGAACTTGAAGAGCGATGGAGGTTCGTATGTTGGCATGGCGGTGTTGATGATCTGTTCGGCGCTGGTGGCGCCCCAGCCAGCTGTAGACTCGTTCGAGAGCCATGGGTCGTCCTGCGTCGTGTCCCAACCTCCGGGGGTTTCGCCCCATCCGCCACCCCATCCCTTAGACTCATTGTCGCCCCATCCGCCAGCGTTCGCAGTGGTGTCACCCCAACCCGTCGAGGTCTCTCCGTCCACTAGCGTCTCCTCGCTGGAGTGAACCTCAGACTCTTCTCCCTCTGCCTTGGCCTCGCTATCAACGGCAGCCTCGGCGGCGGCGGCAGCAGCGGCAGCCTCGCGCTTCCGAAGCGCCTCGGCCTTCTCCCTATCAATCCGTATCTGCCTCTCCCTCGCCTCCTCAAGCTCCCTCTTCCTGACACTCTCCGCCTCCTCACTATCCTTCCTAATCTTCTCATGTAACGCCTCTTGCGCTTGAACGTCCTGCGCGATGCTCCTATCCTGCTCGTCCGCCTCAGTCGAGCTGATCCGCCGACGGCCCCAAAGCGTCTGGAACGCCCTACTGACGTCGTCCGGGAACGTGCTGGCGATTTGAGATGTTAGGGGCAGTTCGCGGCTGGCGTGTTCGGCGATGGTTACGGCGAGGTGTAGGGAGGTTGAGATGCGGTTCTCCGGGAAGACTCTGGAGCGGATGAGGTAGGAGAGGAAGAAGTGGACTAGTTTGGGGAAGACGAGGCAGTGCTGGGTGTTGCTGTAAAGCGAAGGTGATCAGTATCGTGTATCTACTTCGAAGCTGAGAGTGGAGGACGTACTAGATGTTACCCTGAGTGCGGAAATGAGACGAGAAGAATATCTTCATGCTCTTCTCTGGATCATCGAGGAAGAGTTCCGTTTGAGGATCACCAAGGTCGATCTCAACGAGATGAGAAGATGGCGGGCCAGGAGCGACGGGCGCCATGTCGATGTCGAGACCGTCGTCCGAGTCTTCGTCATCGTCGTCCACCATATAGTCTTTGGACTTCCTTTGCTTGTCTTCGCGGATAAGAGGGAGTCCGAGATACATCTTGAACTAAAAGCCACCGCATGTAAGAGATGCGTTACAAGACATGCTGAGAGAAAGGAAGACGAAGACGCTTACCTGGTCCCAGAGGTTCTGAACGCCTGATCCGGGTTGAGGCCACACACCGAGCCTGCCCTCCTTGAAATCATGAGCGGCCAAGAGCAACCTCTCAGCCTGCGGTTGACGACTATAGCTCAATCAGCACACCATCCCCATACAATCGACGTGTAAGTCCCACTCACTGGTCATACAACTTCCTTCTCACGCTCTCATGATCCTCCCAAACCTCCCACCACGGGCGCCTAGCACCGTCGCCCAGCGCCAGCTGCACCTTCCTCTTCCTTCTCCTCTTCCTCCCAATGACACCGTTCGCGTCGGGTTTCGCGTGTGTAGGCAGTGGCACGACGACGATCCCGAGGCCATCGCGTTCGTCCGTGTCTTTGTCGGCGTCGATGCGTTCGTCATTCTCGTCGAAGAACGCGACCGCCGAAGAAGTCTGAAAGTCTTCAAAGGAAACCAGGATTACACCGTCCGGGACAATCGTAGGAAATGGCGTAGGCAGATTGCGGAGGTTGCGCATCTCGGACAAAGGCATCGGCTCGAAGCCAGGCGCGTGTGTGGGAAGAGCGGTCATCATGCGAAGGTCAAAGGACTTTGCCCGAGATGATAGTCAGGAGAGACACGTAGAAAGGCGCGAATAAAAGGAGTGAAGCTTATATAGAGGTGTACGGCCCGAGTCACGCCGAAGCAGATCAGAGGCGCCCGGATAAGACTTGACCGCGAACAAATGTGGCGCAGGCAGGAGGTGCACCTTGCGCCCTATAGCCGAGTGATTTACGTGTTTCCTACGCCACGCCGCTTGAGGTGCACTATTGCGGTGCGTTTGGGGTGCCGAATAGAAGCAATTGTGAGGAACCCCAGAGAACTCTCGGCGGCGGACGTCAGAGTTCGTACAAAGGCGCGTCGCGTCGCGCCGTGCACGCGCCGACCGCGCGCGTGAGCGTGTTTTGATGTTCCCACGACCGCGTCGCCCGACTCAGAAACAACGCGCAACCTCAAGCGCCCTACGCCGTACTCCCATCACGACTTCAATATATGAGCCTCTCGAAGCGTCTTCTCGGTCGCTCTGGTAGTGGAGGCTCGTACTCTGCCAAGCCTGTCGCTCAGCGAAATAACTCAAGCGCCAGCTCGGGAAGCAACCGGCAGTGCTCAGAGCGAGATCATGCAGAACGAGCTTCGCAGCTGAGCGCTACCACCAGTCCCTCCCTAAACCGGCAGCATCGTGCCGGTCTACGTTTCTGGCGGTGCAACGATGGGCGTCCTCGAAGGAAGCCGATGAGATCCGCCCCTCACCACACGTTCTTCCGGTAGCCGAAAGTACCCTCCGGTTACCTATTCCGACGCTGACGAACATAGCGATGCTGTGGGGTAACACTGCAAAGATGGTGCATATCCTATATGGAAATGACGACCGCACAACTTGGTAAACGAGGAACCGCACCGGGAACAATGCCTCCTGGAAAACTCCATACGTGGACGCGAGGAAGCCTGCCCATCATTTCAGAGTACAGCCACCACCTTGCGCCCGAGAGTGCGCCCTACTTAAGGAGAGGTGTAAGTATGTCCTGTCAGTTGTGTTGTCTCCAGCTATTACACATCCATCCAGATCATTTTTAGCTCAGCTTTCTGGCAAAACTTCACTTCTAAACTATGATACTCCCTCGATTGACCAACATTCCGGTCGACAACATCGACGAGATCGATGTACTGTTGAAGCTTTTTGGATTTACGGCTTCGTCTATTGCGAGTTCTGTACTCTTCGAGAGTTTCACTCTAGGTGTGTCGTCCTTAACTCCTTCCATAAGCGTCGACTGAAGAAGTATCTGTAGGTGCGGCCTGCGCTTGCGCTCTGGCTGTCTCATGTGTAGTGTGGTAAAGTATACGCGACCTTTTTCTCGGGTTATGCTGACGGTTTTGTCCCAGGGTCAGGCAACGCTCTGTGATGGGAATCTCTTCACTTCTGGCCGTATGGCTTCTTTTCATACTACTTGTCATACACTGGGCTTTCTCTGTGTACCAACTTGAGTCGCTCTCCAGCGGAAGGTGAGCGGCGTTCAGATAATCTGCCGCACCCATTGTTCATTTCCACTTCCTTCAGCGCACTGGGTATCACCTGGGACGATGATGCATCGGACTCGGACACTGCGCTTACCGGTGTGACGAAGGACTCTGACAGTTACCAGGCCTATGGCTTCTTGTGGGTTGCGTTACTGCCTCTTGTGGCCGAGACCGTACTCTTCGGTGAGGCACAAGCACATGATGAAGGCCCTGTCATTAACGCTCAGCAGGCTTCGCACTCATTCTTTTCGTGATTGCAACCTTCACGAGTCTACGGTGCGTTCGATGAGCACATAACGTTTGGTGGTCTCGACACATACTGACTTTGAGCGTTAGAAATGTCCGTTTTCAGCGGCGCTCTCGCTTCGTAGCGGTTATTCCATCCCTCGCGGTCGTCATGTTTGCGACTGCCCTGGCTCATTGGACAATGTCCCTCTCATATTACGTTGTGGATGCCAAGAACTCGCTCCCACCGCAAGAAAGAGACCTGCACATCGCTGTGCTTTCGCTGGTAACGTTGGTGCTTTTTTCTATCAACGTGAGTGCACTCAGATGTCATGCGGTTACTGGGCTTCCTTCCCTGACGATCGTCATGTAGGTCATCATGAGCGATATCATCGTTCTATGGCGCATGTGTGTGGTGTGGAATAACGACCGGACGATCATATGTTTCGGCGTTTTGATGGCACTCGCAACGCTGGCGCTCAACATCGCAAATCTTGTCGGGAGTGCCTTGTCTGTGACGCAAACGGGGTTTAACGGAAGCTTCTCATATGGCAACATTAGCAGCTTAGACGCCACCTTTCCTACATATGGACGAAGCTCTGGCGGCACCGCCACGGCGCTCCTATCGTTGATAAGTAACCTATCAGCGACTGTCCTCGTCGGGGTCAAGGCATGGTATGTCTATGCCCTTTGCTTATGCTGAAGCGCATGTTGCTCATGCCGAGCTAGGTTACATAGAAGGCAGCTCGCTGAATTTTCTTGCATGAACAGTCGTCGCACGCTTGCAGTGCGTATCATGGAGCTTCTAGTAGAATCAGGGGTCATCTACACGACGATTTGGGTCAGTTACATTATTCCCCCCAACAACATAAGCCGCAAATCAAACTTCAGAACAATAGGCTCTATATTGCGCAACCTTTTTCTACGGCATAGATTATCAAACGACGCTATATGGCGTTTGGGCGTCCCCAGGTTGCATCTTTTGCGTGAATTCCACCGACTTCCTTGACTTGGCGATGGCTCAGATAACCGTAAGCCCTACACTAATCTCGTCTATGCGGGCGAAGCAGTTCTCATACGCTATTGCAGGCTATATATCCTCTCATGATCTTCATCCTCGTAGCTCTGGACAAGATCCACTACTCGCAGGGTCCTCAAATCTTAAGCATCGATGTCATACAACACACAAGCAACCGCGATCATGCCCCGACGGTCAACGCAGACGACGCTGATCCCTCAGTGTTGTGCATAGGTTCTGGCCCGACTCGATTGGCGATCGCGGGCGCAAACGACGACGAGGACGCGGCACTGGCCGAGGAGAAGGTTGACGCTCACAAGTCCAAGGGAGCAGAGGCAGAATTTGAAGCTGTGTAGAGACGTGTCTCTTGTAACTGCGAGTGGGTTCGTGGGTAGAGGCAACCTACGACCTGTTGCAGGTCGGGCCGAGCGTAGCGTGGCAGCTCCCGAGCGAACGCGCCGGCGCGTATAGCGCCCGCATCGCTCTATGCTTTCTACCACCACATCTTGTATTTCTCGTTGCGTTTGTTTTGCGCCGACGCGCTCGCTCCCATCCTTTCTCTCGCCTCGTCTTGATTACTAGATACACTGTCCCTCGACTCGACTATGATTCCCTACCTTACTACGAATATACTGCATGTGCATTCTCGTCGCTGAGTGAATTGTGGCACGCCCGCATGGATGGCTCGCATCTGCTCGTGTCTGTGCCGGCTTCGCCTGCTGTCCCACAACCGCTCAGCTCGCGATCGCGACGGGGACTGGATCCTGCGACCCGCGCGCGTCGGCCGCTCACGTGAGCGCGTTTTGATGTTCCCAGGACTGCTTTACGCCCAACCTCTTCAGCCTCGAAACTCTCCCAAAAAGCAACGACTAGATTTTCCGCTATAGTAGATAGTATAGTATGAGTATATGACAACCCTCCCCCCTCTATCCCCGAAAATGCACTACTTCTCAACCGGGAACAAATACAAAACCCCAAACACGACCGCAGCCGTAACGCCCAAAACCAGCGCGAAAGCGCCGCCCACGAAAATCGCAACCTCCACATAATTCGTCTCGCCCGTCCCGACCACAGCCGCAGACGGCGGCAACTCTCCCCTAGCAATACGTTCCTCGCGCTCGCGACGGTACTGGTCGAACTTCGCGGCTGCCTCGTCGCGCTTGCGTTGCTCTTGTTCGGCGCGCGCGGCGGTGTCGATGGCTTGGCCTATGAGCGTGCGCGGGTCGTCCGGGTTGAAGACGGCCTTTGAGCCGGATTGGCCCTGGATTATTTGGACGAAGGAGGGGTAGTAGTGTTCGGCCCATTGCTCGATCTGCCGCGCCCGTCAGCATCCAACTTCTTGGACAAGCTCTGGATAGAACGAGAACGTACCTTGCCGACCGCGACGGAGAGCTTGATAAAGCTCGGATCCTTCGGGCTCGCCTTCGCATGAATAGCCCGCGCATAGTCCCGGAAGATATACGCCACGTCGCGCGGATTATGGCTCTTCATAATCAGCCGTGCCGCCTGCGCCTTGCGGATCTTAATATTCCTTAAAAACATCTCGGGGTTCATGAAGCACAGCTCGAGCGTCGCCATCGCCATCACGGCTGGGATAGCGGCGAAGCGGAACACGGTCTGGTTGTGCAGGAGGCGGAGGTAGTCCAGCGCGTCGGGCGCGTGGCGCAAAGCGTCGATGATCATGGCGCTCTGGACCCACGCCGCGCGCTCCTCCTCGCCCGGCGCATGTAACTGCGTCAAGCTCTCCGCGGGCACACCATTGCCATACTTCGCGTCGCCCCAGATCTCGCGCGGCCAGAAAAAGCGCTTGTCGTCCGCGTCCTCGCGGAAGTCGCGGATGATGTTCGTTTTTTGGAGCAGGAGGCCCATGGAGTTCGAGAGCTCCAGCTCGGACGCGAGCCAGGGTGCTTCCTTTCCGGTCGCGGAGAAGAGGCGCGAGAGGCCCTCGCCGACGAGGCCGGCGACGTAGTGGCAGTACAGGTCGTAGTCTTCGATTGTGGGGAGCGAGATTGAGCCGCTGACGACGGCGTGGTGCGCGTAGTCGGCCATGCCGATCTCCATTTTGTGGCAGATGTCGACGATCACGTCGCGGCATCTACACATGCACCGCGTGAGTTTGCATAGTATCAGGTATGTGTGTAAGACGTACTGGGGGTCCAATGCCCGGACCTCCTCGACGATATCCGCAAAGTCGACCAGCACGTCCCTGTCCTTCTCGTTCGGACCGCTACCGGTGAAGTTCCAGCCGGGGGTGACGACTTTTTGGTGGAAGGAGCGCAGTAAGGGTTGTTTGACGTCGTCGGGTAATGTCATGTCATCTTCTACAGTGTCTAGTGCACGAAGCACGATGTAGAATAGACAGATCTATATGACGAACAGGTCAGTCGAATGTTTGGAGTAAGCGCCGTGACGATGCGAGTAGACGCCCATTCCAGCGCGATCTCCGCACTCGATGATTCCATCACACCAAAACGCAGTTCAAGCGCTTCCCAACGCAGCCCAACCCAAGAACGCGTTCCTCGTCTGGAAGAGTAGAAAGAACACACGTACGACACGTGCGAGCTCCCCGTCGAGCTCCTTAATGACAGCCGAGAAACTCCTGCTCGTCATATCCAGCAACTCCCAACACCTCCGCATCGTCTTCTGGTCGTATCGCGTGGCCTCGTACTCGCTCGGGAGCGTGATGTCCCGGCGCTCGTCGTACAGCCAGTACTGCGCCAGCACGCGCAGGTCGCTGGGATGCGTGAGCCCGAGGATGAGCAGGTCTTTGAAGCCCATGGCTGAGTATGCGGAAGGAGGAAGGAACGTGGGGTAGACGTGGCGGAGGGAGGGAAGGCGGGCTGGAATTCGAATATGCTCCTGAGCCGCGAGGACGGTCGTCGTACCACTTCACTTTCGATCGGGCGCTTCGGATTCCCAATAGAAATTAGCAGCCGCGCGAAACTTTGCCTCGCAGCTTTGATCCCGAACCACCACCTGACACGGCGCCTATCCTTTTCTGTACCTTTCTCCTTTCGCTATGGACTCTGGCAACCCTCTCCCGCCCCCGCGCGTGCTCGTGCAAGACAGCAAGTCCATCAGCGCGGACGAGGCGAATGCCGCTGTGGAGGCGTTTTTGGCGAACTTTGCGGCGCGGTCGACGGCGGAGAATAAGAACAACTCGATCACGCATCAGTTGCAGAATTTGAGCGCTGCTTTGGCGGATGAGGCGAGGAGGGCGAACAAGAAGGCAAAGGCGTAGGAACTTGAATCATGGTGCGAGCGGTCGTTGTTTGGTGTGCGAAACCTTAGGAATGACGGTCTTGTAGTACTCGGCACAAAAGCGAAGGCTCTGGCGCTCACTCGCACCCTACGCAGCCCTATGCAGCCCTACGCGAGATGGAAGCAGCGCACCTGCGGCCGAGGACATCAGGCTCGCTCCGCCCTGATCCCTCGGTATCCCCCGAGCGCACCGAACGCACAACGTTGTCCGCGATGGTCGACGATCCGGCCGGTGGTGCCGTTGCTCGTAGCGCACATATCCGCGTTGCACGTCTCCGCGTTAATCAATGTACCCTGTACCCGTCGCATTGCTCAATGAAAACTATTGCGTGCGCGCTTTGTTCAATGGAAGCACCCTCCTGCGGCGCAAGGTGCAAGGCCCGCCCATCCCCATGGAAGCGTCTCTCCTCGTGCGGTCGAAATATCAGGCTCGCCCGACAAGTGTCCCTCGCTATCCATCCAGGCCACCGAGCGCGCGCAACGCTGTTCGCGGCGGCCATTTCGTCGACCGGTGGCCTCATCTCACCGAGCACCTCTGCCTACCTCTGTACAGATCCCGCGACAATCGTGGTATCCTCTACTTCACACCTTGTTCCTGGTCAATGGCATCAATTTCCGCGTGCGCTTGCGACCGGGGGACGTCAGGCTCTTGACACCCAATACTCGTCCCTCGCTCAGCCTTTGAGCCCATCAGACGCGCACGATGGCCGACTCCGAACACCTTCCGTCGACTGGTGGCGCCGTCATCCACCGAAGCGCCCATGCGCAATACGCGTCTTCGCGTTAATCGATGTAGCCTGTACATGTTGCCTTGTTACCACCCAATGGTACCAATTACTACGTGCACGCCATATGTTACAGTACTTGGCACAAAAGCGAGGGTTCCAGCGAGCACCCGCACCCGTTACGCCTAAAGGAAGCGGCACACCTGCGGCTGAGGACATCAGGCTCACCCGGGAGTCATCCCTCACTATCCTCCTAGCCCATCGAACGCGCACAGCGCTGTCCGTGGCGGGTCTTTGTCGGCTCATGGCGTCGCCTCACCGGGTACCTGCGCGCATTGCTCATGCTCGCGACAGTCGTTGTATCCGGTACTTTTGTCAGTAACATCAATTGCCGCGTGCGCTCTCAACTGGGGGACGTCAGGCTCTCTCGACACTTGTCCCTCGCTCACCCTTCAGCCCATCGGAGGGGCATGGCGCCGCCTGGCAAGACGGCCAACTTCGAATATTTTCCATCGGCTCTGTCATCCCGCCGAGCACTCAGGCGCATCGCACATATCCGCCTCAATCGATGTATCACGTACTTGTCGCATCAGCCTTGGTCCGCAAAAATTGCTGCGTGCAAGCTGTATACGCCGTCTCCCCCGCTCAGCCTTCGAGCCCAGCGAACGCGCACAACGCTTCCTCAGCGGCCTTCTCGTCGGCTGGAGGCGGCGTGTCGTCGAGCACCTACGCGCATTGTACATCCCCGCGACCATCGTCATATCCTGTACTTCATGCTTTGTTCTTGGAGAACAGTATCAACTGCTGCGTGCACGCTATATGCGCCATCCACCTTCTACGCGGAGCCCACAACATCAAGCTTGTTGACCAACAGATCCTTCTCCAAGATCCTCTCCTTCCACTCCCTCTTCACCTGCCCCAAATCCCAATTCACGCTCACATACCGTCCATTGAGCCAGTCCGCCTTCCCAGTGCATAACCACAACATCGTCGACGCGGCCATCTCGGGCGGATCGAGGAACTGGACGCCTTTCGACTCCAGCCCGCTCTTCTTGGCCAGGTCGGTGGCCACTGCTCCCGGGTGTAGGGAGAACGCTTTGATAGGGGCGTTCTCGAGCGCGACGAGCTCGATGAACCTGTTGAGCGCGTGCTTGGATACCTGTCCATCGGCGTCCATCTCGTCAGTGCTCTGCATATGCGATAAGGGTCAGGCATGCGAGGGTACGCGTACCTGGTAGTCGCTCGCGTTTGGCGAGCGGAACTGGGCGCCGACGGAGGTGATACCTACGATGTACCCCTCGGTCTTCATCAGATGCTTCAGCGCTGGCTGGACGGTGTTGAACACGCCCAGAACGTTGATCTCGAACGTGCGCCACCAGTCTGCCGACGCGCGCTCTGCCATCGCTGTCGCCCGGTTCGGTTAACTCGGGTCAATCGCGCACATACTGGAGGAGAGGAAAGCGCACGCACGCGTATCGAAAGCATTGCCGTACCCCGCATTCGCAATGACAACATCCAACCGCCCAAACACCTCAACAGTCCTCTCAACAGCCCCCTCGACCTCCCCCGCCTTAGTCACATCCACAACAAACTTCTCGACTTTCGCCCCGGGCACCTCTTTGAGCACCAGCGCCTTGGTCTCGTCGAGAGCGGCGGACGAGCGCGCGGAGATTGCCACGGACGCGCCCGCTTTTGCGAAGGTTAGGGCGGTGGTGCGGCCGATGCCGCGCGAGGCGCCGGTTATGAAGACGGCTTTGCCGTTGAGGGGTTGGGAGGTGAAGGCGGGGGTTGGGTCGATGAACGGGTATACTCTGAGTGGGAGGTGAGGTTTGAGCTGGGAGGAGGTGCGAGAGGGAGAGAGCGTACTCGTGGCGTACTTCTACGGGGAGCGTCTCGCCGAAGCCGCGCGTGCTCAAGAAGGTCTGCTGGTCGGTCATGGTAGAGCTTCTGGATGTATCTGTCCTGTATTCTGTTGAGGTCTTATGTATATGCACCCTTCCGAGCTCCCGTCGCAAGCCTCGAAGGCATCTCCGTCTCGTTTGTTATGCTCCAGCGCACCCGTCGGGACGTTACCCGCATATTGTACTTCACTCTTACTCGCAGAGTCACGGATCATCAGCGTGGATGCGATGTCTCTAGATAGCATCGATTGCGAGGCCATAGCTATCATCCACTCGGCGTGGATCAGTGGTATAAGAAAGCCGCGTCAGCATGTGTGGTGGACTAGTCTGTCCCACTCGCACAGTTCTCGATTGGCTCTCTGATCTCAAGTGCATATAGTTGGTATAAGGCTTTAGCGCCTTAGTATGATGTCCTCCATGCCGATGTGTTTGATCATGCCCAAAACGGTGATCGTGTTGACTGGGGACTGAAACACCCGGCCCGAGTTCGACGCTCGTAGGGCGCGTCGCGCAATCCGACTCGCGCATCGTCGTTCCACTCGAAATAAGTATAGTGATACATGTAGAGCGATAGCGACTTCTCGAGTAAACACATGGGTCTCGCGGACAAGAAGATCGAACCCGTCAGCAGCGACTTTCCGCTCTGATATACGAAAGACGTCAACTTGAGGCTCTGCCGACTCTTCAAAGCGATTCCTCATGGTGATCTTTCAAAGCGATGCCTCGTCAACGGGTTCTGTGCGTGTAATAGTGAGTTACAGCCCATGCGATATGTCAATCTAGACGCACGAGAGCTAGCAGAGCGACTTCATCAGGACCTATAGGTAGCGCTCCCGGCATTGACAGATCGTCCTGGAGGAGAGCGGCCCATGAGCGTGAAACCGAGCGAACGCTACACAACCCTTAGCTCACCGCTCGGCGTTGTAGAGCGAACATCGTTTCCGTGACGTATCCATCAAAGGGTGTGCGCTCGTGTAAGCGCATCGTGGTTGGGACGCGGTCGTTTGTTATGATGCCCGCCGCAGTCATGTCATTGACGATCGGCACATTGTCCTGCAACGGCGATAGATCATAAGCCACGCACATTAGAGACAGAACTTTCTCACATACCTGGAAAATAGCTTTTCCAGGGCATAGCGGGTCTTCGCGGATGTACGCAGACGGCTCGAAGTCACTTAGAATAGTAGTGGTCTCCGCCCAGGGGGCAAAAATGCTATCGTGAAATAGGAACTGTTCTGTTGCAAGATAACCGCACATATCTGGGGATATGGTCAGTATATCTCTTTAGGTGAAGCAGAGACATACCTCTGTAAACTCGCGTCAGACCTGTTGGCCCGGGTGCGAAACCCACGCTCCGTATGCGGTTTCGGCGCATCCCTCGTGTCAGCTCATGATGCCCCCTTGGATCGTCGCCATACACCCATATGGTATCTTGCCCTTCCAATGTATCCATGCTGGTATCGTCGAGGGGTCGCGCCACTCCATTTTCGAATAAACGATCGATCTCGTGTTTGGTATAGAATTGCGGGCATATCATGGGCAGAATGGGAAGATCCCCTGGCCATCGTTCTCGACATTTGCGATGGAAGCGAAAGACGAGTTCGGGAAGAGTCGTGTCGCGGTCGACGTGAACTAGATAGGATTAGATGCACGCGAGCTGACGGAGAATTGTCAAATTACACGTAAGCTGCCATATTGACGTCGGGTTCATCGGTGTTGTAAGTCCTGCAGGCACGACGTAGAAGTCGTATAGTGCGCCACTCTTTGAGCCGCCACTGTATGTGAGACGTTGCTTCTATCCAGGACATCAGCAGCGCACTAGCCATCAATAGAAGAGAGAAACCTCTAGAGTGAAAGCCAAGCGCTTTCCGAGTGTTGAATCTCGTCCATGGGCCGTTTGATAATCACGCGCCTTCGCCGTCTGCAGACTGTCCAATGAATGCATGAGCCATGTAGTGCGTGCATTGAGATGTGAATAATTGTACTTATTCCCGGTCCTTCTTGCTATCTGGCTGGTTCTATGAAGCTCGTCCACCGCATCACCAAAGGTTACGAAGTCACGCTCAGCCTTAATATTTCCCCTTGCGGCACTGTCCAGCGCCGTGCATGCGAGTTCTGTGACACTTTACCAGGATCAGATTCTTGTAATATGTACGAGAGTGAAGTACACACATGCGAAACAGGTAACCTTTCGCGAGTTGGACGTCCCCAGACCGTTTAAGGCTGCGGCATATGCGGATGGTTTCAACACAGCGGTTTCTCCATGGTGCACCAACCATAAAACCACTTCTTCCCGACTGCCAGAGGATGCTGAAAGAAGGCCATGGAATCTGGTAAAGCGATGATCATTGGCGGGAATATGATTGTCGCTGGCAGAAGTAACTCACTGAGACACTCTCAAAGAACATACTCGACGACCGCGTCACCTCCCTAAACGTCTCTTCTACCACAATCCGACTAGTATTTCGGCTCTTTGGAAGAGGGCCTTCATTGACTTGATCTGAGTTCGGACTTGATGTTGTAGCCTAGACAGTTGAAATAAGCACGTGATTGGTAGATTTCCAAAGCACGGTGCGTGGGCGGATACAATACCTCCGACGTTGAAGCTGTGTAAGGGACTCCCTACAGTTCTTTTTAGTTTCATATGCAATAGAATATCTGCATTGTTCGTGTTACCTCTGATTCTATACCGTCGGGCTGGCTCAAACTCCAGATATGGCTCACGTTATCGCCGACGAGGGTGACACTTTGAAGAAGTAGAATCAACTCAGTCTATGCATATCCGGATTAGCATGGTCGCACCTTCCACCGTCGTCATCCGTGTTATTAACTAGCGAGCTTTCACCCGCGTTCATGAATTCGGGTGGCCCAATGCGAAGGGATTCGTCGATCGTCGCAGACACCGACGTATGCATCAAAGTTGGCCGGGAGCTGGACTGCAATGGCTCTTGACTGGTGAGAACTTCAGATGCGGGGCCCGATCCTACTAGTTGACTCATTATATCGATTTGAGCACCTAGCGCTGGCGAATCGTCGCTCTGTCAGTGCCATAGATGATTCAAGAGACGAGAGACATGCGGACCATACGACACGATGTCTCGCAACTCGCGTACGTCAGCCTGCATGCTAGCTACAGCGGCTTCATTCCTCGTGGCAGCGTGTCTTAGATAGGCGACTACGATGTAAACAGGTATCATTGAGTAGCTCCAGATAGTCATGGCAGCGAGTGACGTACGTTCTGAACGGATTGCATTCATGTCCAGGACCAACTCCGTGATTGATAGCCTTTCTATGTCCGAAAGAATGCCCTGGAATTCGTCCATGGTCCCCTGTACACCGTCTGGTTCTTGAAGTAGTATTGCCACAAATCGCCCTATCAGTTGCGCGTGAGTCACAACTCCGTATTTAACAGGAATGCACTGACTCAAACGCCCTTGCCTCAACACCTTGTTCGCAGATTCCAACCCTTGTTGGATCGTCTTCAAAGCCGCGATAACTAACTTTGCCGCTTGAGGACTGAAGCGAGCTTGTTGACGCATCTGCAGACCACCCAGGTATCTTTCGAAAGCTCGGAACAGCTTTTCAATGGCATCGAGCTGGGCGTTTTCGCGTTCCACGGCCTGGTGTTTTATCAGTGTCACAATCTGACCATGCATTGTGACGGGACCATGACGCACCTGTAGCAGAAGTCCAACCGCCACAAAGACGCTCTTCCCTCCTGGGACACCCTGTGTGCTAGTTTACACATGCCTGTGAGTAGAGAGAAGCCAAAACGTACTGCGGCGGACGCGACCTCTCCACTAACATCAAGAAAGGTCTTCAGAAATCCAGCAATATGGCCCATCGCTTTCTCAGCAGTATCACTCCCATCGGCCCGTCGCCGACTCAATATCGACTTGGAGCTAGCTAGAACGGCGACGATATCACGCACAGAGATGCAGTCAGCTAGCGAGCTGTCGAGAGCTCGGAAGTCTCCGTCACGCAAGTCGACGTGCACTTCCGCCTTCCGCTGCCTAAGTGCCAGCCATAGGTAACTCGCATCTTCCGATTGTGGTGAGACGTTCGACTCCGTGCCCATAGCGTCAAACAAACGCCTGGGTAGCGTGCGAGGGTAAGACGGGGTCGACTATGTGGGGGCTTCAGGCAAGCCGCGCGTCCATCTCCACGCAAGCCTGCCACAGGCAGCGTGTTGAACTTCAAGCGCTGAGGGCTCCGCGTGCTCTAGGGCTGAGGGTTAACAGTAGAGAGCGCCGAGTACGTTCCACGGAGAAATGTCGGCTAGTACGACGGGTTCAGCTCTCAAGCTAACATCGGTAGCTCGTCCCCTCACTTACCATATAGGAAACCCCAGCCGACCACAACATGGCTTATCTAAACATTGCAGATGAAGTGAGCGTTTAGAGTCGTGGTTCCCTTGGTAGCCGAGTTGATGTTCATTGACCTATATCGCTAAAATGTCTGTTCGCCTGTACTGATCATGGACTTGGCCACAGAAGATGCATGACACTCATGTCTATCTTGCTCATCGGCGACATACGTGTGGTTTCAGTGGCGGGTATTATCATATACATCCGACTACTCCGTGTTCTCATATAGACACCCTGACCCTCCAACAGACCGGACGCCGAAGCGGCAGGTAGCATACGAGATATGCGGCTCCAGGCTAGAAGGACCGTGACTCTCAGCCTTCGCTATCAGCCGTAGGCGTACGAGTGTGCATGAGATAGGCTGAAACAGGTGTCAGACCGTATCATGCCACGAGAAACATGCTTTCCACACCTTATCGCCCGTTAGTCAGAGATTGATGGATATAGTACATCAGAACAGTATACAGGTAATGCTCAGGTTAAGCTAGCAGGGAGGTCCGAAAGCAATTGGTTGGAGCGACTTTCGCCGTCATGGCGGTCAAGAGCAAGTCGTAATCATCATAATGGCAAGAATGCGCCTTAGACACGCGCTGGATGACGTCACGCGTTTACTCTCGCTGTTGTGTGTTCCTGCGGATCTCATCTTCCTTGCGTACCATCAGGAGCCACCACAGGTGCTGCAGAACCAACTACGCCCAATTCTATCCAGGAGACAGCAGGTCCAAATTCTTGCGTGTTGTATCCGACCAGCCGACGAAATGGCTGGAGCAGCCGCGGCATGGATCCGTCCATCGGAAAGCATATAGGATAGTAATTCGCGACGTTGCCGACAGTAGTGGTAGTGCACAGTGCATAAACAAGTCCGTGCTCGCAAGGAGTACAAGTCTGCGACAAACGAGGTACATAGTTGCTCACGCTGAACAAGTCTGGTTCAAAAATCCGGGCGACGCGGCGACAACGCCGACGGCCAGCGGCGACCAACGACCGACTCAAGCTTTAGTCTCTTCCCACATTGTGCATCGTAGTCTACCCACCAAACTAGTCCACTCTTTCAACACATCTCTAGCTATGCTTTCCGCGCCTGAGTCTTGCGCTCCACCGACTCGTTCGCGTTCTCGGGCGTCTAGCCCTACTTCACTACCAACCCCGCCCACCACCATACGCAAACGAGCCCGGAGCGAATCAAACGATGATGAAAGGAGACCGGAGGTCGAGCACGTCGCTCATAAGCGCCAACGGATCTGGCGCACGCCTGAGCGCTCAAATAAACGGCCGACATGCAATAGAATCGCCTTCGAGCGTGCCCCAGGTCCTTCACTTCCCAGCCCTCCTTCCTCGGATCCGGCGCCTATACCTGCAACGCCCCCACGGCGCTACGGCGTAAGTGCCGTCTTGCAGACGCCACCTTACAAGCAGCAACCTATGCGCGACACGCCCAACAACATCTTTCTCTCGTTTCACCCTGTCATTATCGCGGAGGATGCGAACCCAGTCAATCTCGGCGTAACCGACCAGCGGGGCGAGCTACCGGCGATGATGTACTCTTTGTAAGTACACACCCTCATGCACTTTCCCCATGTCTTGGAGGCTAACATTGTGTTAGCCGTGGCAAGCGCCAGATCTTCATGAACCCGTTCTATGGCTGCATGTCCGCTCCAAGGACCAAGCTCAGCCCTCGCCATCCCGAGTTCACACCGGACGAGCTGTTTCCGCCTCGGCGTCTCTTTGACCCCCTTACGGAGGACGGCGACGACGACGACCATATCTCGTTTGAGAGGTCTGACTATGAGGATGGCCCAGATCCGTCGAAGACTACGAATACGACATCCGTCTCCCAGTCTCTCGTAGCCGCGTTCTTGAAGGTCGCGCGGGGAAGAAATGACGACGAGGAGTTTGAGGATGGAGAGTTGGAGCTTGACGAGGAACTTGAAGAAGGAGTGTGGGACGATGAGTCAGTGCTGGAACCTGCGCCTGAGGGTGAGGGCGAGGGCGTGGACACGGACGAAGGAGGAACTGAGGATGATGATGAATGCCAACGTGAAGAAGACCATCGTGGGGCGGATACTGCCCCTGATAGTACCGCAGACACGCTTCTCCCATTTCAATCACTCCTTCAGAGAATTTGACTTGTGTCTTGTATCTGCCAGTGCGTAACCTCGGTGTACCGACGTCTGTACTTCGAGTCCTGTTTTTATTCCTTACTTATTACCGTGTCAATTCCCGCGCTCGCTTAGTTTCTATCTTCCTTCACTTCCCTTGATTCTCGCGCATACTTTACACTCTACTTAAGGCTATACTCTACTCGCGCAGCAATCACACGGTTCACCAAGCAACGGCGGCTCGGACTTGTTCGGGTCGACGTGTCCGACGCGACGCGACGCGATCAGGTGACCGCGTCGCGCTGCCAATAATCGCGCCGCGCGTGAACGGCGTTGTTGTTTCACCTTCACCACCTCCCGTCATCATCGCCTCTCAGACCTCCTTTCCAGCCACCATCTCTTCCAAGTCCCCAATCAAACCCTCACTCAAGTCAAATGGTCCGCTCTTCGAAGAACTCCACCACAACCGGGCGCCCATCTCTAGAGAAGGACCCTGATGGGTGGGAACGCTCGTGGCAGACAGAATTGGATCAGATATACGCGTCTCATTTGACGAGACTCCCGTCCGCACTCCCAAACCTCAGGAACCTACCTAGAAGCTCTATCGAGAGTTTTGTCGACGAGAATGCACAACAGGCGCATGCTCTCGAACATAAGGTGTGTTGACATCTTCGGGCTTCAATGGGTCGGAGGTATACAACTTAACCGTGTGGCAGAGACTGGTGGAGTTGCAAGACGACATACGCACTATGTGCTCGCAGAAGTCAGCAGAAGATGATATCCCCGCCTTATGGAAGGCGGCGGGCGAGGATATCCGCCGAAAGCACTACTTCACTGCTATGGAGCGCGTTTGTGAGATACCGGACATGGAGACTCAGAGGAGGTGAGCGTATTCCATTTCTCCTGAACTGACGGTCGACTGATGCATAGCTTAGGACTGCGCCCGAGGTCTCATGGAAAGCCTTCAATGCCAACGATGGCCAAGGCTATCTTGACGTACTGCTCCGAATCTCTCGTGAACACCCACCCAGGCAGTACATCTACTTCCACCACCGCCTGGTGGACTCTACAATGGGGATCCGCGAGCCGTGGGATACAAAACACTCTTATGACGTTCAAGACGTGACAAAGTTCTACCAACGCACGTGCGTCCAGTTCTGCAATCAAGATTGGAACCTATCTGACCTGGACATAGTCTCGCCATGCGGCGTATGCTCTTCATATCGTTGGTCGTCTGGAATGTCATGCTGTCCTACTATGGGCGTGCGGAAACATACGTCTCACATGCCGTTCACCGCGAGTCTCGTGGAGTGGTGCCGGGCGTGCGCGCTGCAGGGAAAGCATTCGGGCTATCTGATGCAAAGATAGATGCGACGCAGAAGGAAAGCCGGAAGACGTACACGGAGCGCGGCCACAGCTTGTGCACGCGTTGTGGCAAGTACGACTTCCAGTTACCCGAGGGCGTCAAGTTTAAGTCCTGCGGACAATGCAAGACCATCGGCCGCAATATACTGTACTGTAGCAAGTGAGCCATCCAGGTTATGTAACATACCTACACATGCTCACTGTCTATCAGGGAATGCCAGGTGGACGATTGGAAGCGCGGCGATCCTCCTCATAAGACCATCTGCGGCAAACCCCTCGCAGAAGCCGCACAACAAGTTTCGCGAGCTTCGCGAGACTCCGCACCGGAATCGCGTTTTCCACCAGCAGAAGACGGTTTCGTGCGTTCGCCCGCGTTGCTCTACACTCTAGAGGCACTTGAAGAACACCCCGAGGCCGAATACGTACTCGTGCGACCGTCGCATGAAGTTGGAGATGACGGTGTGATAATACCTGATCCAATGGGTAAGATGTTCTTTAGGCTCTGCCTCAATCGTGCAGTCACTACTGGGGATCCTGCCTCGGTCAACATGATGTACAAGGCGTTGAAGGGTAGGGCGGAGACTCCGGGGGGGATAGGGGTTGCTGCTCTCAAGCGGCAACTCAAGAACGAGTACGGGGTTGACGTTGAGGATTCGCAGTGAACGGTCTTGAATGATACTCTTGTTTGTTCATGTACTGATCTGATCTTACCCTATCCATTCTATTGAACTTTGCAGGGTCGTATGTTACTTCACTGCCGTATATAGATCCCTACAAAAGCGGTCTGCAATCGCCTACGCGTGGTACTTGCCTCTATGCTACTGGACACGATGGAGCTGAGTGGTTACAGTTCTTCTGGCCATCTCCGCCATGCTCGGCACTTCTGAGAAGATCATTCTTATGCTTCTCTACCAACCTGCACGTCATCTCAATATCGAAAGCTCGCCTACTGATGGAATCTGCGGAGCCGTTACGAAGAGTCCGGGAGGGGTAGGCTCGCATTGGTACAGGGAACATCTTGCACGGAAGCGGGTATCGTTTCTACTCGCCAGACGACCTTGTAGGTCTGGACTGGACAAGGTATGGCCATCTCGTGATTCGCTATGCAGAAAGAAATGGCAAGTGTCGACGCACTTTCTAGCGCGCTGGCATTGATGCATCATTGATCTCGGTTCGCTCGACCGCTTCAGGACGCCCGACGGATGAGGAACTGCTGGAGAAGGTATATAAGTCTGGCGGTTCTGGTGACGCAGCCTCTCTTTGGCAACAATGGGCTACCACGAGAAAGCTGGCAACCGCGGCTGGGGCGAGACTCTGCCAGTGAAGGTGCATCATGAGTACGCACGCCGGTTCCGGTTTACTCGCGAGATGAGCGCTGATGTACGCATTACAGCGTGTATCCTTGCATCAGCCCCACGCCTGCATGGGAGGCGCAATCTTTCAAGGGTAAAGCCATCTTTATCACAGGCGCCAGTCGTGGGATAGGTCGTTCAACGGCCATCACATTCGCGAAGGCGGGCGCAGCGGTGGCCATTGCAGCGCGCTCAAGTGCGGCTCTGGACGAAACCCTGTCACTCATGCTGAAAGAGGCACCCGAGGCCAAAGTGAAGAAGTATGCTGTGGATGTAACAAACAGCGCCGAGATGGAGATGGCGGTAGATCACGCGGCGGCTACGTTTGGCGGGTTGGACGTGGTCATCGCGAATGCTGGATACACGAATGCCTTTGACAACACGCGTGAGTACGCGCGCTGCATGAGTTGCACCTGACTGATAAGACACCTTGCAGTGATGGATCAGCGTGCGACGCCCGAGTGGTGGCGTACGTTCGAGATCAACGTACTCGGCGTATATAACACCATCAAGCCGGCGTTGAAGTTCCTGCGCAAGGTTGAAGGCTACTTCATCGCGGTAACCTCCACCGGAGCTCAACTCCGCACACCGGGAGCTAGTGACTACGATGTACGCGGATGTATCATCATCACCCTGCGCCGTCAGAACTGACAAGACCCAGACATCAAAGCACGCAGTCAACAGGCTGGTAGAGTTCATTGCGGCCGGTAAGTAGCCTGACGTGATAAGCGCGACACCACTCACGCTGACGAGTGTTCACAGAGAATCCGAGTATCAAAGCCTTTCCTGTGCACCCAGGTACTTCCTTTCTCTGGGGCGTGTTGGTGTCCGCTAACTAACGCTGAATCTGCAGGCGCTGTTGCCACAGAGCTTGCAAAGGCGACAAAACTGGAGGAGAAAGGTATCGAGTTCAACGACCCGCCTGAACTAGCCGCTTCCACCATGCTGTACCTGTGTTCAGGAAATCTCGACTGGATGAATGGGCGATACGTCGACGTGAACTGGGACTGGGGTCAAGTCGAGAGGGTGTGGAAAGATAAGATCTTGGAGAATGATCTCCTCATCAACAAGTTGGATGTTCGTGTATAGTACATTGATGAAGCAGAACTGCACATTTTCTATACCGCAGACGCATAGGTTAACTGGCACCATCTGCGCAGTCGGACTCAGATACCTGAAGACGAAGCTACGCAGCGCCACCCCTGAGGCGTCTACAGCGCGCCCTGTGTCCTCCGTCTCTCCAGTCCCTACCAAATTGGTCACAATCGTGAGTACAGTTCAATCCATTGCAAGTGAGCGAGACTGCACGTACCGCTTTTGGCATTCTCGACTACAGTAGCACTAGTATTGTCAGCACGCTCCTGAGCAGTCCTGTAAGGCCTCGTACTCACCGCTTCACCACATCCTTGGCACTTGCGAGCGGGTGTAGGCGGCCGGACTGTGTAGTACTGGCAGCGCCTCCAGGTACACAGCTGAACTGGATGGTTCATCTCTTCTTCCTCTTGAAGACCTGCTGTTTCCCCAAGTGAGCGCCAATCATCGATCAGCGGTGATTGAACAGCTCCGGCAGCCAGAAGCGGAGTGGCGACTCGGATTATTGGGTACCAGACACGACGCATGTTCCGCAGAAGTTTGTCAACGTGCTCGCCCTCGTCCGCTTGCGCGAGCAGTCGTGGAAGGTGTTCAGTAAGACTCTTTATGAGGCTCGCCGCAGGATCTGATCGTGCGGGGTTGAGTGCATCGTCGCTGTGCAGTGGAAGAACTGACTGACCGGGTAATGAGCAACGGATAGAAAGCGGTACTAAACGGGCGAGATGGCCTAGGATGTCAAGCTCAATGAGGAGCGTCACACATTCTGAAGCTGACTGTGTCTCGAGTATCACGGACCTAAGAGCAGGGATCAATGATCTGAACATGTACGAGAGAACGACTGTGAGCCGAACGGCTTACAGACAAACATCGAGTGCCTCCGAGAGACACAAGCTTTGTAGGTTGTCGTCGTCTCTTCCGTTAACAGCCTGACGATTCACAGAGCCAAGTAGGGCCTTGATTGTGCCGGACGACAGAAGGTGAGGGCGGTAGTCGGGTATGTTGACAACACGAGCGATGAACACAAGGATCTGACGCAACGGATCCTCGAGGACGGAAGGATGGCAAAGGCAAGAAGAAAGGCGCTCCAAGAAAGATAGGCCATATACCGCGTATATCTCTGCGTGGCCATAGTCGCGTAGCTCGTGTGCATCCATGCCCGACGACTGGATATAAAGTGAGGCGCAAGCAAGAAGGCCAGCCACGAGAGGCGGAGTGTTGTCCTCGTTCATGTACCATGACCTGATGACCATCCGCTGTATATCCACGTAGTCCGGAGAACGCATGATCGCGGCCCAGTAATCCACATCATGAATGCTACCCAGATTCGTTATTAGACATGCACTTAAAACATGGCATCGAAAGCTCACTTCGTAGGGGTATATATGGAATGATACAGCACCAGGAGGTCGCCCATCTTCTCTCGCAACAACTTGGTGAGGCGAAGCCCTTGCTCGTCGATGACTACCGTGCCGTCCGGCGCCGTGATGCGCTGGAAAGTCTCTTGATTCTTCAACGCGTTTCCACATGTAACCGATATGATATGGTTGAGGGCCGCGGACATGCCTAGATCATCTCCCCGTCGTCCGATCATATCAAGCTGCCGCTGAGTGGCACAATACTCGAGCGCGCATGAGATCTGTCGTATGATAGATATGACCCAAGACTGTGATCGCTCTTAGCGAAGCGGATCGCCATTCAAGCTAAGCAAGACTTTCTCACCAAGAACTCTCCAAAGAATGTATCTTCCCTGACAGCCTCTAGCCAGAAGTCTGTAATGCCAACCGCTGTAACAGCCTTCCAGAAGCCGGGAGCCAAGGAGCAACATGCTTCCGTGAGGGCGTCAGTGGTTGCCCATAGAGCCATGTACCTCCCGCATGGGAGACGTGCATGATGCATCGCGCGGAGCAGATTGACGGCCGCACCAGGGTCCTGAGCGACCAGTCCCGGGGCGGATCTGCGATCCAGTCTGAAGCCGTTCGGGACGTCGAAGAACATCCCGAGGTCGATCGCACGAGCGTCGTCTTTGTACTTCGCGTCGGGGTCCTTGCTTGTCAAGATGCACGTCCAATGACGCTCAGCGTCAGCGGGAGCTCGTGGATACTGATAGGCTGCTGGATCGGATCCCTGCTCAGCGCTCAGATGCGCCATACGAGTCAAGAGCCATCTCTCGAGAGCGTCTGAGTCGTCCGGGGACGGAGCATTTTGCCAGTCTACCGAGTTATCGGGGAAGGACGACGGAGGGGCCATGGGGGTAAAAGACGAGCACTAGCAAGTACCGCTTTCGCCCGCCCGCCGTAACGAAGAGGTAGGTTCCCGGGCTCGTCAAGCCTGCTCCACGCGCTCGTGTCCTGAATCGAGGCGGATTGGGCGATGGTGTTTCCGAATTTGGCCATCGGTCACCAGCTGACGGTTGGCAAAAAGAGGGGCCTTGCTAAAAGCGGTGATAATCTGACGATATATATGAGTCTGAACGTGATCAAGGGTGGTAGTTTGGGGGATCGTCCCGACATGTCGGTCTCGAAGCGCGCAACTCGATTAGCGTTGTACCGGATTCTTGTATTCAACGTTTGTAAATCGCGTGAATGCAGATAGCGTGAGGTTCACGCAGGTAGGGCAGAATAAATGACATTTGGCAGTAAGGAGAGATAGCGATACACGTCGAGGAGCTCGTCATGGTTCAGAGCAGGTCAATGAGGTCGGTGCCCTGAGCGCGCGCTGCTATGCTTCGGCCTTTGCCGAGAGAATTCGCACGGCCATCGTCTGCGGTTGACCTCAATTGCCGAGGCAAGAGGAGTTGGACGATGGCTGGATGGTAAACTGACCAGTGAGCCCAACATCGCCGGTCGAGTCCATGACGGCGATTCCAAAGACCTGACCAGCGGGCTCGTTCACGGTCCACTGTACCGGGCTACTTGTGGCGTCGCTCGCGATCTCCTCTACGAAGTTGCTCTCGCTGTCGAGCAACTGGATATCAAACGGTCCTACTCCGCCCGTCCAAGTAACCTGATAGACAGCGCACTGAATGGCTCCGAGTGCGCCGGTGGGGGTGTTGACCTGGACGGCGTGTTAGCTACTTTACATGCAACACATAGCCGGGCATCTGGACACACAGTGATAGGGCTTGCGGTCGAAGATGCATTGAGGCAGGACGAGTTCGATGAGTCCTGGATGCTGAACAAGCCAGAGATGCCGGAGTCGCCATCTGCATCGAACACGGCAAAGGTGAAGTTCTGGCCGGCGGGCTCGTTCACGCTCCACAGTACGGGGCTGCTGGTCACGTTGTCCGCGATGTCCTCCACGAGGTTCAGCTCGTCGTCGAGCAGGTAGACATCGAACGGCCCGTTGCCGCCTGTCCAGGTGATCTGATAGTCTTCGCACTGGATGGCGGAAGTTGCGCCGGTCGGTGTGTTGACCTGATGAAAAGATCGTCAACGTCTTCACGGACGAACCCTGGCAGCATGATCATACAGTGAGATCTCCAGAGGATGTGTCATTGAGACAGCTTGTGTCAGACGAGGGCTGGATAGTGAACTGGCCAGTGGTGGCGGTAGTGCCAGTCGTGTCGTGAATGGAGAGAATGAAGTCCTGGCCAGCGGGCTCGTTCACTGTCCATTGGAATGGGCTGCTTTGAGCATCGCTTGCGATCTCCTCCACGAAGTTCTGTTCACTGTCGAGAAGGCGAAGGTCGAACGGCCCGGTGCCGCCTGTCCAGGTCACCTGGTAAACAGCACATTGAATAGCGCCGAGTGCGCCGGAGGGCGTGTTGATCTGATATGGGGATGATCAGCGTGTTGTTCCACTTCGAGAGGCTCAGCGCACAGTTATCTGGGCAGTGACGGAAACGACAAGGACAGCGAGGGAAAGAGTGGCCTTGAACATGACTATTGGCGAGATGTGCCGGACCGCTGCGCTTGCGCACTACTCTTATACGGGCTCAGGTTGGAGACCCGCGCTTTGACCGTCACTCCATAGGTCACTACCATCGCATCGTGCATCGCAGATGCAAGGAACAGCGCTCATCGTCGACAGTGGGTGAGATGAACGCGAATTCCGTAGATCGTCGTCAGGCGAGGAACGTGTACCTCCACGCCTATGGAGAATCAGTACAGGCTCTTTGAGCAGCAACATGGCGGATACACCGAACGAAGCCAGTCCATAACCATAAACGGCCGTTCATGTATATCATCATTACCATTACAATCAGCCCAGCCACATCTCTACAGACGCCCCACCCACAAGAATAGATACATGCCATGTAGTAGCACGTTGGTCCCCTCCGGAACTTAGCATAGCAACCCTTCTGGGACTCACGTTCCCGGCAGGGCCGAGGAGAGGGGCGATATGCTGACAATGATGGGCTGTTCAGTGGCGCGCTCTCCTTCCCACACCTAGCGGATTGTGATCACGTGAGCAGACGCGTACTATATGCACCTCGGACATCGTTCCGCGTCGCGGCTTCACCGAGTCGAAAGCCTAGGACTGGATGTTTTCTCTTCCTCAGGCGCGCTGGCCTCGTCAGGAGACATATCGAATGTGCCGCGCTCAGAGTCCGTCACAGTACGGAGGGCCACTACGCGCTCAACGCCCACATTCTCAAGGATGGCGGCGGGGGCCATCGGCGCGACGGCTGCGGGTAGAACGTTGCTAACCAGCTGCGGCGCTCGCAAATAATGGATCTTGTCTAGTGCCACGAGCATGAATATAAAGAGAGGGTAGATGGACTATGTGTCCAGATCAGATAGGCTGCAGTTCCACAACATGACAAAGGTACGCACGGTTATCTGGGCCATCGACACGTCCAGGAAGTCTTCCGCGGTTATGAAACCGACTTCGGAGACATTGTCGAGTGTCTCGTAGATGTAGTAGAGTAAGATGTCTCGCAGGAAGCTGGTACAGTATAGAGCCTGCGCAGGGTATGAGTAGACGATGGTAGGTACGGCAGTAAGCTCCTACCCATACGGCGGTGTAGACGATGCCCGACTCCACCAGTAGCTCCATGACTCGTATAGCAAGGGAACGGCGAGTATGCGCATGCGCAAACTCAGCCAACCGCCTCCGGTGTATCCTGCAACCGATGATGAGCATAGTAATGACGCCATCAAGCGCCAATGGACGTACCAGGCCTTCACGCCCACCAGTACAGTCGCACAGAAGTTACTCACCAACGACACGAAGACTGTGACAAGCCCGATCGAGCCGAGGCTATATATTCGAAAGAGGTTCTCGGACAAGGGATTTCCGTGTCCCACTAGGATGGTTCCCCTGTCTGAGATACGGCCCTCTCCGACGATATTCGCAACGTTAAGCCCTATGGTTGTTGCAACCAGTATTGCGCCGAACCCCAATATCGCGGGTCGTTTATCCCACACGACACACATACGCCACAAGACGACTGCGTCACTTATGATGACCTTGATTGATCGCCGATTGTCAGTACGTAGTAGATGCCATAACGCGCGATGCACTCACGTTGATCGAGAACAGCACCAGTAGAACCAATCTCCTTCGAGCATTATCGTACTCGGTCACTATATTCACGGGATGCCAGATACTGAGCGTAACGGCCCAGTGTACCAGTGATATCGTGTACATGATTAGAGTAGCGGCTGGAATGAGTGCCTTGAAGCCGTTGAAACGTCGAGATCCCGGGGACGTTGTTTGCCTATTGCGAAGAAGTGAGCTTCTGCGATCGGGTGCAATTAGAATCTCACGCACCATAGGCTATTGCGCATCGCCAGAGCAAAGAGGAACGACGAGAACCCTATGGAACGCTGACACTGACTCCTAGCGCAAGCGTCAAGCAAGAGACGAACCAAGCAGTACCGTTTCTGTAGCCAGGGGCAACGAGCCTTCAAATACCGTGTCTCCGATAATATCCGGCGCGAGTCCTTCATTTTCGAACGTTTGCAGGTCCCATGTTCCAAAGGGATCCCTAGATGTACCAGGTGATCGTCAGTATTCTATCTTCACACGGGTGACGCGGGAAAGAGAGTGCGTACTGCTGCTCGACTATGGATATGATCTGTCGAAGAGACACTATCCAGCGCCCGAGTTCGACCGCGAAGGTGAGCCAAAGTAACGAGATGGAGAGCGCGCGGCGGGCAGGAAATTTGGCCCTGCCAGCGCGATGTCAGTATCAGTCAAATGTACGCCACAGTCGAACGCATCGTACCAGATAAGGTACGTTCCAATAGGTGCACCCGCGAAGAATACACCCACTACAAAGCTGTCAAGGAGCAGGGTTGGCACGCCGAAGGAAGCTGTTAAGTCATAAAAGACCTCCTCGGCCGCGCCTGTCTTCGTCAGGTTGTAAAGCGACATCGAGGGATGGGATGCACGTCGCGAGTGATAGACATAGGTTATCCACCGTCTGTTTATGTAAGGGTCAACGATTGACTCTTATCATCTCGACAGTAGCGATCGGCGCTCAGCTCTGACATGTTGGGCACAGGATTCCAGGAATACTACAATGTATAGGTGAAGGGTGCCTCGCCGGGGATCATGTTCACCAGTTGGTAGCGCGGACATCGTGACTGGGTTGTACGATGGCGTGTATCACGTATGGCCAGAGATGAGACTCCTGGGTTCACCATAGGCACACAACGCGATCCTGCCAAAGCAAGTCAGGATGATCACGACTCAAAGGTCAGTCGTGCCACGCACTGCCCTCGTATGAGCGTGAAAATCACTGCAGGTTGTCAATCTGTCATTTCTTCAGCGGAGACCTGTAAAGGGCTCAAGAGTATGTGGGGAGAAGCACGGCGTTAATGATGCTCCTGGCGGATCTTCAACCTTGGACTGGGTATCACACGCGGCAAGATTGACGAGGCAAACCCAAATGAGTTGTAGACCAAACACAGCTCTGCCTGCATGATTTGGGGTACTGTATGATAGGCACCTTCAATTGGATGGCGCAATGACTACCGCTGAGTGCGAAGCTATCTCAGTAAATAGAGCATCTTCGAGACAGGCAGGAAGCATACCTATCAATCGGGATAACCTGCCTCTCGACAAACACATCTTCCGCCCGACGAAGCTTTCGGGGTCGCACATGCAATTTGGGTGGGAGTAAAAGGCCAGAAATGACCGGTGTAGATTACAGAGGGATCGCAGCGTGGGAGTAGTACGTGTCTCCAAATCGTCAGAACAAAGAACCATACAGAAACAAGCGTACAGGACAAGCGAGCAAGCGAAGATTATCCAAGGAAAAACAAACGAGAAGACAAGTCCCGGTGCAGTTAGTGGGAGGGGAGGGGGGGAAGAAGCACACGGAGGACAGAAACCAGGGGAACGGTAACCAGGTAGGAGGGGGAGATAAGGGTAGGGTTCGACGGGACCACAAGCCGCACTACGGACGCAGGGTATAGAACGGGGTTTATGCGGCGAGCGCGAGGAGGCCGGCGACGACGGCGCCGAGGAAGCCGGCGGGTGCAACGACCGACGCGGCACTGCTCTGGGTCTGCGATGCAGCGGCGGACGTGCTGAATGAATAAAAATCAGAAGAGAGTCCAAGATTGTATAAACAAGAACACATACCCAGATGCGGCAGCGGAAGTGCCGGATGCGATGATAGAGCTGGCCGAGCGCGTAACAGAGGCGGCAACAGAGGATGCGACCGAAGCAGCCGACGACGCAGCGCTGGAGACCGAGGCAGGGATGGACGAGACGCTCGACACGGCGGCCGAAGAAGCCGAGCTCGAGCTGGCGGGGACGCTAGACGCGCTGCTTGCCGCCGACGATGCCGCGGAAGATGCCGCGGCGGTGGAGGAGCCCGAGGCGGAAGCGCCAAGGCAGGCGGTGTTCGAGGAGGACTGGACGGTGAACTGGGCGGTGGTAGCCGTGGTGCCGGTCGAGTCGTGGATGGAGAACAAGAGGACGGTGCCGGCGGCCTGGTTCACGGTCCACTGCACCGGGCTCGACGTCGCCGAAGCGTCGATCTCTTCAATAAAGTTCTGCGCGCTGTCGAGCAGACGGATGTCGAAGGGGCCACTGCCACCAGTCCAGGTGACCTGGTAGACCTCGCACTGGATAGCACCGAGCGCGCCCGTGGGCGTGTTGATCTGGAATTTATATTTGCTTTATCAGCTGTCTGTCGTGTCGCATCACAATCAAGCCTGAAACGGCTTACGGTGATCTGCGCAACAGCGGTGGCGGCAAGGGCGGCAAGGGTGAAGAGGGAGGCGAACATGGCTGCGTTACAGGGCGTCGAAGGCGTGGGTGCGGGCGTCGAGAGCGAAGAGCTGTCCGCCCCGAAATCGCGCGACTCCGATTATATACTTGTGCTAAGGTTAGGGTCTCGGCAGCTTTGTCCGCGTAATTTCTGATGTGAACCTCGTGCCTGCCGTGCGCGAGCCGATATTTCTCGTCCGTTCTCGATCTTGGTTTTGCTTCCTGCGCTCACCACCCGTCGGCGCTGCCTCTCTTCGAGCCCAGTACGGCAATAGCTGTCTTCTTGACGAGTACAATGACGACGATTGGAATTCGAACATGCTCGACGCGTGCACAAGTATAGATCGTCATCTTCGCATCCATGATGTTCTTCTTGATCGGTCCGTACGCGCACGGACATGCACGGCTTGACATCCTTCCTTGAAGTTCCTTCCCTCGTGTCCTCCGCCTGCCCGACTATTCCTGGCCACTCGACTTCCAAAATATACCAGCTGCCGCAAATTTTCGACAAGACTCCGGGCTCCGTGACAGTGCTGAGACCGTCGGCATCGCCATACACGGCGGGAACGGTATCTATCGGGAGGCGCGCGCGAACAACGGGCCGCGCCGAGACAAGCCAAGGCCCGTCGTCGCGCGCTTGTGCACTGCTTCGCACTCTTCGTTGCCCGCTTATTCTGCTCTGGATCGAGCATTGCTGCTCTTGGACGCATCTCGAGCCTGGTGACCACCATCCTCGCCTTGCTCGGCACGCACGAAGACGTACGGACTTTCGAGCTAGCGCTCTGCGGGAGCTGCGCAGTCGGCGCTCCGAGGTTCTTCTTCCGCGCCATGAGACAAACGGGCGCCGGGGTCAAAGCGCGCACGCTTGGACCTATATCGCACAATATCCGGGATTGTACCAGTCTCCGCTACTCTGTATCGACGGCCCAGCGCAAGTGCTCGTAGGATTGCGCGCCTCAAACGCCACAACGTCCTTGTCGCACAGCGCACGCTCGTCGTCCACCTATCGATTTTCTGTGAACAGTCACGCGTCGTTGGGAAGCAGCCAGTAAGCCTACAGCAGTCGCTGCCGACTGCTTGAGCCAGCAGAGTCCCCTATGCATGTCAAGAGCGTGTAATCAACCGTGCAATACATGCCATTACGATAGTTTCATAGGCCCGATCGGGTGCTGTTCCTGCACCAGAGGATGATGGCCCATGCGTGCTTTGGGCGGAGGCTACGAGGTAGACATGGCTACAGAATATCCCGACAGCCATGAGGTATGGTTGCCGTAGCGACACTGACATTGGGTGTATCCCTCTAGATCTGGAAACAATGACGACGACAAGAGATGCCCGAGCCAAACCGCAAGAGACGTGGACGGGGTCGCATCTTCGGGCGACGAACACACACATGCAAGATCGATTTCGCCCCAGACAATTCAACGACAATGTATTGATGAGTAAAATAATACAGCAAGCGAGGTACATAAGGGTACATATCTATTATATCTGAATGGTACAACATGGTTGAGCCGTTGGTAGTCCTGAGTCTCCAACAGTTCCATACCACACAAGCCCATCCTATCGAAATCAGTGACCGGGCTCCGTCGACTCAATCGCGCCTGACGCTCTTCCGGTATCTCCGACGGCGCTATATGGGCTAATTGGCTTCAAGAGCGGGGTGGGCGAGCAGAGATCTGAGGCGCTGGGTTCGTGGCGTGAGACTTGCACGTGAACGATTGGTTTTGAGTGCGCCGGGCCACTGCGCCCCGCCTTAGCTTTTCGCGTCCACGTACCCAGCATAATCCATTACAACGACTCTCACCGGCTGGCGTCCGGCATCTCGAGTTTACGCCGCTCCACAATATCAAGCTTCTGCCAGATGTGCATCTTGTTCGTCGAATCGTGTGGGAGTCGTGCAGCTTATCTATATAGGCCGTGCCCTGGTCGAGTGTCGAGATGTTACCGAAGCCCTTCCCTCCGCCTGCATGCCTCTGCTACAGCTGAATGAGACCCAGGAGGCCCAGATCTTAGAGGTTCTCTACGCCTCCACGGCCAAATCCATTGTACCCCTTCTACTTCTCGAAGGCTTCATGTTAGGTAACACGTCTGCCAATTCACACTGTCGAGATATACTCAGCCAAACTACGCAGGTGCATCGAGTGCTTGTGTACCGCTTGCATCGTATATGCTTTGGTACAGCAGAATCGCCTTGTTGGAGGGGCTTGGCATATTAATGAAGACATATCGCTAGGATGAATGTCACTTCTATCCGCCGGGGGTGTTCAATCTTAGTTGTATGGGCCACCCTCACCGTCTTCGCGGTGCACTGGGCTTTATCGTTGCAGAACTTGGAGTCCGTCATATCCGGGAGGTACGCGCTTCGTCGTCTCAAACCGCACTTCTCTTGATTGACGGTTGTTGGCATGTGCAGTGCTTTAAACATCTCGCTTCCCATTCTGGATCACGACGTTATTAGCCCTTCGGGTATCAATATCTCCGATGCTGCCCTCTTTCGGAGAGACATAGTATTCGACACTGAGATATCGTATTCAGACTATAGCGCGGCATGGGAACACCTTGTCACCCTTACAACGGAAACTGTACTCCTGGGTCTGTGTGCACAAGATCGGACATCGATACACCACTGATTCGGAGTAGGCTTTGCGTCGTCTCTATTCGCGACAACGGTGTATACATCATTCACGTGCGTGCCCATCGGGCCAGTTCACACATCCCAGATACATCAGGCTCATGGTCTATAGGCAGTTTCTAACGCAAGACCGCGGAAGTTCAGTTTTCATCGTACCGGCAATCGCATCGTGTATGTACGCCCTATCATTAACGCACTGGGCGGCATCCATTCGGTATTACACGGAGTTCATAGCATACGCTCGTCCGTCTTCTGGGGATCTCGTACTTCTCGATGCCCGGCTTGATATTATTATGGCGACGACACTTGCGGTCAATGTGAGTGTTCATTCGCCATCCAGGGCCAATGCTGGGCTGAGAAGGATACATCCAGGCAATATTGAGTGACTCCATCGTGCTTTGGCGTATGATCGTCGTATGGGAGAAACGGTACCCCATTCTCGCCGTGTGCGTCGTGCTGCTGGTTACGATGCTAGGTACCAACATAGCATTCATCGTCATATCCGTTCCACCCGTTTCTGGGAGGCTTTCCAAATATCTCAGGTTTGGGCTGCGGCCAGGAACCGTCGAGGGTTTAATCCCAGCATATGACGATGATGTCTTTGGTCTCGCCGCGATCTTCGTATCGCTAGCAAGCAACGCGAGCGCAACTGCGCTAGTCGGCCTGAAGGCATGGTGAGTACTTCTCCTACCATGTTGCACCTTCAACTCTGACAATCTCCATCCAAGGCTATATAGAAGGCAGATAAAAGAGTACATTGGTTCTCATTGTCGGCGCACTATCGTGGAACGAGTCTTACTCCTTCTCACCGATTCGGGGGTAGTCTATACAGTCATATGGGTGAGGTCGTGTGCTTGATTGAATTGACGAGTATCATATTGACCATCTGCTATAGCTCGTGTACTGCATCAGCGTCTACTTTCCAATTACAGTCCAATTCCTTATACCCGGGAATCCCATTTATGCGGTGGATTATCTTGATGCAGCGATGGCTCAGATAACTGTACGTCATGCCCCAAACTCTCTTCTGCGAGCGATACTTACCAGCATTCACATCGATACAGACCATATATCCCCTCTCCGTCTTCATATTTCTCGCATACGACCAGATGCAGCACTCGCGGGAGCCACAGCTCGGGTCCCTTCGGTTTGCCAGTAGAAGCCAGAATCCTGCCAGATCTTTCGTTTCTGAGATGGACCTCGAGCGCCGCACGGAGCCTACCGTGCTCGTAGGTCGGCAGCCGAGCAGGAGGAGTCGGGAAGAGCCCAACGATGGTGAAGAAGGGGAGGTTCTTGCGCAAGGAGTTGAAGAAACGAAACTCCATACGATCAATCCGGTCTGAGGCTTTACCTACGCACTAGCGGCGAACGCGAGGCTCCTTTGAGATGCGCTGTTGTGATAACTTATGTATCTTCTTGACGTATGTACAATGTTCATGGCTTTCTTTTGCATAGAGGCGGAGGAGCATGGTGGTTGGGAGCAAGTTTGCCTGTGTAGCGTGGCTGACTCGGTTATCGGGCCGAACTACGACTTCGCGCTGAGCCATCCGACGTCAGCTCGACAATCTGTTTGCCAATTTCCACCATGTCCCTCCCTCATGAATACTATTGCCTTCGCGGAACGTCAAGAACCGCCTTAGAAAGCACGAAGGCGATGCTCATGATATTTCACACGGCTCACATGCGTGGTGCTCGACGACCGGAGCCGGGTGCGTTACCTAGATACAACCTGTATTCTACCTGCACGCTAACGCAGTCTCAGGTGCTGTACAAACCAGATGATCTCAGCGACTGTGCACTGTCATGATCTTCTCGGCCGACTTCTGCTGCATTCACGGACTGGAACGCCGCATTCCATCCCAAGTGTTTCGATGACATCCAGGCTCCATCAAGCTCGCATGGACAACCGTCAAGGGCGGGAACCAGATCACCGCGCGCCTATCCTCGAGCTATATATAAGAATGCCGAACTGTTGGGGTCCGCCACGTCTCGTAGTTGTACAGCCATGTTCGCCTCTCTCTTCACGCTCGCTGCTCTCGCCGCCTCCGCCGTCGCCCAAATCACCGTACGTCCGCCTCTTCGCATGCAATGTGCCAACCACTGATCACTTCAACAGATCAACACGCCCACCGGCGCAACCGGCGCAATCCAGTGCCAGGTCTACCAAGTTACATGGACCGGCGGTACCGGTCCCTTCGACGTGCGCCTCCTGGATAGCTCGCAAAACCTCGTAGAGGAAATTGCTTCCGCTGCGGCCAGTAGCCCGGTGCAGTGGACCGTCAACGAGCCCGCTGGCCAGACCTTCCTGTTCTCCATTCACGACTCGACCGGCGTCAGCGCCGTCACCGGTATGTTCCAGATCCAGACGTCGTCCAACTCGGCTTGCTTGAGTGCTTCGTCGTCTGGCGCTGCTTCGACCGCCGCCAGCTCGTCGGCTTCTGGCGCCCCTACCTCGACCAACGCCTCTGGCTCCACCGTCACCGCAAGCACCAGCAGTTCATCGGCGTCGGCATCGGCATCTAGTGCAGCTGTTTCGTCCTCCAGTTCTGCCTCGCGTCCTGTCAGCTCTGCGGCCGCATCTGTCGCTCGTTCTGCGACCTCCGCCGCCGCTGCCGCCGCCTCCAGCCTTGCGAACTCCGCGTACGTTCTTTCACACTGTAGTAGCGTTATCTACGCTTCCCTGACACCGTCTTCTCCAGTACTTCCGCTGCAGCCGCCGCTGCGACCTCAAGTGCGGCGCTTAAGAGCGTCGCGCCCGCCAGCCTCTTCGGCGCCATCATTGCCGGTCTTTTCGCGCTTGCTGCGTAACGTACACATACCCTTTCTTACGGACTCTCGTTACATGCTTTCGTACTGCTACATGGGACTCTGAGCGTATGGTCTCTGAGATAATACTGCCTGCTGCACTGTCACCCTTCCGTTCCTTCGTTGTAGACATTGTACTACAGTACACCTCGATGGGATCCTTTCGTGATCCGCACCTGCCACTTCTGGCATTCTTGCTCCCATGGTGTGCTTGAAACACGTTAGAATCCCGCTGTGCGGGAAACATGGCGGGCGTTTGTGATGACGGGAAGTCCAGGCTCTGAAAGCGGCGCTCGATGTCGTCGCTTCTCCGGCCCTTCGTGTCGACGTCGCTCTTCCCCCGCCTCAACATGGGACTCTCTAACGCAACTCCGGCATAAGAAGCTGAGCTGAAGGCCGCTATGAGCACTGATGGTAACAACGTACTGATGTCGGTATGGACGCGTGGGTAAACCTGCCGCGCGGCTGCGGCCCGATACATACTGGTGGTCAGTCGCGGGGCCGCGAGCGCGTCTTGCGGGGAACCCTCATGTTGGCTTTCAGAGAAGAGTGATCCAACCAGGTCTTCTTTGAAGGCCATGGGCTTGCCTGGACCATGATACATCTCTTCCGCCTACGAACCTTTGGCCGAACCGATTAGTAGAGCGACCAACCTGACCATGCTTGTATGATTGACACCGTCTTCTGGCTTTAGCTTCCAACCTGTTTGCTTTTCGTAGCAACACGCCTTGCCGGATATCAGATACATTCTCATGACTGGAATGGATCTATTCAGTCGGAGCGCGCGCTTGTCGCAGAGCGGGACACTTTCAGCAGGATACAATCAGCGCGCGTTGCCCAGTTGGGCCACCGTACATAAGGGTTCTGGCCTTCTCACTGACCAGATCCTACCCGTCGTGCATCGATGGATCCATGCTCGTCTCCCTCCTAATATCAGCCGGCCTTGACCACCCTTGTTGCTGGGCGGAGCCTCACGGTACGTCAGCGAAGTTCACTCGAACCTGTGGAGAATGAGTTCCTGACGGCGTCGTCGCACAGATCAATACACCCACAGGTGCGGCTGGGGCCACACAATGCGAAGCATACTAAGTTACATTGACGGGCGGAACCGGCCTTTCAACGTTCGCCTCCTTGATAACGCCCAGAACTCCGTCGAGGAGATCAACGGCGCCGCGACCGGTTGCCCTGTGCAATGGACCGTGAGCTAGCCTGCTGGCACGGTCCTCCTCTTCTCCATCCACGACTCAACCGGGGCTGCGGCCACCACCGGCTAGTTCACCATCCAGCCGTCGGCAAACACGAGCTGCTCGAGTGCTGCTTCTGCGACTTCATCCTCCGCCAGCTCGGGGCCCACGAATAGCATCAGCGGCGGCTGTCTCTGCGACGTCCAACCATGTCGGAGTCGCGACGGTCTCGCCAGCTAGCTTCGATAAGTTCCTCTGCGCGCTGCTCGCTTGCCTCCTCGTACTTGTCTGGCGAGAGTGCGCTACACGGCCCGCATCGCGCCTCGTACTATACTCCACCTGTACAGTACTTCGGTGTACTCTATCCATGTAGACCTATCGCAGATTCGGGACTCTCTGGTTCGATGGGAGGTAGTACTTGTAATCTACATAGATGTCAGATCTTGTGCGGCCCCTCATGAATGTTAGGGCGGAGGATCACGTTGTCCGCACCAGCTTCGAAACTACTGTCGGACGTGGGGCCGCGACCACTCAGAGAGATGCGATACTTGCAGCAGTACGCGCTGCCTAGCGTGGGAATATCTACGACCGTCTCCGGGTCGCCCGGCCGCGAGCCGCGACGGGGCTCAAGACCATCTTCCGACGCTCATGATGCATGATCCTCAGACCACTGGAACAGTTCCGTGTACCGCTTTGCCTCTGTATCTAGCGAGCCGTCAACTAGCGACCCACATGCCGCAACACCAGCGCGCTTAAGTGACCGTCTTCGGATGAGCGTCTTTCCAGTAGCAACCGATCCGGCATTGCCAGCAGGCATCGAGTGTTGCTCGCCGGTTGTTGAGAGATAATCAACTCGTCAGGAGATGCCAGAGACGGCGGGAGTATTCAAAGATGTCGGCATGACCTCTAGGTCAGAAGCACTGGGAGAACTTGGGTGTGAGGGGAGGAATAGGAAGGACGCATGCTAGGACAAGCGAATAAGGAATCGAGAGTGCGTTCAACAACACTACGTTCACAGTTGATCTAGCACTGACCGGTCGCAATGCAGTTCTTTCAGTTGCGCCCTTACGACCTCGTTCATCTTCTCACATATCATGACAGCTCGTTGGGTCCATACCGGAGCCAACTAAGGGGGCGCTAACGATGGAAGCAGAGCCAATAATCCCCAAATGCGGTTGCTCTCGCTTCAGACGATGAGTGAGTATACGAGGTCCGCTTCTATGTAGGCCTCTCCAGTATACCTCTCCTTACACCTTGGTACTCAATTCTTGCGTACAGTTCGTTTGGGGAATCGTGCAAGATCTTATGACCGATACGTTCGCGGCTGGCAACAGAGCCTTCATCTTTGCGCCACCCGATATGATTGCCAGATCGAGACGTGGCGATGCGATTCCTGTCCCGCGTATGAGTGGAGCTGGTCATATGTTCCCAAATGGGTTATCGAGTTGTACGCATCTTAGATGGTCAGCTCACATATAGAAACTCAAATGCCGTGCCGCCGCATCCGGTCTCGATCCGCGTCTATGTGCGCGTCTTCTGGAAAGAGCGTGCCCCCCACATAAAGGCTGCTCCTCACCCAAGAGCTGTCAGGATGTCCTTGCGACGCTGATCCAACTTGTCCGACTTCAGCACCATGTCTCTCACCAACTTCAACAATACTCAACAGGGGGAAGTTCTCGTAGCGCTTTTCAAGTCTACAGCGTCGTCCACTGCACCAATACTGCTATTAGAGAGTTTCATTATGGGTGTGTACGCTGGATTAGCTTCCATATATCCGAGTACATGGCTCAGAGCGTCCGTAGGTGTCTTATTTGCCTGCGTCCCCTTGGGAACATATCTGCTGTGGTAGGCACACTTCCAGAATATCCCAGAGTCATATCCCTGATATGAGAGCTGCAGGATCAAGCCTCCTCCCTTCCCACGTCTACCATCCATCTCGATCCTTTGGATCATCCTAACAGCCATGATCACCCACTGGGCTTTGTCTACAAGGGAGCTCGAATCGACTCTGAGTGGACGGTGTGTACGTTGCATCGTGCGTTGCCCCGCTGCTAACTTTACCCGTTGTCGATATGTAGGTCTCTCGCACTTTCACTCTCGCTTGATGCAGCATTCAATGGTGACACCCCCCGGGTCCAAGTAGGGGTTACCTACGAAAATTACGGTATTGCATGGCAATACCTTTTGTCTCTTGTAGCAGAAACTGCTCTGTTTGGTAGGTATCATGAATCTGCACAGGCCCAATGCTCAAGATATGTATATATTCATTGACTCATCACAGGATTCGCCTTGTTCTTGCTCAGTGTGACAGCGTACACTTACTTCTGGTGCGGGCATCCATCTCTAGATGCGAGTACGCTAACCACCTCTGCCATAGGTCTACGATTTCTCAATGGCGATCTTGTATCCCTTTGCTCATCCCGGGTATTGCGTCGTTAATGTATGCGCTGTCATTGGCGCATTGGTGTTTTTCCCTCCGGTGTTTTCATATCTGGACACGCACTCCGCTTGACCTCTTTATTGCCGACAAGGAAATCAATGCACTCAATCGCGCTCTCCTATCTCTTCTCTCGTTCAACGTGAGTCCCCACGACTGATCGAAGATGTCTGATACTATCTGCTGACACAGAATCAGACGATACTGAGTGACTCCATAGTGCTATGGCGGATGTGCGTCGTGTGGGACAGGAACAAGCCTGTCATTGTCTTCGGTGTCACGCTGCTCGTCACAACGTTGGGCCTCAATATAGTGAACATAGTCCACACGACCCGGGACTCTATCAGCGAAAGCACATTCAACGACAAAGATACGGAGTTCGTTGGCACGTTTGGCACGAACTCAGTTGGGCTTGCCGCCGCATTCTTGTCACTGGCGAGCAATTTATGTGCGACGATTCTTGTTGGGATCAAGGCCTGGCACGTTTTGTGACTTCTCATACATTAACGAGTTTTGCTCATGATGCTCCAGGTTGCACACAATGCGGTTTCCAAAACAACTTCGCTCTGATAGTGGGCGAACCATCGTCGAGCGTTTCATGGTATTGCTTGTGGACTCAGGGGCGGTCTATACGACGATGTGGGTGAGCAACAACTCGCAACCACATCCGATGCACGTTCCGAAGAGTACTTGCAGCTCCTGTACTGTATCAGCTTCTTTCGAAACATCACGACACACACCATCTTGGGTGAAGATCTCGAAGATCCCGAAGACGACTTCCCTACAATTACTACTGTGGGTTATCTTGACGCGGCGATGGCTCAAATCACAGTACGCCTCATATACAGTGTCATGCTAGACTACTTACTGACACGTCCCATCAGACCATTTACCCGCTCATGGTCTTCATCTTTGTCGCTCTAGACAAGGCCCACCATTCACGTCGACGGCAAATCTTGCGAAACAACGACTGGCCCAAGGAGCAAACTCCTGCCGTCACCGTAACTTTCGAGGTCGACGTTGAACGCAACACGGGTTCAAGCCCTCCTTCCACGTACCCGATGTCGGTGCTGCAATATACTGACGATTCCTCGACCGCAGTGGACGACACGAAGCTCTCCAAACCCGAAACACCGTGAAACAGGATTACCCGATTGCGTAGGGCCATATTCAAGCTTCGAAGCTTAAAGCCATACGCTTGACACCGCGTTAACTATCGTTCCCCCGTCCGCCGTCTATGTACTTCCAGATCAAGCTCGCTCCGAAGGACGTTCTTATTTACTAGCCCCTCTTCTGTACATACCACTCTTTGTTTAGATTTTGGCTCTCCCAGCACCTTAGACCGATCATGAGATAGTCATCTAGCGAAAGAAACCGCTCTGTAGGCTGCCTGAGCTAGAGGCCACTACGCTGATGCATAAGAAGTGTTGGCCCGATCAACGCGTATGACAACACGGAGTGCCGGGTTTCGGCTTGGTTCGGCCGCGTCCTACTATCTAGCGCTTGGCGGGGACCACCATGAGTTCTTTCCCTTCAACTCCCATGGACGAAGCCCTTCTATTGCACACAGGTTGCGACTGCTATACTTGATGTCACCTGAAGCTTGAGCTGCTGCCATCTAACGGTACCATCTGTGATATACAGGACAGGTCCCTACCCGTCTGGTAGCTCTATCTATCCAGAAGCGGAGAAGTATCCGCGTGGAAGAGTTCGCTCTACGTCTACGTCAAGCGCTAGGGGTACAAGGGGCACCGGCATGCTCATTGGGGCCAAGGGTGGCACATACCGGATACGGCGGCGACGGATGGCGAAAGGACGGGAGAAGGAAGGGCGCCCAGATAAGATGGACGTCAACACACAGAGCACATAGCGGTGTTCTCCGCAAGCAAGGCCAACCATACGATGTACAGGGACCTCACAAATCAGGTGTTAGGGCGGATGCTCGGCGCCAAAGATCTCCTTATCCTGTACCGCATCCACACACACCACTATCGTCTTCCGTCATGCGACGTACACATAGGGCCTCGTTGAAGCAGTCTGCCAACGCCCACCCCTACTACCCCCTCTCCTAGCCTGGACCGCCTTCACCCACCGGCACTGCCGCTCCCGAAGACTTACGCCCGCTGTATTCGGTGATTCAAGCGCGACGGCCGTCACGAGTCCCCTCGCACACCACAGGCACTCGCCAGATGCTCACCGTATATGCTCGAGGTCCCTTTTGGTGACTCTTGTGTGATACGTGCTCGACGCAACCGAATACGATGGTGCAGAGCCGTGAGCGGGAACATCAAATTCGCCTCCCTCAGCGCTCTCCGTAGCGGGACGAACGCCCCTTCGCGGCATAGCTGCAGGACACGTCTTCTTATCAGCACTGTACTGCCTCGCATCTACAGTGTACACCCTCAGCTATGCACGAGCGCCTGGCCACCCATAGGATCCGACGCCTTCCATCACCGCCGCGCCTCTAATCTCAGGGAAGAAGTCATCATCTTTGCGCCTGCCAAGGTGGTTCGATGGCCCGTGGGATCAACGGGCATCAGGCCATCCCGCCATGATACTCTAAACGGCGATCTTCTAACTTATGTGGTCGATGGTCTTCCAAAGTCAAGGTCAGGGCGCAATCGGAACGCATATTGGGATGTGGCGATCTGCAAGTGTGGTGTAGCCCTATGTCACGCCATCGTCTGGCAGGCAGGGTATACGCGGCGGCCAGGGTGCGAGTTTCAACGCCACTGCTATATAGATGCCTACTGCAGCGCATTCTATGGGCCCGGGGTTGTGTTTTCGTTCTTTCGCCATGGTGCTCCCCCACTTGAATACGACGGAGAGCGCGCAGGTGTTGGAAGCGCTCTTCGAATCGGCAGCGTCCCACTCCGTGCCATTGCTGCTCTTGGAAACCTTTATGTTAGGTGTGCCGCACCCTCTCTTAGTGGTCACAAACGCTGACTCATGCTGCATAGGTGTGCTGTGCGCATGCGTTCCCCTTGCGACATACATCCTATGGTGCAGCCAGCGGCAGTCTTTTGTGAGGGAGTCCTAGCTGACAACTCAACCTCAGGATTCGGCCGAACATCGTCTCACGGATACCATCCATCTCCTTGGTTTGGCTCGCCCTTATAGCCATGATCATACACTGGACGCTATCACTCAGGGAGATCGAGCGGGCACTCAATGGGCGGTACGTGCGACCGGTGCCGGCACTAGTCTCTTCTAACTCGACGCGCATCTTCTAGGTCTTTGGGTATATTCGTCTCTAATGAGAAGCTTTGGAATGCCATCAACAGCGCAGACAGGAAGAACGACTGGCCCTCTCCCAGCCAGGAGGATCTCGTCGGGTATTCCTACTCTGTCTACGCTCAAGCATGGCTATACCTTTTCCCTCTCATCACTGAGACCGCACTCTTTGGTTCTTACCCCTTTCGCCTACTATGGGGGTCTCAACTGACTTGATATCGTAGGATTTGCCTCGTTCCTCTTCGCAACCACGGCATACAGGAGCTTCTGGTAGCGAGCACTATGTACGCCCGGAATGTGTAAGTTTTTACTGATGACCCTTCCACAGGCAAAACCGCTCACAAGGCTACTCGTGGTCTAATGTGGCCATACCTGTCATGGCGTCGTTGATGTATGTCCTATCATTGGCGCATTGGGCCGTCTCTCTCCGGTGCTTCACTGTTTCGGCCTATGCGGCGCCGACAGCGCGATCATTCTCGATTGACACGCTTTCGCTCGACCTAGCCCTTCTGGTCCTGCTCTCTCTCAACGTACGCGTCTCGTTTCCTCGGAGATATATGCAGCTGATCAGTCTTCTCCATCCAGGCGGTCCTCAGCGACTCTATCGTACTTTGGCGCATGTATGCTGTCTGGGAAAGAGCTCGGCCCATTCTTGTCTGTGGTGTCACGCTACTCTTCATAACGCTATGCCTCAACATTGCAAACATCGTCTCCAACGCAAGAGGGCAACTCGCGGCCTTCAGCAACGGCGTCGCGCAGAACACGAAGGATACGGAGCTTACTCCCACTTACGGCGGGAGTCGCCTTGGTCTCGCTGCAGCGTTCATGTCGCTGATATCCAATCTGTGCGCGACGACACTCGTTGCCATCAGAGTTTGGTGAGTCGAGCACCGTGCCCTTACTGTCAGAGACTCAAGTCCAGGTCAGGCTGTACAGCACACACTACACAAAGCACCTTCGCGACTCCAACGGTAGCACTCACACCCTGGTCCAACGCTTCATGGAGCTCCTTGTGGACTCCGGAGTAGCCTACACTACGATATGGGTGATGCTCGCGACGTTCCAGATACCCGACCTCGATGCTGATATACATCCCGCTCCAGATCCTATTCTGCGCCAGCTTCTTCCATCGATTGACATCCTACACCATATACACGCCAGGGCCGACTGACCCATACCCCACGATCACCGCGGCCAGCCACCTCGATGCGGCCATGGCACAACTCACGGTCTGTCGCCGAATTTGATTCGTTGATTCGCTCGCTTACCCATACCTGTGCAGTCCATCTATCCCCTCACCGTCTTCATCCTGGTCGCCCTGGATAAGATCCACCACTCGCAAGGACCGCGGAGTCTGTCGAACGATAGTTGGCCCTGGAAGCGGGAGCCCGTCGTGGCCGTCACTCTTGAGGTCGATGTGGAACGCAATGTCCCGATGACCCCGACTTCTGCGTCCCCGATGTTGATGTTCCATAGCGTCACGGGTAGCCCGTCTACGAGTGACGCGAAGCTACCGGGACTACAGCACCGTAGCGCTTGAGCTCACGCCACGGAATAATCTTTACGAGTTGCACGATCTCATTCACCCGAGCTTCCCTCTATCGCTATTGGCATATAGCGGACACTTCTTTTGATACGACTGTCAGAGTATCCTTGCTATCAACCACTAGGACATTGAATCATGTTTGTACACATCTTGTTAGCTTATGATCTATCTGGTGGCATACTATAGTTGACCAGCTCCAGCGAGCGACGTTCCTGTCATCAGGCAAGTGCACGTTGCCTATCGTGGGTAATCTGCGGCATTCTCCGCCCGGTCGCCCGACCGCGAGATCAAGACCATCTCTTCAACGGTCATGATCCTTAGCCCAATGGAACTGTTCCGCATACCGCTTGAGCTCTATATCTAGAGAGATACCGGCCAGCAAACTACTTGCCGCAAGGCTCGCGCGCGCTTAGCTCTCCGTCTTCGGATGGGTGTCTTCCGAGTGGAAACTCCGGTACTGACGGGTACCGCGTCGCTCGCCCCTTGTCGAGAGATGATCAATGCATCGAAAGTGATTGGAGGCGGTGAGATGGCATTATCCCTGTTGCCACACATGACCGCGAGGAAAGAGTCGGGAAGGACGCATCCTCGGCAGGGAGGGTTACAATCTTGTAATCCGTTCAAACGGGAAAGTGTGAGCTGACCGCCATGCGGTGTGCTCGATGGATACGTATGTTGACGGTCAGTTTCTGTTCATCCCTACGCCAACGGACGTGACTGACTGATTGCTCGGTATTGGACTGCACAGCTTGTCTCTGTGAGGCTTAAGTGGGTAGTGCGGATGCTGGAATCTTCTTGAGTGCTCACATGGCAAGATGGAGGGCGTGAACGGCGCACCCGAAGATCCCAATTTGTGTGCTATAGGACCAAAGCTACTCTATATCACTACTGATACCCGCATGTGAGGAAGACATAAGATTTCGCGGTCCGCGGTTTTCACCATGTAGAGGTTCAGGTGCTCTTGACGTCTTATCCCTCTCTTCCCGACACCATATCGCTTTCCGCTTTTAACATCACTCAGGACGCTCAGATCCTGAATGCACTGTTTCATACGACGGCGACCTCTGTCGCACCAGCGATCATCTTGGAGAGCTTTGTGATGGGTACGTTCGTCGTCCTTGTGTGGCAAGCCATACACTAACATGGTCTCACAGGAGTTCTATGCGCGTGTGTCCCCGTGGGTTCGTACATTGTCTGGTGAGTTGTATCCTGTCGCTCAGTTTATGCCCGCTGACAAGGGTCACAAGGGTCAGAACAGCGCCCGTTCCGCGCGCTCCTTTCATATCCATGATGTGGCTCGTGTTAGTCGCAGTAGTGACGCACTGGGCACTTTCCTTGAGGCAACTAGAGGCAACTATCAGTGGAAGGTCCGTCTACGTGCCATATCGCGAGTTGCAAAACCTGATCATCGGCGACACCAAGCGCTCTCGGCACCTCACTGTCTGTGGACGAATTGGACAGTGCGATAATTAGCGTTGAAATCTCTGACAATGATACCTCGTATTACGAACCAAGACTCAGTCTCATCTTCAATCGATATTACACATACGGTCTCTCTTGGGAGTACCTGCTTCCCCTCTTACTAGAGACGTCACTGTTCGGCGAGTGATCCCTACACATTCTTTTCTTGTTCCTTGGCTGATCAATCGAATTTGCCTCGTTTCTATTCGCACTGACAGGGCATGCCATCCTCCGGTACGCTTTGCGCGCACCACAGTCTGATTTGTCTTTGTTCATTTCCCATAGTCCATCCACCGTGAAGGCCAGATCCTGTTTTCATCTGATCATACCGATCATGGCATCCGTCATGTATACCTTGTCCTTGACGCATTGGGCCATCTCCTGTTATTACTTTGCTGAACAAGCGAAGTCTGCGTCAACGGCGGCGCCCTGGGAAGGACCGGACGATACCTATGCAGTGGAAGTAACACTCCTCACACTGTTGTCTCTCAACGTACGTGTGTGCCGCCGTCTCAACTTTGAGAAACATCTCATAGTTCATCTCTTGGTTAGGCGGTTATGAGTGACTCCATCGTCCTCTGGCGCATGGGCGTTGTTTGGGAGAGAAAGCGTCCCATCCTTGCACTCGGGGCGGCCCTCCTTATTACCACATTGGGTCTGAATATCGCCAACATCATCTCCAAAGCGGGAATTCAAGCGTCGCGTGGGATTATCTATAATGACAAGGACTCCGAAATCATAGCCACCTATGGCGAAACATCCATTGGTCTTGCTGCTGCATTTGTGTCACTGGCGAGTAACTTCTGTGCGACGGTATTGGTCGGGCTGAAAGCCTGGTATATATGAAATTACTCCCCATTTCTTTCCGATCACTCATTTTTCTTCCTCAGGTTGCATAGACGGCGGTTCCCCATGCATTCCCGCTCCAGCAGTTGTCGTACGATAGTTGAGCGGTTCATGGAACTACTCATTGATTCCGGAGTTGTCTATACGACGATATGGGTAGGCGCTCTCTTAGATCCTCTTTCCTAGGGCTTGTCTCACAACGTCAGTTACTGTACTGCATCAGTTTCTTCCGGCCAATCACGTCGCATTCCGCAATAGGCCCCCCGGGTAGTAGCGGGCCGGTAGTCACTGCATTTAGCTATCTTGACGCAGGAATGGCGCAGATCACGGTGTGTAGCCATCTCTTTGGAAAAATTGGCTTTCTGAGCATCATATGTGCACCCATGCAGTCCATATACCCTCTCGCGGTCTTCATCCTCGTTGCCCTGGACAAGGTTCATCATTCGCGGGGACCCCAGATCCTACGGAACAATGACTGGCCTAAGGAGCGGATCCCCATCGTCTCCGTTACTCTTGAGGTAGACGTTGGCCGTAATGCGGGCCTGGACTCGGGGTCGGTGCAGGCGCTCACATATGCCGATGGCTCTCGTACCGAAGTGGACACCTCGAAACTGCCCGGTTCCGAGACGCCGTGATTACTCACAGCTGGGAGAGAACTTTCACAGGAAGCGAGAACCTACAAGGCTCTTGGCTTGCCGTTTTAGGTCTCCCGCAGCCTAGAGCCAAGTTCGGGGAGTTGTGCTTCACTTTGTACTGTGTATGGCGCCTTGTTCAACGTTGGCTGCGTGCCTTTAACATTATACCTACTGTGTTTATGATCAACGATCGAATATGTTACGCTCCGCGGGGTGAATACACTGTGAGCGCGGCTTCGACGTGCAGAAGTCGGGGCTTGGAAGGCTGGTCAGCCGTGGGAGAGCGTCGGCGTTTTCCGGGCCGCCTGGTTGTCAGGGTCCCGACGCATTCCCGACGTGCGTCCAACGCTCGTGTCGTGTCGATCGGAATGTCCATGGCTACTTGACGATGAGAATCACAGTCTTCATCCTCCAAGGACCCATGGAATCCTGCCAAAGATCATCGGGTCGTTGATGCTGCGAAGCGCGAAGCTCCTGAGAGGCTGACCGGTTGCCGCGATCGCACTTGCATCATCCCATGGTATAGAGCGCGACGGCACAACGCCCCACGTGCTATATGTCCGAGACGTCCGTA